GCACTGCACGGACCGCACCCACTCACTTCGAATGTCAACTTTCTGCAGCAGCCCTTTGTCGTGTGCAGCCACTTACTGCCTCCCTTGCTGCCCCGTTTCCTTCCCCCCTCCCTCCTCCCTCCTCCTCTCCCCCCTCCCCCCCCCCCCTCCGCCTTTCACTCCCAGGCAATCCACTTGGTGAGTGTGCAGCAGCAGCTGGAGGGACGGGAGAGTGGCACTGGTAGCAACGCGAGCAGCAAGCCGCGCGTCTGAAAACCTGCACACTCACGGATCAGCACACCTGCAAGATAAGTCCCCTCGCCCTCACTTGCCATAGCCTCACCAGCATTTATTTCACACGCATTTGCACTTCCATGCTGCTCCTTGTCACTGCCATTGCTGCCACATGGCTCACCCAGGGGACCCTCCCCCCAGGGCAAAGGTAAACTGCCTTCAGGTACAAGGTAGCCCCAGGTGGTAAGGTGTGGTAACATCCAAGCCTAAGGTAAGGTTCAGCTGGTTCAGTCCTCTGGGTGAGCCCTAGTTGCTCCAGCACATGCCCCTGCTGCTCCCACTCATTCTAGTTGCAAACTTCTGCAGCAGTCCACTTATCCACTTAGCCTCTCTTGTGCAGCCACTTAGCCTCTCTCCCCCCCCCCCTCTCTCCCCCCCGACCGCCCCTTCCCGCTCTCCCCCTCCCGCCCTTCTCTCCCAGGCACTCCCCTTGGCGAGTGTGCAGCAGCAGCTGAGGGCGAGGAGCGGCGGAGTGGCAGTGGCAGCAGCGCAAGCAGCGCACCCAAGGCCCAGCTGCAAGTCAGCAAGGCAGCAAGCAAGTGAAGGTTGAGTGTCCCACCTTCACTCACCTGCACTCCACCACTTGTCGTTTTTGCTGCCATTGCTGCCTGCCACGTGGCTCACACATGGACCCTCCCCCAGGTAACAGGTGTCAGGCACTTGTAGGTAGTCCCCGGTGGTAACAGCCAAGCCTAAGGTAAGGTTCAGCTGGTATGGTCCTTCTGGTGAGCCACTGGCTGCTGCAATGGCTCTCAATCTCCCACTGCGCTCACTGTTTCCCTTTCCCATGCAGCACTTTCTTTCCTATACTGGCACTTACTCCCACCTTCCCCCCATCTCCCCCTCCCCCTGCCCCCCACCCCCCACTCCACCCCCCCCCCCCACCCCTCCTTGGCAGTTCACCTGCCAAGAAGGCAACAGAGGGCAAGTCTGCAGAGGAGGCTGAAAAGGAAGAGGGGTACAGCAGCAGGAGCAGCAGCAGCAGGAGCAGCAGCAGCAGGAGCACGAGCAGGGGCAGCACTTGCCTGCCTCCCTGTCCGCCCTTCCAGTGCAGCTAAGTATCCCAGCCTTCCTGGTCACAAACAACCCTCCCTTGCCTTTGCATCCAATTCCGCTCCTCTGCTCTTCAATTCACTCGCTCTCCATTGCTGCCACGTGGCTCACCCAAGGACCCCTCCCCCCCCCCCCAGGTAACTGGTGTCAGGTACTTGCAGGTAGCCCCAGGTGGTAACAGCCAAGCCTAAGGTAAGGTTCAGCTGGTATGGTCCCTCTGGGTGAGCCGCTGGCTGTTTGCCCATGCACCCACTGCACCCACTGCACCCACTGCACCCACTGCACCCACTGCACCCACTGCACCCACTGCACCCACTGCACCCACTGCACCCACTGCACTGACTGAACTCCTTTCATGCGACACTGTCTTCCCTATTCCGGCACTTACTCCCACCTTCCCCCCCTCCACCCCCCCTCTCCCTGGCAGTTTCACCTGGCAAGGCGGCAACAGAAGGCAAGTCGGCAAAGGAGGCTGAATAGGAGGAGGGGTACAGCACGAGCAGCAGCAGTTGGAGCAGCACGCGCCTGCCTCCCTGCACGCTCTGCCCGCCCCTCAACTGCAGATAAGTATCCCACCCTTCCTGGTGATCACCCTCCCTTGGTCAACCTCCCTTGCATTCGCACTCATTCTTGCTCCATTGCTGCTCGCTTTCACTGCCATTGCTGCCACGTGGCTCACCTAAGGACACCCCCCCAGGTAACAGACTTCAGGTACCTGCAGGTAGCCCCAGGTGTTAACAGCCAAGCCTAAGGTGAGATTCAGCTGGTATTGTCCCTCTGGGTGAGCCGCTGGCTGCTGCAATGCTCTCATGCACCCACTGCACCCACTGCACCCACTCACCCCCCTACTTTTTGCTCAAGCAGTCTCTATCGTGTGTAGACACTTACTTGCTTCTTCTCTGCCCCTTCCTTAAAGCAAAAAAAAAAAAAAAAAAAAAAAAAAAAAAAGAATTGCCGCCTCATGCTGTTGCTCTTCTTTACTGTCAGTCACTTCCTCCTTCTGGCCACTCACTCACTCCCCCTTCCCCTCCCTCTCCCACCCCCCCTCCCCAGCAGCGTCAACCCCTGTGGTGCTTCATAGTGCTCCGTGGTGCCATGGTAAGTGCGGTAAGTGCGGTAAGTGCGGTAAGTGCGGTAAGTGGGGAGTTGCCACGAGGCATGAGGCTCACTCCCTCAGGGCCAGTGCTCTCGGTGCCATAAGCCTTGCTGGTGGGTGGGGTGGCGGCAGTGCGGTTACCGCGTCTCAAATCTCTGTGCCTGGGCCCGAGACCCCTCGTTTAAAGCATAACGGGCACCGTCAGACCCTGCGGCCGGGGGCTCTGGTTCGCGCCAACTCTTGCAACGAGGGCGAGGGGCACCCTGGTCTTGGGCTGAGCGTGCCACCTGCCACTGCCTCACTGCACGCCACAGGGCCATGGGTGCTGCGGGTGCCGGAGCTGATGGGATGGCGGCGAGCTCAGTGCTGGTGCTGGTGGCGGTGGTGGTGGGAAAGTGTGAGTGGTGGTGGTGGTGGTGCTGCTGCTGCTGCAAGTGATGGTGGTGGTGGTGGTGAGATGTGGCAGAGGGGAGGAGTGGTGGTGGGAAGGTGAAGCCTCATGGTGAGGGGAGGGGATGGCAGTGGAAGGGGGGTGAAACCTCCTGGTTAATGTGAGAGCAAGGCAGGGGGATGGGGTTGAAACCCTTGGGGTAAGGCAGTTAAGGGGCAGGGGGGGGGAGGGGGGTTGAAACTCCCAGGTTGGAGCAAACAAGGGGCAGATGAATCCCCCTCCTCTGCCTTTTGCTCGCTCTAATGTGGGGGTTTCGACCCCCCCCTCTTGCCTCTCAATCGCCTTACCCTGGGGTTTCAACCCCAGTCCCTTGTCTTGCTCTCACCTTACCTAGGGGGTTTCAACCCCCCTCCTCTGCCACTCCCTCTCCTAACCCCCTCCTCTACCTTGGTGGTGGTGCTGGTGGTGTTGGTGAGGGGAAGTGATGGTGGTGAGTGGAATGATGGTGGTGGGAAGAATTGATGTGGCGGGGAAGGGATGGTGCTGGTGGCGGCGGCGTTGGTGGGAGAAATGTGAGTGTGGAGGGGGGTGAAACCCCTTAGGGTAATGTGAGGCTAAGGCTGGGGGAAGGGGGTTCAAACCTCCAGGGTTACGGCGATTGAGGAGCGGGGGGGGAGGAGGGGGATTGAGACCCCCAGGTTAAGGCGGACAAGGGGCAGAGGAACCTCCCCCTTCTGCCTTCCGCTCACCTTAACCTGGGGGTTTCAACCCCCTCTCCTGCCTCTCAATCGCCTTACCCTGAGGGGTTCATCCTCCTCCTCCCAGCCTTGCCCTCACAATACCCATTCAGTTTCAATCTCCCTCCTCTGCCATTCCCCCTCCAAGGTGGTGGTGGGAAGTGATGCTGGTGTTGGTGTTGGGCAGAAGGTGTGCTGGTGGTGAGATGCGGCAGAGGGAAGGGGAGTGGTGCTGAAGGTGAAACCCCCAAGCTGAGGCTAAGGGGAGGCACTAGACGGCTGGTGGAAACAAGGCAGGGGGAACACTCTGACCTCCCAGGATAAGGGCATGGTACATACAGTTCCAACTTGCCAATCACGGAACTGAGTTCCGAAAACGGTGGCGGGACTATTCGGACGAACATGGTACATCCGTTCCGAAACTCAGAACTGTCCGAAAATCTCACTTGGTACCTACGTCCGGACGGTGGGGGTGGTGTTCGAATTTTCAAAGCCACGCGAAATGGCGAACAACACGAACATTGCGGAAAACCCCCAACCAGAGTTACGCGAAACACCTGTCGTCACACATCGCAACTAGCGGAAAATTGTTTTGGTAGCGCGCGATGTGAGTGTAGAAATTCTCCAGAGCAGTTTTGTTTGGCCAATGGCCAATGTCTTTCGCGCTTCAAACTTCAGTGTAGGGTGATGACATCTACATTTCGCAGTTTTCGTCAGGGGGGATTGACCAGACTGTTCCGAACCGGCAGGGAGGCCGTTCCAACGACCTTCCGTACACCCCTGTCCGGACGGTGTTGGTAACCTGTTTTTACTCATTTTGGGCGTAGTCGCAAATTGACCCGCGAGGCAGGTCGCGAAGAGTGACGAAAAACGTAACCATCCTTTTGTCCGGACAGGGGGCAGTTCCGGAACTGTATGTACCACTCCCTAAGGCCATTAAGAGGTGGGGGAGAGAGGGGGGCTGGAATCCGCAGGTTAAAGGGAGCAAAGGGCAGAAGAATCCCCCTCTGCTTTTTGCTTGCCTTAACTTCCAACACCCCTCTCTTGTCTCTCAATCGCTGTGGTGAGGGATTTTCAATCTCAGTCCCTTGTCCCTCTCTCCCCTCTGTCACTTTTAGGTGGTGGTGGTGGTGATATGCCATGGGTATCATGCTGCCATGGCAAGACCACGAGCCCAGTAATGGTGATCATGTGACGGCCCCATGCGTTGGGTGGACATGCATGGCTACATGGCATACATGGCTACATACATAGGCAGATGTGTGAGTATACATGGGTCGTTGCCCCCTCACTCCATGAAAGCCGAACCATCTGCATGAGCAGGAGTTGATGCGTGTATGAAGCCCTGAGATGAGGGTGTGGGCAACCAAGCACTTGGCAGGGCTGTAAATGGCCAATAGGGTAGCTTCTGTGAACATTTGCAGATAAATACAAATGTATGCATGCCAATGTACAGATCATTTTATTATTTTCATGTACAATGACGTCATGTACCGCAACCAACTTGCACCCAGACCTGGAAGAACTCATACGGCATCAGAGAGAAGTCCAATTGGAAGGGCAAATTTACAGGCCATACTGGCATCTTCTGCTGGAAAGCCAGTCATTACCGTACTGCTTCTCTGCTTTCAGCAGTGCTGGAAGTTGTGGCAAGCTTCACAGCCGCTATTCAGCCTAAACAAGGTGCTGAGCTTGCTGCTATCGGACAGGCTGATATGTAACCCTATATTTTCCACCAGACAAGTTGCCAAATGGATTGCGTACGTATGCAATGCAGGTACCAAAAAATTGACCAAGGAAAACTCATGGGATGAGAATGACGTCATCTGCACACATTGAAGGCAGGTTATCAGATAAGCAATGCAGCACACTGTGAATGATAAAAAAGCGTCAACTGCACCCACCAGCCTGTATCACATTCGGATCATCAATTCTGTTGATCTCCAGAATTCCAGCCACGGTCGTGGAGAACTTTCTTGCAATGCCATAAAGTGTGTCACCCTGCTAACCCCAAGAGCGTGAATCAATCAGCACAAACCAGCATGATGTTTCTGCACCATAATCAACAAGCCATCAGCTGCCGCTGACGAAGAGATTCCCCCAGAATGCTGTACCTTCTGAATGGTGTACATGCGAGGAATCCAGAGACTCTGTCCTGGCTGGATATTAAGAGTCTGCAGGTTGTTAGCCTGACAGAAACATCGCAGGAGGGAGACAGACGTAAGTGGCATGACATGAAATACTGTCGCCAGGCGCACAACATATGATGCCAGAACCAGGAAAACATCATAATGTGCATAGGAATAGCCGACCTGTGCAATCACATCCACTGAAGTACCGAATGTGCGAGAAATAGCAGATAGTGAGTCACCCCTCTCGACGACATAGTATGAACGACCGTCAATGTTTTCCAGTCCTGAAAAGTAGAAGCAAATACCAGGTCAGGTACGCTGAATAGGCAATGAAAATTAGTACGAGAAATCTGGTTTGTCGACTTGAGAAACTCCCGCTCAACTGAAATCCAATCTTCAAGGGTTCCTCGGCCAACTTACTATTGCCGAACGGCCGTGAGCGATTAGCGAACACAATAGGAATGGACGCGCCTGCGCCAGTTACTGCAGCGACGGCGAGCGCTCGTCGCGTGAAGGAAGAAGGATCCTCGGATGAGGATCTTAAGGAAAACCGCCGGGCGTTTCGTAGAGCAGAAGGGACAGCAAATCGTGAGTTAAGGGAAAGCGGGTTTTGGCGAGAAAACGCGAAAGGGGGCGAGATGGAAGGGTTGCGAGTATGCGCATGGAACGAGGAGAACACGGGGACGCGAGATGGCGAGGTGGTCGTTCGGAGCAGAGAAGGCGAGCCCGAGATGCGACTAGTATAGGGAGACGCCATAGATACTTCCGACCTGAAGCATACGATTCAGGAACTGCGACGCTGCTAAAGACCACGAAATGCAGGATTCAAGGGGCCACTGACAGGACCGTAGTGGCAGAAGGGTGCCATTCTGATTTCTCGAAAATGCATGTGAACAAGTTTGGCACAACGAATCACGATTCCAGGGTGGTCAGGACCGTCCTTTATCGCGTACATATTTCGAACACCTCAAACACCCACATCAGAAATTGTGCTGGCATGAAAAGGATGCCTGACCACACATTCACAACCCATCAGTTCAGCTCTGGTTCAGCAGCTCCAGTCTCACTCAGCTCGAGCTTTCCTCAGTTCACTCCAGCTTCGCAACCACTTCCGTTCACCGCTCAGCGCTTCCGTTTCTGTGATCCACGAGTAGCTCTGGTTGTTCCGCGTTTCCGTCGCTCCGCTGTTGGTGCGTCCCGGCTGGGATGGCAACGCCAGTTCTAGAAATGGCTGTAGGAGCGAATATCAGTCGGACTGCCTGCCTCAGCTCTCTCGTTGCTCCTCCGAGGTAGAGCCCCCGAATTCCAAGAGCCTTGTGTTACCCGTTAGCAAGGCATCGCTGATAAGTAGAACGGCACTGTGGCATTGAGATTCAGTTTCAAATGGCATAGCATTTCCCCTTATCTCTACGTTGTATTTCCAGGCAAGCTACCTGCAGCGTGAGAATCCATAAATCCACGTCATTCTCGGGTGCATTCGTCTCATTGCGAAGGACGTCGACAGCGGGAGCAGCTGCAGCTTGTGTTCGAAAAGGGTTGTGTGTCGTGGCTGCGACAGGGTTTGGGAAGCCGGGTGGCGATAAGGGCAAAGGAGACGCGAAGGATGCCGAGAAATCTCTCAAGGCCACTATGGAGCTTGATAAGTTCATTGACCAGCTCAGGAACGCCGATGACAATGAGGTCCGTCCCGACGGCTGGTTGAATGCCTGATAAAGCCCTATACCCTGGAATCTTGGCTTGAAGCGTTTTCGAGTCCGTTCTCAGCAATGCACAACCTACTTGTACCTATGACTTTCGACCCCCCTCGGCATTCCCTGGTACTCCTTCTATCCCACACTTCTTCTCCCAATCTCCTCCTGCATTGTCATGTTTCAGCTGCCACTTCTGGTGGCCGAGAACGTGCTTGCCTTCGATCAGAAGTTCTGGCTTCGGCTTGTCACACGCGCAGAGTCAAGCTCCACAGTGGATGACAGGGTAAAAAGCTTGTATTGTCGAATGCGTGCCAGGCTGTCAGGTTGAATGAGCTTTGCCTTCACCTGTGGTGACTCTTATATCCCGCCCGTTTTCCCCTAACGCTGTTTCTGTGCCTGTCTGTGCACGTAAAAGAGGGATTTTGAGAAGCTGGCCCAGAATGTGATGGAGATGGTGGACAAGGTGGTCAAGAAAACACACGTGAGTTGCCACTGTATGCTAGCCTCCGTAATTTGCCGCTTCTGCACATGCAAGTGCACCAATTTTTGTTCTAGAGTAGTTTGCCTAAGCTTCAGATCTCCTTTTACTGTGCAAACTCGGGCCTCAAACCCCAAACTCCAGGAAAACATGGACAGCACGAGTGACGCTTTGGCATCAATGCTGAGGCAACTTGGAGACGAGAATGATGAAATTGCTTGGCCTCCTTCAGGGGAGGTGTTGGCGAAGTTGCAGCAGGTTTGTAGTTCTCATACTCTCGATGCAGAGAGTCGTCTTTGTTCAATCAAAGGTTTCCCAATTCATATGCTTTTGCCTCCACTCTTGAAAAATCGCAGGAAATAAAGCAATGGGATGAGGATGGGCGCATTGATGAGAAATTTCTGGCCGCAGTGTCAGCTCAATTGAGACAGGTATTTGATTCATTTCCAGGATTGCCAGCTTATCTCCTATGTGGAGGGAAGGTTATAACATGACATGCTTCTGCCCTCTATGTGCAGGCAACAGAGGCCAGCGACAAGCCTGGGCTCATGGCCATGCTGCAGAAGGTCCTTCAGTTATACTCAGCTGTTCGTTTGAGCCGGCGTAGCTATGCAACTCGGCGTAAGTGTGCCCCATACTGTTGATGATCAGACAGTGAATGCAGTGAATATCATGCCCTCTCTTCACGTCAAAATTATGGGGCTTTCTGTGCAGGTGATGGTACCATTGATGAGAGCGAGGAGTTTTTGGAAACACTTCTACAAGGTATAGTACATTCCCGGAAGGGACAAATCATCAAATCATTAGCAGCTACTTTGAACAGCAGCTAACTAAGAATTCAAAGAATGGCTGACGAAAATGGAAACGAAATGCTTGCAGCTCCTGAAGAGACATGGGAGTCACTTCTTCAATCCCGCCTCACCTGTGGAGGTGGAAGCCTTCCAGAAGCTGAGCTGTTCTCTGCACTCGAGAGGAGAGCAGAGCGAATGTTTATGCGCACAGTAAGTGGCCGACTTTGATCCCACTCACACCTCTATCAGCACCAGGAAGCTGGAGTTCAGTCGCTAACCCCCTTTCCACTGACTGGCTGCGTGCACTTGTGGCTGCAGGAAAGCGGCTCATACGAGCAGAGGATACTTGGAGAGTACTTGAAAGAACTTGAAGCACGTGCTAGAGCAGTTGTTGCTGCCTTAACCACGCCCCCTCAGCTGCAGTCCTAGATTGTGGAGACTTTGTCTTGTACGCACATGATTGTAGGTCCTTCCACTAAGAAAATCCACCCAGCGAAAGAAGACATGTGCTGGTAATAGGCTTCCTCTCCACACGCTTGAAAGGGCTTCTGGGATTGTGAGAGAATGCTGGCTTGCCGTGTGTAGCAGACACCTGGAGCAAATGCAATGGAAACAAATCAACATCTAAAGCAGAGGGAAAACAGAGATTGATTGCAGGCAGATCAGGTTTCAGCATACCGAATCAGTGCTTGTTGCTGCGTTGCACTTCTTGGCCTTTGTCTCCAGTGCCCAGGAACCTGAAAGCCACACTTGACGTTATTAGGGCGGACTCCTACAAAGTGGGATCTGGCAAAGTTGGATCTACTTTCGCGCACTGCTGAACCGAACCGCACCGATAGCACATTTTTGACAAATGCACTGCACTGTACCACACGCGTTGGATCCAAATTCTCTGGATCCAACTTCGTAGGAATCCGCCCTTATACCCAGCAATAACAAAACACACGAACTCACAATGGGGAACATCAGCAAACACTTGCCTGGTTGAGATGTTGCCAAGTGGGCTGTTGGCCTGTGAATTAAGGCATGCTGGCTCAGCATTGGGTGCACCATACTGTCAGCAATGCAGGGCATACCGGAATCGCCCCTGTTACTGTGCTTCCCTTGCACTTCACAGCCCTGAAAGCAAGCATTGCACACACATAAAATTCCAATCTGGTGCATCACAAAACAGCTTTCTTGCAAATGACCAACACCTTACCTCCATAAACGGCTCGTGTGCCATTTGCAAGACTCCCATACCAGGGAGGCCATTCTGCAGGCGCCTCTTCCTTGCATGGTGGGGTGTGGTCTTGCCCTCTTTCCCAACAAGAAGAGGCTGAGGAGGAGCGACAAGGACACGTGCTCCCTTCTGCAGCTGCACTGAGGATGTTGGCGCCTGGTGATTAGCACTGTTGCCCGCTTGGTTACGAGCCCCAGGCAGCTTGTATGACGGCATGCTGGAGTTGAAAATGAAGCCTGAGTTGCTTCCTTTGTCGCATGGAAAAAATTGCCATGGGAAAGCTCCAGTAGCAGACGGGGACTTGCCATCCACCACATCATTTGCATGAAAACCTGTAGAGGACCAACAATGGGAATGTTAAATCTTTTATCAGAATTTCTCAAAATCTCAAACATTCTGAAGTCAATTACCATTGTGAGTTCCTCCGGATAGATCCTTCTTGCCGGCAAGCTTGCTGAGTCTGCGCCTGTGCTTCGCCTCCGTCCTGAGAGAGAATATGACTTGCTCAGCTGGTAGCATCTCCAAAACTGTAACCTCATCCCCATAATCTGCAAATCCACTTCATATATGCTCCATTAGAAGGATTATCGCCAGAAAGGCTTTCTTCAGATCCAAGATGGAAAGGTCTATACCTGAGAGAGGGAAGTTAATTGTTGTGCACTGCCTTCCAAAAATTGAAATTGCTGCTCTGTCATGAGCCTTTGCAGCGTCCTTCTCATCATCCCAATTTCCAAGGTAACTGCAAACGACAGACACCAGACTGCTAGATTAGGAAAGGCAAAAGCTTTAGGCTACATCAGTGCTTTGCGAAGTGAAGAAAAACGCACATTTTTCGCCTGGAGTTGTACAGATAGGCCTCCCATCTGCCGCTTGGATCAGAGGAAACTCCAGAGAACCTGTGCTTCTTCTTCTGATCCACCTCAAATTCCGCACTCTGCGCTGGAGTGACTGGCGCAAGTGAATTTTCCGGGGTTAGTGCCACCCTGCATCACAGACACGCTTGATGGACATGAGTGAACACGTTTCAAATGACAATTGAGCTTTCACACAGGCATTTCCCTTACTTTTTAGCATCTCCATTCGCAATATCCGTCTTCTCCACATCAAGCTTCAGCCGCTTGCTCGTCGGTTCAAATTTGAAATCCGACATTGCCAGTGCAGGAACCATATCCGGAATGCTGCTGCTGGACTCCGGAAGGGAAAGCATTGGGAGCTGCCGGGACTCGGTAGATGCAGAGGTTGACGTGTAGGGAGAGCCTAACGTCAGCTTGAGCTCGTCGCGATCCATTCACAATGAGAAATCGAGAAATTAATCAAACGAAATTCAAGCTTCGGCTGTGATAAGGCTGGGCTAAATGGGAGGTGGAGGTGGAAACCTTGGAAAGGGATTAGTGGAGAAGGAGAGGCTCGAGGAGAATGAAATTCTGCTGATCACGATATGACAGCCTGTGCTAGCTGGTCGTCCCATTTGAAATCGACAGACAGCGCCACCAGATCGCGTCAGGTGGGACAGACAGGGCAAAGGCTCAGTCAGTTCCTTAAGCAGGCTCAAGGTGATGGCCATCACGCAATTGATGAAGTCACTTACTAACGCTCACAACCGGGCGGGCAGGAGGAATGTGAGCAGCGGCAAGCAGCCACCAGACATATCAATCTCTTGTACAATGTAGGCGGCCAAAGGATTAGCACTGAAAAGGCTCTTCAGATACCGCCTGACAAGTGCGGCTCCGCTGCCAGAGCTGCTGAGTGCGACCAGAGAAAAAATTATGTGGGGTGTCATGCTATTGGTCCAAAGCTCACAAAACGATTGGCGCAGCCCCTGGTATGTGCACGGGAGCATCTAGGCGGTGCAATGCGGCTTGATTGGCATCGGAACAGTTAGACGACAATTCTTGCATTCAGGTCGGCACCACCTGTTCACCCTACTGTCCGTATCTGACTCATGCTTGCCTCCCTGGGTGATGACCCTCGGGTTTCCAAAGGTCGAAAAGGAAGGCAATCTCACTACACATCAGAGAACGCTCGAATACGTTCGAATCGGCTTCAACTCGGCACTGCACGCTTTGGTCCCTGAAAGGGCTGCACGTGGCGACCAAAGAAAGCCGCATGAAGGCTAAGCACGTGAGCGAAAAGAGTTAAAAAGCCGCAGTGAGAACTAAAAGGAACTTTCTGTCGTTACACTCTGCCTCCCAGCCTCAATCATGATGCTGCTGCTGTGTGGCAACTACAGGTGGCTGTGCCAGCAAACTCCGGTTAGGGTGCTGCGTGCATGGAGCCAAGCAGGTGGCTCTCAGGAATTTCACCCAGAAAGGCGGATCTACGGACATTCTGGCAGGTGGCTGTCGGGAAAATAATATTTAGAGCTCATGCATGAGAGGCAACAATGGCGCTGCGTGCAATCCACCATGGGTTGGTATATGGCGTGTGTGAGTCTTGCTCTTGCATGAGTTAGTCAGCCTCGGAATGTGCTCGAAGCAATATATTTTGACATATATCCCCCGACCTGAGCTACATGTACGTTATGCATGCAATTATAGTTAATATCCTACAAATTTTACGAGTACCTTTTGTGAAAATGCACAAACATCCATGACATTTCTACTTATAGCTACCAGTTTCAATCGCATGAAGACATAGTGACATAGTACTCCATGTTTTACTCCAACGAATTTCTTACATTTATTGGGTGAATTGGATACATGGTTATTCATAGCAGTTTACTGAAAATTTTAAAGATTTTAGCAGATACAAACAAATAAAAAATCTATGCTTATTAGCTTTTTTATATGTGTGCGTATTTTGTTGAAATGTTCATCTAAGAGTGGGTAGGTACGATGGTTGTCCTTTCTACAAATTGCCCTATTTTGAAATGCCTCCACTATGCATCACTAACGAAGACAACCTAGATTTGCCGAATGCTGCTGCTGAAAGGGAATGTTGGCACTGGACCACGACAAGCTCCTCTTGTCAGTCTCCCTGATTCATGTGTCCGAGTATCTGGTAACTCACGCTAGTAGCCACTGGCACGGCCTTTCCCTCAACCCTAATCTCGTAGTCTTAGGCAGCGGTTTGGCTGTCCGGGATGGACGCTTTCGAGAGCTATTTCCGAGCGGCCGACACGAATGGGGACGGAGTGATTAGCGGCGCTGAGGCGGTCACCTTCTTCAGACGATCCGGCCTTCCCCAGATGACCCTCGCCAAGGCACGTCTAGCACTCTATCTCACTGAATCACTTTCCTCCGGTTAGACATATATCTCAGCTTCATTATGATTCAAACTTAAATCCTGAACTCCACCTTGGCTCAGCGGTGTTACAGACGTAACGAGATCCTCCTTCCGTCTCACCCGTATCCGTCTCGAGCCTATTCACTCGCTTCCATCCTGCCGCTGCACTCGGACTTCTCTCCTCCCTGTGTGTTTTCGCGTGCACCGCATTCATCGCTTACGGCAAGCCATTCGCCTGCATCCCTCCGTATGCTAACCTGAACCATGATCGCCTGCCATGGCTCCTGTTACCCGCCAGCAGGTCTGGCAGTATTCCAACGACCGCCAGGCTGGCGTCCTCACGCAATTCTAGGGCCATTTCGCCTCTTGCAACCTTTGTTTCGCCATCCTTACCTCTACCCCTTGCAGGTCTGGCAGGCAGCACTCTGACGTCCGTAAAGCTGGCGTGCTCACCCGAGTCTGAAGTGGCCGCTTCTGCCTTTGCCGTCCTCTACCCCACCAACTCCCGGCCCCCGTCCTTACCACCACCCCCTACAGGTGTGGCAGTACTCGGACGTGCGCCAGGCTGGCAGCCTCACGCGTCCCGAGTTCTTCAACGCGCTGCGCCTCGTCACTGTAGCGCAGTCGGGCCGCGATCTCACCCCCGACCTCGTCCGAGCCGCTCTTACCGGCCCTGCCGCATCCCAGATTCCTCCTCCTCGTATCGCAGGAGCCGTTCCTCCCAGTGCTGGTCCCGCTCCTCCCACTGGTCCTGCTCCTGCCAGTGGCGCTCCTGCTCCCCCTGCTGCTCGAGGTCCTGTGCCTGCTCCTCCTCCTGGTGCTGCTGCTGTTGCCGCTCCTGCTGCTGCTCCTGCTGCTGCAGTTGCCCCCACTGCTGCCGCAGCAGCATCCCAGCAACCTCGCCGGCCGTCCCCTACTCCCACTCGTCCCGGGATGGGTCCAAGCGCTACTGCTGCTCCCCAACCACTCTCCACCTTTCCATCTGGGTTCGGCACAGGTTCGGCAGGTGCGGGAGGAGGTTCGGGAGGGCTAACAGCAGCGGCAGCAGCAGCGGGACTGAAGCCGAAGCAGCCTGGTGCTCTGTCTGACGTGTTTGCTGAGTTCGGGGGCATTGATCTCAAGTCTAAGTCCGTGCAGCCCACTCACGCGCCTACTAGGAGGGAGCTGCCAGGGTCGCTGCAGCAGCAGCAGCAGCAAGCGCAGATAGGGACGATTCAGCTGCAGCAGCAGATGGCTGCGAAGCAGCAGCAGGACCAGTTGCAGCAGCAGCAGCAGTTGCAACAGCAACAGCAACAGCAACAGCAACAGCAACAGCAACAGCAACAGCAACAGCAGCAGCAACAGCAACAGCAGCAGCAGCAGCAGCAGCAACAATTGCAACAACAACAGCAGCTGCAGCAACAGCAGGCCTTCCCACCACCACAGCAGCAGCAGCAGACGCTAGGTGAGGAAAGGCCATCTCAAGGTCTTGCACCTGCTGCTGCTCCTTCTGCACCTTCCCCCGCCATCCCTACTGCTGCTCTTGAAGAACCCAGGCCTTCCATTGCCGAGCCTCCTCCCCCTGCCACCGCTGCTGCTCCTGCTGCTACTGAGCCCTCAGCAGCAAAGGCAGGGGTTGTAGATGCAGGGATAGCGGCAGCAGCAGGTGTCCAAGACGCAGCGAAAAAGGACGCAGATAGAGCGGGTGCAGGGGCAACAGGAGCAGGAGCAACAGCAGCAATATCACAAGACGCAGCAGGGAAGGTGACACGAACAGCCGATGACATCGCAAAGGCGTCTCTCAACGCCTTCCTGGCAGGAGGCGTGTCCAACGCCATGGTGCCCAGGCAACCCCCTTCGTCCGCCACAGCAGCAGCGGCAGGGCAGGGCATCCCAGGCCAAGCCATGCCTGGAGCTGGTGCGCCTGGTGCTCTTGTTGCGGCAGGTATCTCCCCTCCTCCACCTTCCGTCCCCTCAGCAGGGGCAGCAGCAGCAGCAGCAGCAGCAGGGGGGGCAGCGGCAGGAGGGGGGTATGTGATGGTGGCAGGGGATCCCCAACCGTGGCCCCGGTTGACAGTGGCAGAGGTGCAGAGGTGTGCGCAGGTGTTCAGCGCGGTGGACACGGATAGAGATGGTAAAATTACTGGCGAGCAGGCCAGGAAGCTGCTCATGAGCTACAAGGTCCCCATTGGTGAGCTCTCCAGTGGACTCTCTCTCATTCCCGTGCCTCCTTTCCTCGTCCTTCCGCTCCTGTTTTCCCTTGCTCCCTCTTCCCTGTCTGTCTGCTTCCCGTCTCCCCTCTCCCTCTTGACCCATTCTTGTCTGTTTCCCATTGCTCCTCTCCTCTCCCCAGACGTGCTGAAGAGAGTGTGGGACATGTCGGACCAGGATGGGGACGGCATGCTGACCCTGAGAGAGCTCTGCACCGCTCTGTACCTCATCAACCACGTCAAGGCTGGCCGCACCCTGCCCCCCGCTTTGCCGAAAGGCATCCACCTCGATGAGCAACCAGCACCCCCTGCTGCTGGTGGTACTGGTACTGCTGCTGCTGCTGCTGCTGCTGCTGGTGCTGCTGCTGCTGGGACTGCTGTTTCTGCTCCTGGCGCTGTCCCAGGAAGCTCAGCAGCACCTACTGCTGCTGGTGGTGCAGGGGGGGTGGGAGGAGAAGCAGGAGCGGGCACAGCAGCTGGGGCTGGTGCAGTGGTGGTGTCGGCTTGGAGGCATGAACCAGGTGGGTGCAGTCATGGGATCTTGTGCGTCCATGGCTTTGCCTGCACCATTGTGCTTGTATGTATAGTATAAATTGCGGCTTCGCTGCTGCGCCTGAATCTATGCTTATTATGCCAAGCCAGCTTCATGAGCCGTGTCACAGTTTTGATACTACTTTGTGTTCTCTTAGGTTGCTGTCTGATATGTGGCGTATTCGTCCTTTCAACATCCCAACCACCAATTCCTTGCCCACAGGGAGTGCCAAGCCAGAGCAGCAGCAGCAGCGACCAACGGTAGTGGTGCGTGGCTGCCTCCCATCCCCTCTTTCCCACTTGTCGGTTGCCATGCTTGTATATCCTCTTCGCTTCTCCTCCTTCTCGCTCTCTCTCCCTCCCTCCTTCCCACCCTCCCATAGAACCCATTTCCCCATCACTCAACTCCACACCACCTAACCCCGCACCCCAACGGCTGACGGGTGTGGGGTAGATGCCGGCTGTGCCAGCGGTGGCAGGCGACGTGGACGCATCCCGGCCGGTGTACTGGTCGCAGGCTCCTGACTGCTGTGGGGCGCCTCACACCACACCATACCACAAACCCCATGTCCACACCACTCAACCCCACACCACTCAAACCCCCATCACACACCCCCACACCACTCAACCCCCCACCGCACACCCTCACACTTCAACAGCTGACAGGCGTGGGGCAGATGCCGGTGTCAGCAGAGGCAGGCGACGTGGATGCATCTCGGCCGGTGTACCGGTCGCAGGCGCCGGACCTGGAGGGGGAGAAGGTGGCTCAGCTGGATGCGGAGGAGAGGGAGAAGATCGAGAGCAAGCACAGGGAGGCCGAGGAGATAGGGAAGAAGGTGAGCGAGGGGCGGAGGAAGGGACGTGGCGGCATGGGGAGGGGGGGGGGAGAAGATGGGGGGGAGGAGAGTGAGACGAGCGCGCCCTAGTGAGACGAGTGCATATGTAGGTTTTACAATCTTACAAGCCCTCGTTTGTCTTGTGGATTCATGTGTGTGATCACCCATAGTGTGCCCAACCCAACCCCCCTTTCAAGTGGTCAGTTTATTGATGTAACCCAGGTACAGTCTATGCTAATGTCCACCCCCATCTCTCTCGGTCTTTGCACCATCTCTCTCGGTCTTTGCACCATCTCTCTCGGTCTTTGCACCATCTCTCTCGGTCTTTGCACCATCTCTCTCGGTCTTTGCACCATCTCTCTCGGTCTTTGCACCATTGTACGGCTGTGTTTCACATGCTCTGTACATGTGTCTGTTGCGATTGCCAGGTGTGGGAGACGGAGTTGCAGATTGCTGACTACAGGAGGAAGATAGACTTCTATCGGGTCAAGATGCAGGAAATCGTGAGTCGCCATGGGATGCCATGCCATGTCATATGTATGCCATGCCATATGCATGCCAACCACCTGTTTTTGTCCTCTCACTCCTTGCACTCAGCTCATTCCTTCGCTCACATTTGTTCCAACGTCTTGAGATGCTGTTGACCAGTCTTGCGGTTAGAGCTTGCTTTCCCACACCATGAATTTTTGTATCTCTTGAAATCCCTCTTCTTACATCCCTGAACTTGTGCGCCCCTGCCATTGTGCCTCTTGCATGCATGCCTGTACCATCCCATGCCATCCCATCCCATGCCATGCCATGCCATTCCGTGCCATGCCATCCCATGCTATGTCATGCGATGCCATGCCATGCCGTACCATCCCATCCCATCCCATGCCATGCCATGCCATGCCATGTCATGCCATGTCATGCCATGCTATGCCGTGCCATGCCATCCCACGCCATCCCATCCCATGCCATGCCATGCCATACCATGCCATCCCATTCCATGCCATGCCATGCCATGCCATCCCATCCCATCCCATGCTATGCCATGCCATGCCGTGCCATGCCATGCCATCCCATGCCATCCCATACCATCCGATGCCATGCCATGCCATGCCGTCCCATCCCATCCCATGCCATGCCTGTGTGTGTCCATCAGATCATGTTCAAGAGCCGCTGTGACAACCGCTTGAACGATGTGACCGAACAAGTTTCAGCGGAGAAGAGACACGTGAGTGGCAGGAGAGAAGAGACACGTGAGTGGCAGGAGAGAAGAGACACGTGAGTGGCAGGAGAGAAGAGACACGTGAGTGGCAGGAGAGAAGAGACACGTGAGTGGCAGGAGAGAAGAGACACGTGAGTGGCAGGAACAGGAGGTGTTGTTATCCCTTGAATCACGAAACACCCCATATGGTCCCAATGCTGATATTTCTCAAGCATACTCAACGTTTCTCATTCCAGTGTGGGTTTCTCTCTGTTGCTTCCCCTGCCGGCCCCCCTGCCCTTCGCCACCTGGCGTCCACCAATCGCAGCACGACATGCTGTGCAAGCGGTACGACGAGCGCTTCAAGGCGTCCATGCCAGGTGTCAAGTCGCGATTGGCGTATGAGGACAGCGTGCTCAAGGAACTGCAGGTGGGTGGTGGCGGACTGCGGCTTGTGTTTCATTCTGGGCTGGGGTTGAATGGAAGGGCCTGGTGGTGACACCTCTTTCCTCACTTTCCTCTGTTCCAACATGTTTCTGCCATGTTAATGCACTGTGTGGCCTGTTTGTTTGTCTGCCATGTCATGTCACACCACCACGTTTCATGCCATGCCATGCCATGCCATGTCGCGTGCACCACTATACAGGACCGCAAGGCGCAGCTGATGGAGGTGGTGTCGCGGTTCCATGCCACCACTGACGTTTCCGACCTGCTGCAGGTGGGTCTCTGGGGGGTGGTGGTGGTGGTGGGGGGCTTATCTGATGTAGGTGACATTGTGTGGCTTACCTCCCCGCGTCCCACCCTCTCACCCCCGTCTTCACATTTCATCCTTCCGCCCTACCTCCCTCTCCACCTCGGCCGTGCAGACAAGCCGGGCATGCACCTGGAGGATGTGAGGTGGGCCTGAAGGGCCCCTATCCCGCTCACCCCTACCCTTCAACCCCTGCCCCTCTTGCTTCTCACCAGGGCCGCGCAGACAAGCTGGGCATGGACCTGGAGGATGTGAGGCGGGCCATCAACCGCCAGGCCAAGGACCTGGGGCTCAAAGTGCGGCCGCTGCTGGGGGCCACCTCGGGGGCTGATGGTGGGTGCTCGTGCTCCAGGAGGCTTGCTGTGCTCAGCTTGTGTTTTTTTTTTTTTTTTTTTTTTTTTTTTTTTTTTTTTTTTTTTTTTTCTGTTTGTTGACCTTACCTCCCTTGTTCTGCCTTCTCGTTCCTATGTGTATGCTTGTACTGTTCGCACATGAATGCATAAATGTGTTCGGGATGCATGCATGCATAAGTGTGTGGATGCATGCATGCATGCACAATGTGTGGGTGTGTGAATGCTGCACATATGCATGCATGCATGCACATGTGATGGTGTGTGAACGAATGCACACATGCACATATGCATGCATACCCATGGCAGCGTGGCGAGTGGCCCTGCAGGAGAACATGGCGGATTGCGATGATGACTGGGACGAGTTCATGGACCAAGGTGGGCGTGATGGATGATGTGAGGGGTATGGTGGCTATGGTGGCTATGGTGGGTATGGTGGGTATGGTGGGTATGGTGGGTATGGTGGGTATGGTGGGTATGGGGGGTATGGGGGGGTATGGTACCATGGCATGGCGGAATGAGACGATGACTGGGACGAGTTCATGGACCAAGGTGGGCATGATGGACGATGTGAAAGAGTGTGGTGTGTATGGTGGGCGAACGTGCTGTGAGGGGAATGGCGGATATGGTACCATGGCATGGCGGATTGCGACAATTTCATGGACCAAGGTGGGCATGATGGTTGCACGTGATGGGAGGGGTGCGGTGGGTATGGGGGTGTGGTGGGTGTTGTGGGCATGCTGGGCATGCTGGGTATGCTGGGTATGCTGGGTATGCTGGGTATGCTGGGTATGCTGGGTATGCTGGGTATGCTGGGTATGCTGGGTATGCTGGGTATGGTAGGTGTGGTGGGTTATGCTCTTTGGGCATTCTGGGGTTATGAGGGCATTCTGGGGTTATGAGGGCATTCTGGGGTTATGACTCCTGAGGGCATTCCGGGGTTATGGGGCAAGGTAAGGTATACACCTCTTCTCTCTCCCTGCATCTCCGCTCCCCCACCACACCTTACTCTCCTCCCGGTTTCATGTGGTGCGCCCGCGCACAGACGACCTGCCTGATACGGAGGAAGACGGGCCTTCTCTCTGCTGCCCTCAGACGCGAATCAACACTTCTCCCTCCCCCCTCTTCTCACCCCTCCCCGCTTGCTTCTCTCTCCCTCCTGCCAGGTTTCCATGTGGTGCACACAGATGACCTGCCAGGGGGAGATGACAAATCCATACCCTCTTCTTTCCCTCACCACCGCCCCCCCCCCCCCTTTGCTTCCATCTCCCTGCCCCCAGGCTTTTCTGTGGTGCGCACGTGCATGGACGACCTGCTGGGGGCGATGAGGACGAGCATACTCTCTGATGCACTCAGACGCCTCTCAACAATCCCCCCCCCCCCTCCCCCCCTCCCTCCCTTCCCCCCGCTTTCCTCTTCCCTGCCCCCAGGCTTCTCTGTGGTGCGCACGCGCACGGACAACCTGCTGGGAGGCGATGAGGACGAACCTGCTCCGCTCATCCCCCTGGGGCCCGTCACCCCCTCCACGCCGCCTCTTCTCCCTGCTGTTGATGCTGCCCCGCCTCCTCCCCTTGCTGCTGACGACACTGGTGCTGATGGCGCTGCTGCTGCTGGTGCTGGTGCGGGTACTGGTGGTGCTGCCTCTGCGTGGGCACTTTTGGAGGAGGAGGAGGAGAGGAGAGCGAGAGAGGAGGGGGAAGAGGGGGAGGAGGAGGAGGAGCAAGGGGAGGAGAGTGGTGAATTGGCAGGGGAAGGGGGGATTGGTGGGCTGGGAGGGTGGTCGAGAGGGAGTGGAAGGGGGAGAGGGGGAATGGGGGAGGAGGAGGAGGAGGAGGAGGAGGAGGAGGAGGAGGAGGAGGAGGAGGAGGAGGAGGAGGAGGAGGAAGCTGGCCATGAGATGGAGGAGGAACCGGAGACGCCACAGGGGTGAGTATCCTGATTTTTGAACTCTAAACACGAGCTCCCATGTCTGTCAGAGCCTGATTCTTGCTCTGCCCTGCCCTTCTCCCAGTCTCTCCTTCCCTGTCCTGCACCATCCTCCCCCCATCACAGCCCGTCTGCGTGGGACAACCGCTTTGGCTTCACAGCATCGGGGGTGGACTCGCCCTCTGTCTCGCAGGTCAGCGCTCCTAGTCCCTCGCACCCTTTGCTCTACTTCCCCTGCTCCTAGTCACTCTCACCCCGTGTGCTCTACTTCCCTGTGTTCTACGTCCGCTGCTCCGTCACCCCCGCTACCTCAACCCTCTAGTTCTCCCCTCTCCTGCCTCCCAGTCACACACAACCCTGCTCGTTTCCTAAAACAGCTTCCTGTATACCCATCGTCCCCTCACTGCCCCTCCCCAATCCCTCCTGGTTTGTATGTTTGGGCATTCGTATGTTTGGGAGTTCACATGTTTGGGAGTTCACATGTTTGGGTGTTCGCATGTTTGGGAGTTCGTACGTTTGGGTGTTCGTGTTTTTGGGAGTTTCTATGTTAGAGGGTTCGTATGTTAGGGGGTTTGTATTTTAGGGAGTTTGTATGTTTGGGAGTTCGTATGTTTGGGAGTTCGCATGTTTGGGCGTTTGCATGTTTGGGCGTTCGTATGTTAAGGGGTTCGTATTTTAGGGGGTTCGTATGTGAGGGGGTTCGTATGTTAGGGGGTTCGTATGTTAGGGGGTTCGTATGTTAGGGAGTTCGTATGTTAGGGGTACGTATGTTAGGGTGTTCGTATGTTTGGGGGTTCGTATGTTAGGGGGTTAGTATGTGCAACATTGTGCAACACCGTGCAACACGTTGCAACACGGTGCAATATTGTGCAACACCGTACAGCTTTGTGCAACACTGTACAACACTGTGCAAAACCGTGCAACACCGTGCGACACAAAGCAAAAACGTGCAACACTGCAACACCGTGCAACACCATGTAACACTATGTAATACCATGCAACATTGTGCAACAACGTGCAATATTGTGCAACGTTGTTCAACACTGTGCAACACCGTGCAACATTGTGCAACATTGTGCCACACTGTGCAACACCGTTTTCGTCTATGTTGGAAAATACGCGTATTGCATTTAGTACGCCAGTGTATATGCGTTAGCGTTTATACGCAACACGCTTGGAAAGGGGGTATGCGGTACGCATGCAAGACGGAAGTTCGGGCAGGGGAAAAAACATTTCGGGCAGGAAAAATTGTCGTGCTAGGAGGAGTGGTAGGAACGGGTCAACATTTCTCCTGGCGAGCTGAGTACAACGGCGCGAGAACTAAGGGAGGGATTTTTTCTAGAGAGTTACGACTCAGAATTAGGTTAGGTGCTGCTCCTCTGCATCACGACTCTAGTGAGTCGTCAATGGTCATAGAACAGAAAGGTTGGGAAAGGGAGGTGATGTTGAGATTGAATGCGGTGGGGAAGCTGTTTGGGGTTGGAGTTTAAACCACAATCGGATTGGGTTGGAAAGGTTAGGATCGATTGAATGCGGTGGGGAAGCCTTTTGGGGTTGGAGTTCAAGACACAAACTCAATGTCGATTTTGCGATGTGCCGCTTTTGTCGTCAGCCCGCAATTCTGTGCGGATGAGTTGGCGATGTGCGAAACCCCTTTTTGGTTTGCCCACTCGCGAACTGTCGCGGGAAAAACGTTTTTTTCGCGGTCAGCCCATTCGTTTTTCGGAGAATCTCCACCCAAAACGCATCGTACGAATTTTACTCGCGTTAACGCAAAACGCAAAACCAGATGTGCGTTTTTTCCAATCGTATGTGCATTGTGCAACACCATGCAACACTGTGTGACACCGTGCAACACGGTGCAACACTATGTAACACCGTGCAACACTATGTAACACCGTGCAACATTGTGCAACATTGTGCAACACCGTGCAACATTGTGCAACACTGCAACACTGTGCAACACAGTGCAACATCGTGCAACAGTGTTCAACACTATGTAACACCGTGCAATACTGTGCAACACCGTGCGACACCGTGCAACACCGTGCGACACACCGTGCAACTCTATGCAACAACGTGCAACACTGTGCAACACCGTGCAACACTATGTAACACCGTGCAACATTGTGCAACACTGTTCAACATTGTGCAACACTGTGCGACACTGTGCAACATTGTGCAACACTGTGCAACACTTGTGCAACACCATGCAACACTTTGCGCCATCGTGCAACACGGTGCAATACCGTGCAACACTGTGCAATACTGTGCAACACCGTGCAACATTGTGCAACATGGTGCAACACCGTGCAACACGGTGCAACACCGTGCAACACGGTGCAACACCGTGCAACATTGTGCAACACTGTGCAACACTGTGCAACACCGTGCAACACGGTGCAACACGGTGCAACACTGTGCAACACCATGCAACACCGTGCAACACCGTGCGACACCGTGCAACACCATCCATCCCACACCTTCCATCCCCTTTTCGTCAACCCCATGTATCCCTTTCCGTGCGTTTTATTGTCACTCCCCCCCTCCCACCAACCCCAGTCGATGGAATTCCAGCCCTCGGCCTTTGCCGCTCAGGACTTCGCCTCGGGATTCGACGACCATGTCGACTCGTCTGGATTCCGAGCCTCCGGCCAGTTTGACTCGGGCTTCCGAGCCTCGGGCCAGTTCAATCCGCACTCACGTCCGGAGGATTCTGCGAGTGCTTCGGAACAATCAGGTGGGGCAGGGTTGGGCCGCCCGGATGATTACTCTGAGGTGGCTTCAGGTAGCGCTGCTGGATTCGATTCTGCCGCCGGATTTGATTCTGCTGCGGGGTTTGATTCTGCCTACGGAAGTGGGAGGGGCAGTGGCGGCAGGGGTGTGGGGGTGCCGGCGTCGCGGTTTGATGAGCATGTGGGGGAGGTGGAGGCATCTTCAGCCGAAAACACTCCGGTGGCTGGCGCAGGTGGTGGCGGGTACTTCTCCCAGAGCGGGTGGAGTGCATTCTAGCGCTGCTTTGGGTGTGTTGCCGCGCACAACCAGCACCTGGGGAGCAGCAAGTGGAGAAGGGCAGGTGGTGTGGGGAAGGGGGCATCTTCTCCAGAGAACACACCGGTGAGCGGTGCAGGTCGTGACGGGTACTTCTTCCAGAGCGGGTGGAGTGCGTTCCAACGCTGCTTCGGTGTTTTTTTGCATGCACAATTAGCACTTGGGGAGCAGACTTCGGGCGAGGGGGTCATGTGCCATGTTGGGGGGGAGGCATTGTCTGCTGAGTTATGATGATTCAGGACTTCCAGTAGCAAACGATTCAAGTTCTCGTGCATGCATTGTGTCAGAACTGCTGTGCAAAGCACAAGAGTTTTGGTTGTCAAGACTGCTTCGTGTTGCACTGAGTTTTCGGCTTTGCATGCACGTGTAGTGCAAACCCCTAAACCCTTGCCAATGCACCCCAACCCAAGTATCCCTTCCACAACATCATAGTGATGCCTGTTGGGGAAAGGCAGGCCCTAGATACTGGTAGAAGCGCCGCACAGCCGAATTGGGCGTGCCGCACACCACTACCCTCCCTGCATGCATAATGAACGCCCTGTCGCACAGCCCCCCAGCGACTCCCCCGCACTATGGTTCCGTGATGAGCACCGCCAGCCTCTCCTGCTCCCGCAGCCACCTCAACAACTCCCGGTATGTAGTTCCCACGCATGGCGGCTACTAGTGGTAATCGGCTGCTGTTGCATCACAGTACTGCCTGCCGAGGGAAGGCAGGTCCCAGATAGAAGCGCTGCACAGCCGGATTGGCCAGCACCTCCTTAGGCGTGCCACAGGCCACCACCCTCCCCTCGTGCATGACATACGCCCTGTCGCACACGCCCAGCGTCTCCCCCACGTTATGGTCCGTGATGAGCACCGCCATGCCCTCCTGCTCTCGCAGCCCCCGCAGCATGGCCTGCATGTGCTGCACGCCTATGGGGTCCACGCCTGCAAAGGGCTCATCCACCATTAGCAAGCGCGGCGGGTTGCAGTCGCTGTCCTTCACGGCCAGGGCTCGAGCTACCTCCTGCTTGAGGGTGGGGGAAGGGGGCGGTAGAGGAGGATAGGGGAGCATGGAAGACAGAGCAGCATGACCATCACCAGGCGCGGCGGCCTGCAGTCACTGTCCTTCACGGCCAGGGCTCGAGCTACCTCCTGCTTGAGGGGTGTGGTGTGGATAGACGAGCATGGAGCAGCATGGTTTGCATGTGCTACACACCTACTATGAAAGCAAGAACACATGCATGAATGCATAGACGCATGGAAACGAAGCGAGGGCGGGAGCACACGCACCGCTCGGCGCCTCTCTCCGCCTGACAGGTGGCGCCCGAGCGTGCCTGCTACGTGGACCAGGTCGAACTTGTGCAGCAGCTCCTGGGGGGATGAGGGGGGAGGGGGAGCATGGGGAATGACGGGGAGCAGGGGTGAGGGGAACAGGGATGGGGGGAGCAGTGCGGAGGGGCTATGCAGAGACATGCCATGGGAGGCAGTGGGCGTGCCATGGGCATGCATGCACACACTGCAGCCCTCTCATCATGTAAATCATCCGGCGGTGGTCCCTCCTGCAGCACCACCTGCATGTTGTGAGCCACGGACAGCCCCTGCGTCCCCCTGTGGCTCCTCCTGCGACAGGAGCGCCTCTGGTGGCGCATTCAGGCAGGGAGCTTAGGCACACTCACACACAACGCAACGCATACCTCAATCCTCTCACCATGCAGCTCATCAGGTGGAGGGCCCTCTTCTAAGACCAGTGCCGCGCTCATTCCTTTGAAGATGCTCGCCCCTTTCAGCAGGAAGGCCTCTGGTGGTACATTCAGGGTACACCTCTTACCCGCATGCACACACAATGCATACCTCCATCCTCCTATAGTGCAGCTCTTCAGGTAGCGGCCCCTCTTCCAAGACCAGCCGGATGCTGTCAGCAGCAGACAGCCCTCGGAAGATGCTCGCCTCTTGCGGCAGGATCGCCACTGGTGATACATGCAGGCATACCTCTAAGTCGCACGCACGCACAGCGCATACCTCTAAGTCGCACGCACGCACAGCGCATACCTCCATCCTTGCACCATGCAAGTGCGCAGGCAGTGGTCCCTCCTCCAGCACCAGCCGGATGTTATCAGCCACGGACAGCCCCCTGAAGATGCTCGCCTCTTGTGGCAGGAACGCCACGCCCAGCCGCGCCCGCCGCTCCAGGGGCACCCCCGTGACGTCAGCGCCGGCCAATCGCACGGTGCCAGCTGTCGGGGTCTTCCTGCCGACGGCGATGCTGAAGGTGGTGCTCTTGCCCGCGCCGTTGGGCCCCAGCAGCCCCACCTGGGGGGGGATGGGGGATGGGTGGGGGGACGCATGGACGCGCGGGGGGATAGAAGCAGGGGGAGGGGGGGTGTGGGGGTGAGGGAGGGGAGGCAGAAAGGGGCAGTAACGGCGAGAATGTCGGACGGTGCATGCTTGACGAGGGGGGTCAGAGGGTAGGAGATAGTAGGGGAGGAGAGGAGAGGCGAAGGGACGGACGGACGGAGGGGCGGGACAGAGGCAGGGCAGGGAAGCAGTAGTTACAATTTCGCGGCTGTCCACGTGGAGTGACACGTCATCCAGAATGACGCGGTTCCCAATTCTCATCCCGATTCGCTGCAGATCCAAACACCGCGACCCGCCTGCTCGCTCGCTTGCGTCATCGTCGCTCGCACTGTCGCCCTCCCTCCCCCCGACGTCGCTCGCCAAGGTGCTGCTCTGCGACAGCCAAGCAGATCGCACGGATCGCAAGGCGTTTAAGAAACGGCTGAATGACGGGAAGTAGCGGATAGCCCGACGACTCTGCGACGACGGGATTACCATCTGAACGATCGGCAGCGCGCTCGGTCGTATAACGACAGCGAATGCCGCCTAGATTGCACTGGAGATCTGACGTTTAACGTTGGAAGACACGAACGTGGTGTGAGAGCGAATCTTGAGGAAGACGCCAAGAAGTTTCGGGTGCCCAGATTTGCCATAGCTGCTGAAGCGGGGCTGAGCGTGCTGTTCTAGCGGAGTTTGCTGTCGGGCTTTCGCAATGTCGCAGACGACGACGCTGACGGAACGTAATCTGGTTCCGTGCAATGCGCTGTACGTCAGAAAGATTCAAGAATGCCAAGCAATAAAGCTGTGCGACGAGTGGGTCACCGTGAAATGCGCTGACTGGAGAATGGTAAGGTGGTGCCAGAATTGTCATGCGACAAGTCGGCGAGGGAAGCAAGATGAATCGCAGGCGATGTCGCTCGGCAGAAATTCGAGGGTGTTGGGCGACAGACTCGCCTGTGATGGGAATCCCGAAACAAAGTGCTTCGCCTCATTGCTGTTACCACCACGCCACATGCGAAAACCATCGCCAATCGCCGTCCGTCTTCGCAACCAACACGCCTCGTGTTTCCCCGTCGCCTCTTCCCAGTCCCTCGCTCCTTCCAGCACCTAATCTGCACCAGCAGCCATAAATTAGGTCAACAACCAAGCTCGTTGTTTCCGTATCGCCCTTATGGCGCGTTCAGTCTAGGCATTTCTCGCCTCCTTTCGACCGCCACTCGTCACCTAGTTTCCTCGTATTAACCCCTCTTCCGCGCTGCGTCTCCCTTTATTTTACTTGTTCGCGTCGTCCTCTCGTCGTATCTATTCCACCGTGTCCCTACGGGATCGTAGCCGCCGTTCCCTTCCGCTGACTCGCGTTGCTATTTCGTTGTACTGTTCGTAGCGTGGCGCCGAAATAGCTGTACTTTCTCGTTAGCTCTTTTTCTGGTAGAAAACTCTTCTAGGAGACTGCCATGGGACAGCGTGAACCCTAGGCAGCTCGTGTAGAATGAGGTCTCGTTCATTTCTTTAGGACAGCTCTTACATTCTAACGGCCATTCGTCCAACCCTGTGTTCATATCTCGCATCTTTCCTCTATAACCACCTCCACTAACCCTCGCTAAACTCGCATTGTGCAATAATAACGAGTCATGGACGACTGTGACTGTATCGGGGGCCAGTGGGCCACGGACGACCTCTTAATCCGCTACCAGTACGTCTCCGACTTCTTCATCGCGCTCGCCTACTTCTCCATCCCCCTCGAGTTAATCTACTTCGTAAAAAAATCCGCCGTGTTTCCGTACCGGTGGGTGCTGGTGCAGTTCGGTGCGTTTATAGTTCTCTGCGGTACGACCCACCTCATCAACATGTGGACCTTTCGCGAACACACGCGAACCGTCGCCTTCGTCATGACCATCGCGAAAGTGCTCACGGCGGTCGTCTCGTGTGCGACGGCGCTCATGCTGGTGCACATAATTCCGGACCTGCTATCCGTTAAGACCCGCGAGCTGTTCTTAAAGAATAAAGCGGCTGAGCTTGACCGCGAGATGGGGCTCATTCGCACGCAGGAGGAGACGGGGCGCCACGTGCGGATGCTCACGCACGAGATCCGCTCGTCGCTGGACCGCCCCACCATTCTCAACACCACGCTCGTGGAGCTCGGGCGCACGCTGCAGCTGGACGAGTGCGCGCTGTGGATGCCCGCTAATCTGGCTGGTGAGTCATTGGGGAAACCGGGCTGGTCAGCGAGCAGCGTAACCTGGCTGGGAAGGGGGTAGGGTCACCTGGCTGGACCGCCCCACCATTCTGAACAGAACGCTGGTGGAGCTGGGCCGCACGCTGCAGCTGGACGAGTGCGCGCTCTGGGTGCCCGCTAGCCTCGCTCGTACGTGAGCAGGGTAACTGGGGTGGGAGTGGAGTAGGGTTTCCTGGCTGGCCTGGCCTGGCCTTTGGATTCCGAACAGGTCGGCCGCACGCTGCAGCTGGACGAGTGCGCGCTGTGGATGCCCGCTAATCTGGCTGTGGGAACTGTTTAAGTGAACAGGTGTGGGAAGAGGTTAGAGGGTTAAAGAGCAGGCTTGGGGTTAATTGGCAGCACAGCACAGCGTTGACGCTTTGCCGCCATCTCTCGCCGCTATCGCTGTAGTCGCTCCCACCCTCTCCTCCCTCTCCTCACCCCCCCTCCACTCATCCCCCCTCCACGCATCCCCCCTCCACTCATCCCCCCTCCACGCATCCCCCCTCCACTCACCCCCCCTCCACTCACCCCCCCTCCACTCATTACCTCTCACCAGGCGACGACGACGGCGACAGCGGCGGGTCCCCGTCCGACCTGCAGCTGATCCACACGCTGCACCGGCCCTCGTCAGAGAAGGGTAGAGTGTGCGAAGCAAGGTTCAACGTCCCCCCCTCCCCCTCTCCCCATCCCCCCCTTGCCAGGCGACGACGACGGCGACAGCGGCGGGTCGCCATCCGACCTGCAGCTGATCCACACGCTGCACGAGCCCAAGCCGCCCCCGGTGACCGTCACCCTCGCTCACCCCACAGTGAAGCAGGTCTTCAGCACCAGCCGCGCCGTTGTCATCTCGCCCAACAGCCCCGTAACGGCCATCCCAGGGGGAGGGGGCCGAGCGGGCGGCAACCGCTACGTGGCCGGGGACGTGGTCGCGGTGCGCATCCCTCTCCTGCACGCGAACACGTTCGCGGGCGGCGGGGCGGGCGGCGGGGGCGGCAGCGACTGGCAGGACTCGCGGGAGAGGAGCTACGCGCTGCTGGTGCTGATGCTGCCGGCAGACAGCGCGCGGCGGTGGCACGTGCACGAGCTGGAGATGGTGGAAGTGGTGGCAGACCAAGTCGCTGTGGCCCTCTCCCACGCGGCCATCCTAGAGGAGTCGATGCACGCCAGGGACCTGCTTATGGAGCAGAACGTGGCTCTGGACCACGCGAGAGCGCAGGCCGAGAAGGCCATCCGCGCTCGTAACGATTTCTTGGCGGTGATGAACCACGAGATGCGCACGCCCATGCACGCCATCATCGCGCTCTCCACGCTGCTGCAAGAGACGGAGCTCACCCCCGAGCAGCGCAGCATGGTGGACACCGTGCTCAAGTCCAGCAACCTGCTCGCCACGCTCATCCACGACGTGCTGGACCTCTCGCACCTGGAGGACGGCAGCATGCTGCTGGACGTCCGCACCTTCAATCTGCACGCTACTTTCCGGGAGGTAGCGTCCCTCGTGAAGCCCGTTGCATCGGTGAAGAAGCTTGGGGTGACCTTGAGGCTGCAGTCCGACGTGCCTGAGTTTGCGGCGGGGGATGAGCGGCGGCTGCTGCAGACGGCGCTGAATGTAGTGGGGAATGCGGTGAAGTTTACCCGGGATGGGAGCATCACGATCACCGTGTGCCTGGAGCGCCCGGAGTTCCAGCGGGATAAGAACTTCCCCAAGTTTGTGCCGGTGGTGGCGCTGGGGGACAAGCACTACTACGTGCGCGTGCAGGTGGGTGCTAGTGCTCACTGGCACTGCTGGTTGCAGGGTTTGTGATGGCTAGTCAAATGCTCCTAGTGCGTATGCTGCTGGCGCTGGGGGACAAGCACTACTACGTGCGCGTGCAGGTGGGCGCTGGTGCTCACTGGCACTGCTGGTTGCAGGGTTTGTGATGGCTAGTCAAATGCTCCTAGTGCGTATGCTGCTGGCGCTGGGGGACAAGCACTACTACGTGCGCGTGCAGGTGGGCGCTGGTGCTCACTGGCACTGCTGGTTGCAGGGTTTGTGATGGCTAGTCAAATGCTCCTAGTGCGTATGCTGCTGGCGCTGGGGGACAAGCACTACTACGTGCGCGTGCAGGTGGGCGCTGGTGCTCACTGGCACTGCTGGTTGCAGGGTTTGTGATGGCTAGTCAAATGCTCCTAGTGTGTATGCTGCTGGCGCTGGGGGACAAGCACTACTACATGCGCATGCAGGTGGGTGCTGGTGGTTACTGTTACCGGTGGTTGCAGTGTGCGCTGTTTCCACCAGTAACACCACTCCCGCGCTGCTTCCACCGCTCACCCGCCCCTTATTGTCTTGGGTGTGCGTGCAGGTGAAGGACACGGGCGTGGGGCTGCGGCAGGAGGGCCAGAGGAGTTGATGACGGTTGAGTGGCTTCTTCTCATATTTGCCTCCCCATATCCGTCGCCCTCCGCCCTTTGTCCTGCGCAGGTGAAGGACACGGGCGTGGGGCTGCGGCAGGAGGACCAGAGGAAGCTGTTCAGCAAGTTCGTGCAGGCGGACGCCACCACCACGCGCAACTACGGCGGCACCGGGCTGGGGCTCGCCATCTGCAAGCGGTGAGGGTTGGCAAGGCCAGGTATGGAAGCGGTGAGGGTTGGCAAGGCCAGGTATGGAAGCGGTGAGGGTTGGCAAGGCCAGGTATGGAAGCGGTGAGGGTTGGCAAGGCCAGGTATGGAAGCGGTGAGGGTTGGCAAGGCCAGGTATGGAAGCGGTGAGTGGATGGGGCGAGCTGGCGTGTGTGGATGGAGCTCTCTCCATGGCCTTGGGCTGACGCCGCCACCACCTTGAATGAACTGCGGCGGTACTGCCACAGGGTCCCACATCTGCAACTGTAAGTATGCGTTTCTCTCTCCTCCCTCCTCTTTGCTCCTGCACTCTCTCTCTCTCCTCCCCCCCCCTCCCACTCACACACTCACAGCTTCGTGAGCATGATGGGGGCCACATCTGGGTGGAGAGCGAGGGGCCGGGCTAGGGACCATGCCCCCACTCCCATTCTCCCATGCCCATTTCCCCCTCGCCCCCACATTCCCCCTCTCCTTCCCCCCTCCTCTCCCCACCCCCCCAGCTTTGTGAGCATGATGGGGGCCACATCTGGGTGGAGAGCGAGGGGCTGGGCTAAGGGACCATGCCCGCCCTCCCATTCCCCCCCATTTCCCACATTCCCCCTCTCTCCCTCCTTCCCTTCCCTTCCCTGCCCTTCCCTGCCCTTCCCTTCCCGTCCCTTGGCGTCCCTTGGCGTCGCGCCACAAGCGCAGCTTCGTGAGCATGATGGGGGGCCACATCTGGGTGGAGAGCGAGGGCCCGGGCAAGGGCACCACAGTCACCTTCGTCGTGCGCCTGGGGCTGCCGGAGAAGGCGGACGACCGCAGCAAGGCGGGGCCGGCCGGGCAGAAGCAGGCCGCGGGGGGCGCTGGGGTCACCAAGGCGGTGGACTTCACCGGGCTCAAAGTGCTGGTCTGCGACGACAACCAGTGAGTGGGAGATTTAAAAGGGGGGAAAATGGGGGGGTGTAAGGGTTGGGGTGGGGGGGATAAAGGCGAGGCAGCCGGGGATAAGGGAGCAAGCAGGCACTCTTGGCCGGGGGCACTCTCCACTCCGCCCCCCCAACGCTCCCCCCCACCCTGCCCCATGTCCCCCCCTCCTTCCATTGTGGACTGCACATGGTGCCGCGCCGCGCGTGGGTTGCGTGGACACTGTGCTTACATGTCCCCTCTCTCGCCTCTCTCCCTTCCCCACCCCCTCGCTGTGTGAACGGCATGGTGGCGAAATGTACGGTCACGCATCTGGGCGGCGAGGTCGCGTTGGTTTCAAAGGCATTCCCTCTCTTTCTCTCCCTCCTTCCTTCCCTTCCCCCTACGCCCCCCCTACCCCCCCCCCCCCTTCCTGCAGTGTGAACCGCATGGTGACGAAGCGCATGGTCACGCGTCTGGGCTGCGAGGTCACGGTGGTGGGGTCGGGCCGCGAGTGCCTCGCTGCTCTCGCTGGGCCGGGGCACGGATTCAAGGTGAGAGCCACTCTCCAACTACACGCCTTCGGGTCTTCAGGAGAGAAGGCAGTCTGACGTGAGAGGGGTGCATGGCAGCTGCAGGACGGAGCAGAGAATGGGAGTTGGAGGTGCAAAAAAACATGGGGGTTGGGGCTCTGGGGGTTTGGGCTTTGGGGGTTTGGGCTTTGGGGGTTTGGGCTATCCCTATCACTGCTTAAAGCACAATCTTGCTTCCCCACAAGCCATCCCTCACCTCTCAACACCCACCTTAACATCAGGTGCTGCTGCAAGACCTGATGATGCCCGATATGGACGGGTATGAAGTGACCCCACAGGTGTTTAAGGCCCCTTCTATTCAACCGATCCCCGTCCATTCCCCTCGAAACCTAACAGGTGCTGCTGCAAGATCTCATGATGCCCGATATGGACGGCTATGAAGTGGCCAAGCGTGTCTTCAAGGCCCCTCCAATCCAACTGTTCCCCCTCCATTCTCCTTAACGCCATCAGGTGCTGCTGCAAGATCTCATGATGCCCGATATGGACGGCTACGAGGTGGCCAAGCGCGTGATCGACCGCATCAAGAACCCTGATGACCGCCCCAAGATAGCGGCGCTCACCGCCAACACGGACCAGGCCACCAAGGACCGGTGCCTGAGCATCGGCATGGACGGGGTCATCACCAAGCCCATCTCGCTGGAGAAGATGAGGATTGTGTTCACTGAGCTCATGACCCTGGGGAAGATTGTGTCGGACCCCAAGGCTTAGGCTTAGTTTGGCGGCGGCTTAGTGTGGTGACTTAGTGTGGACCAGGCCACCAAGGACCGGTGCCTGAGCATTGGCATGGACGGGGTCATCACCAAACCCATCTCCCTCGGGAAGAGGCGAATCGTGTTCACTGAGCTCATGCCTCTGGGGGAGATTGTCTCGGACCCCAAGGCCTAGGCGCTCTGCATGACCGCTCCTGGATCCAGACTCCCAACCCAAGGCATTTGGCACCAAGGACCCGACCATCAAGGTCTGGTGCGTGTGAATAGGTATGGATAGGGCCATCACGTCACCAAGCCCATCTCACTGTTCGCTCAATTCATGACTCTGGGAAAGATTGTGTCAGACTCTTGAGGTGTAGGCTCACTCGGAACACCCTGATGTTTGGGTCAACTCTGGAACACTCGATTAGATTGTAACTGATTTCAAATCATGTAACCACTGTGGGGATTAGGCACAAGTGGTTGAGTTCATTGGGATTTGGCTGAGCTTAGCAAGGGGTCGTGAATCCTTGGGAATGTGGATGTTGACATTGTCCAAACAAGAGCTGTGCTACGATGATAGTTTAAACCTGTCCAAATTGCTTCCCTCTGCTCTTCCATGTGTGACTCTGCTGCTCTTTGTAGCCTGCATCAAGCACCACAGCAGCGAAGGCAAGGAATATCCTGCAACGTTCTAGTACCGGTAAGTGTGTACGGTTTATTCAAATTCGCCCTCTGGCCACTACATGGCATGCTACAAAATGTCTCTCCTATACCGTCTGGAGAGACAGCTATTCTGCAACCACTTTAGGCGCAAACCAAGTAAGAGAGACTAGTGAAGAGCCGTCCTTCACATTTCGATCTGCCCACCATCAGCATCAGCCCTGCAAGAGGCAAATCCGAGGTCAACGGCAAAGACACAAGCAGGGAAAGGGTCAGTACAGCAATCCATTGTAGTAGCCTCTACACAGACCTCGGACTCTCTATCATACAATGCCAAATAAAGGAGGTCAGCCTCCATTGCTTACTCCTTATTCAGAAACCTGAATCAAGAATCGGGCATGTCCCCCTGATCTGCAGGCTCACATTCCTAACAGGCTACTGCCCAGCCTATTCGACTCTGGACCCTGCTTATTGGATAATTCTGCCCCCATCTACTTGGCTCTGCTCTCTGACCACTCAGTTCCAGCGTCCTGCCTGGTCGTTTGAGCGGTGAGCCATGATTCAGGCGCTGATCACTTCAGGTTCAAGCGTCTCATCTCAAGCATCGAGCTAAAGCGGATTCACAAACCACGCGGCGACTTGAGTCCAGGTGGCGAGGAGTGCCATGCGACGCTACGGCCAGGGTTCTTGACTGAACTACACGCAACTTACTCTGCTCCGGACAGGAGGAGCCTTACTTAGAGAAATAGCGTACCCTGTTCTGCCTGCCGTCGCAATCTAGCCTCATTCCACAACGGTCTACCGTCTGCGAGACGTACCCGGTGTAGCTGTAGTTTCGAGACTTCTCAAAACTTAATTCAGCGTTGCTCACAGCGGCCTACTAGCCGAAGCGTGTCGTCCCAATCTAGTCCTACTCCTCAAGGTTGTAGGAGACGTAACCGGTGTAGCCGTAGTTTGAGTTGAGACGTCTTTAAACTCAAACTAGCCTTATTCCGCAAGGGTGTACGAGACCTACCCAGTGTAGTCGTAGTTGGCGCGATGGATGTTGCGCTGGCGGATCCAGGTGCCTTTTGAGTTGACTCAGAAATCACAATTCTAGCCTTTATTCCACAAGGATGTACGGAACGTACCCGGTGTAGCCGTATTTGGCGCGGTGGATGTTGCGCTGGCGGATCCAGCAGACGCAGACGCAGAGGAAACACAGCGCCATGCCGAATGTCACACCTGAGAGAACGGGCAACGGGAGCACGAAGGGGAGGGAAGGGAAGGGCCGGCAGACGTGAATGTTGCTTCTACTGATAATACCAATCGCCGAGCCGAATGTTGCATTTGAGCGCCACCTGCACAGCACCAGCTATAACCGCTATCATTCATTCTAGTCATAGCCCAAAACTCCATCCTCTTCCGCGTTCATAAGCTTCCCCCCTTTCAATTTCTCACCTTCATCTCCCGACGTGAGAGCGGGGTTACATCAAGACACGACGGGAGTGAACATCGGTTGATTGTGTATGGTTGAGTTGGATGCTAAGTTGGGGTGACGAGTTTCACAACGAATAAGGAGGCTCGGGCTATCGAGGTTCGGATAGCTTAACGAGGTAAGGAGGAGCGGAGACTGATAGAAATATGACTGGTCGATAGACAGGGTCAGCTTACATCGAAAATGACGGCAAAGGCTATAATGACTCACCGAGAACGATGCCGATGATGCCTTCAGGACCAATCCCGTCGCTCTTCATCTTGTCGTACGTCCCTTGGAAATCGTACTTGGAGTAAAAGTCTCCCTCCACGGTCCCCGCCTGTTCATCACCCGGCAGGCCTGACGGCGTGGTCGTATCCATGTCGCCGCCGACAACGGTGCCGGCCGGCATGTTTTCCATGTCCTGCGCCACCTGCTCGTCCGTCTTAGGCGGCTCCGTCGGCTCGCCTTCCGCCGGCGGCTCGTCGACTGGCGCTTGGTCCATCGGAGGCTCGTCGACTGGCGGCTGGTCGGCGGGAATGTCTTGGTTGAAAGGATCTTGAGGAATCCCCTGATCGCCGTCTGCTGGCACGTTTGCTTCGTAGTCTGGGTTCTCTCCCTCGCCCGCGAAACCCGCGTTTTGCGGCTCTTGCTGGTAGTCCTCATTCATAGTTGGATCTTGCGCGTAGCATAGTGTGGATGACAGAACTAGGCAGAGCAGAGGCAGCAAGATGGCCAACCGAACGAATCTCGCCATTCTGGCCTGTACAACCAAGCTCCCTACCGGTTGAGTTCAGGCTGTTATCCTTGGAAGCTGGAGGCAAGAGCAACTCAGGAAAAGCAAATGCTTGACTAAATGGCTGTGACTGATTATGATCGTTCAACTGCTGGTGGCATCAAACAATGAGGTGGTGGTGCGCCCACTGCTCGTGCTGCGCCTCTCTCCTCTCTCCTCTCCTCCGTGGTTCTCACTCATCTTCCCACCCATCCCGTCCTTCGGCGTTTCCAAGGCTCTTCTCCTCCTCACCCACCCTAATCGAACCTGGAAATTGGGTATGCCGCAAGGAGGCAGCAGAACAATGCCTGCTGAACCTAGAGATTTGCGAAGCTGGAAATGGTGGGGGTTGAGCCTCGGGATTGTCACGTCAGCTGGGATAACCGCCCTTCCGAACCTGAAGGCGCTGTGGTCGTTTGGTTCGGTTGGGTGAGTCACATCTTCTGGAAGATATGGGGTCGCTTGGACGTCGCACACGCACATCTGAGGCTCGACATTGCTTCGTAAAGGTCGTCGGTCGTCTGTTCCGAGAGCGAAGGGAGCGGGCTGCGGGAGTTTTGGAAGGCCCCGAAGGCACGAAAGACAGGTATGGAAACATGCGAAGCCAGGGTTACCACCGGAAGGCTGCAAATATTCATTCTCGCTCGCACAAGCGCGCTGGGCTTGTAGGGGGAGTCTGGGTCAAGCTGGCCCCACTCTTCAGATCACCAAAGTTTGAGCGACAGCTTCCTGGCCAATCACCTGCGCGAAGGCATCACTCCACCTTAACAACCACAATTTCAGGTTCTGTCGCACGTAGCATGAACCAAACCCTCCACCTGCGACGCGGCGGCTAAGTCATTATACTTGATATGAACTGACTTCGAATTTCCCTTGAAGGCTCAAGTGTAATTCAAGCCGCTCAAGCAGCTACGCTGATCGTCACGAATACACCAAAGAATTTGATGGGAAATCTTGCACTTGCGCTTGGGAGGTAACCGTTTTCGCGCCATGTCCTCCACATCCCTAGGCGCCTCGTGAATCATCCAGCTCCCAAACAATCGAACTCCGAACCGCATGCCCGCCCGCGTCGCAAACCATCGAAATGTGTGCCCAACATTTCAACATTCGGCACACCACATCCCATACACTGCTCACAACAACTATCACCAACATCACATTCAACAGATCTGGCTTTCGCCTCTCAATGCGTCTTGCTGTTGCGCTTCACCCGTCTCCGCACCCCACCTCACATTCCGTGCTTCCGTGCTAGGAACTTTCCCACGCAATCACAGTGAATCGTTCCTAACAGAACTCGCGATGCCTGATTTACTCTTATTGAATAGCAAGGAGAGACAGTGAGAAGTCAACGTTGACAGAAAGGCCCAGGCTGTAGAGGAGTAGGCAGGCGAGGAAGGAGACATTCCTACGAGGAAGGAGACCTTCCTACAAGCAAGAACCGACAGTATGGACGGCCTTAGCCCATGGAGTCGACAGCACGAAAGTTCAAGATGCATTTCTTCGAAACTCACCACCTTGCACCAACCCTTTCCCACCGCCCGCCCTCTCCTCTTCTTCCTCCTCCTAATATCCCTGGAGCCGCCGTGCTTCTCGCTCTCACACGCCCCTGCCACCGTTCGATCGGACCTGCCACGTCACTCGCGTAGCCTCATCAACGGATCGCTCTCGCTTCCACGTGGGCCGCACTGGCGGCGGAGTTCGGAATTTATGGAGGGAAATGACGGTGGCGAGAGAATGGCCGAAAAGATGGGAACAGAGTCGGGCGTTGTCCCCATCCCTCTCTCGTTAGCCCGCGCTCTCTTGCAGGGCGGTTCGAAGCACATTGAAATCGCGGCTAGAAATGGCGCAGCTAGGAATCGCACACGAGGGTCGCATAGGCGACAGGCGACAGCAAAGGCGAAGGCGAATGCGACAGTTGCGAAAGCAGTGAAACCGTCACCGAGCAAGAAGCGGTCGACGAGGAGATGGCGGGTGGGTTCGAGCGGAGACGAGACAGGCGGAGCTGCGGGAAGCGGCTCCACGGAAGAAGGGGCGGCAGCGGCAAGGGGAGGGGGGACGGGAGAGAAGCAGGAGAGTGCGGGCGCAGCAGGCAAGTGGGGCAAGGACGACGTTGCAACTGCTCGCCCCGTTTCGACTGGAAGAGCGGCCAAGCCCGCGCCCAAAATACCCGCGACGATTCCCGACCGCGGGAAGCTTCCCTCCGTGTCACCGAAGGTTCCGGTAGCTGGCAAGTCAAACGCGTCCGTGGCGAGCCCTTCGGGCAGCAAAGCTCCGAGCACGGGAATGCCGTCTGCAGGGACGAAGGCGCCGTCGCACGGCGAAACCCCCACACAGGCCACACCAGGCTCACAAACCAAACCAGCCTCGCAGACGAAAACACGTCGACCAGCCAAAACGCCATCACGAAGGGGGCCAGCACAATCGCCCTCGCAAGCCAAACAGCCCTCCACCACACTACCCTCCCGGCCCAAGCCACCAACACAAGCCAAACCTTCGCCTGCACCTCAGACGACCAAGCCTCCCCCCCAAACCAAGCTGCCGAGCCAATCCAAGCCTTCCACCATTCCCAAGCCTCCAGTACAGAGCAAACCTCCTGCTCAGACCAAACCTCCTGCCCAGCCTACCCCTGCCAACCAGACGAAGCCGCCCATTCATTCCAAACCTCCTGCCGAAGCAAAACCTCCTGGCCAAGGCAAGCCGGGTGGTGCTCAGCCCAAGATGCAGCTGTTCCACGTGTCAGGCTCCAATTCGTTCTGTCTGGATGGCAGGTGCGTCCATGACAACTTGTGCTGACTTGTCAAGTCGATGACTGCACACGTGGACCAGCCGTTGAATGCCTCTTGTGTGCGCATTTGCGCCCGCCTGTGTATGTGCAGCCCGCCAGCGTACTACTTCCGCCAAGGATACGGCACGGGCTCCAACTCGTGGCTCGTCTACCTGCATGTGAGTGGCGCTCTCATGTGACACGTGCTGCCGCCTGCACACACCCCCACACACCTGCACATACCTGCACATACCTGCAAACTTGTGGCTCCCTATTCCTACTCCATTCCTGTCGTAACTTCAAATCACTTCCCCCTCTCCGTCCGTTCTATTCTTCTTCCTCTTCCCCCCCTCCCCATGGCACAGGGCGGCGGGTGGTGCATCAACTTCAACGACTGTGCATCCAGAGCCGACTCCTACCGCGGCTCCTCGCGCTTCTGGCCCTCGCCCTCCTCCCCCTCCAACCTCACTCGCCTGGTACGCCCAAAAGCCGGTGCTGCCTGCTTCCTTCTCATAACACCTTGCACATGCCCCATCTCACATGCCCCATCTCACATGCCTCATCTCACATGCCCCATCTCACATGCCTCATCTCACATGCCCCATCTCACATGCCCCATCTCACATGCCCCATCTCACATGCCCCATCTCACATGCCCCATCTCACATGCCCCATCTCACATGCCCCATCTCACACGCCCCATCTCACATGCCCCATCTCACATGCCCCATTCCTCGTGCCACGTGGCCCGTGCAGGCAGAATAATACACGGTACATCTGCACCCCATCTCTGCAACACACGCCTCCCTTGCTATTACGAACATCCCCCCTCCCCGCAACCCCCTCTCTCTTTCCGCGCCCCCCCAGATGGCAGGCTACCACATGAGTTTCACGGGCATTCTCAGCAAAAACCCTGCAGACAACCCCTTCTTCCACAACTGGAACATGGCCGTCGTCATGTATTGCGACGGGGGCGCTTATATGGGGTACAGGGGGCGCATGCAGCAGGGCTCCAAGCGGGTGTTCCTCTCGGGCCACCACATTCTGAGGAACATCCTCACAGAGCTGCAGCAGAAGAGGGGCATGGGGGCGGCGGCATCGGCGCTCATTGCCGGGTGCTCAGCGGGCGGGCAGGCGGTGGCGGTGGGGTGTGACTGGATGGCCTCGTTCCTGCCGCGCTCTGCTAAGGTCAAATGCGCCACCGACGCCTCCTTCTTCCTCGGTAAAAGCAGCTCAGTGGAGCTGTTGGAGCTGTCGCTCAGGCGTTCATTTGCCACATTCATGTGTGCCTTGCCCTCTACTCTTCGATTGCACTTGTGGTCCACGTCTCAGCCTCTCGTCTCCTCTTCCTCCTCTTGATGCTGCAGACGAGGCAGACATCACAGGGCAGTTCACCTTCCGATCCTTCATGCAGCGAATGATGGCCTCCCATTGGTCCGATAGATCCCTCAATTCTGACTGCCTCAGAGGTACATTGTGTTACACTCCTCTTCAAGGTTCTCCTCTCAATCTCAGCTTCCCTGCAGTTCTTCATTGCCCTCACCGTGATATCCATCATTCAACCATCCTTGTTGTTCCCATTGTATGCCAATGTGCCCCCCGACCATTGCAGCCAACTCCGGTAATGGGACATGGAAGTGCATCATGCCCCGCACTGCACTGGAGTACAGTAAAACCCCTACCCTTGTCGTGAACAGTGCCTTTGATTTGACCGCACTGTACATGTCCCTGTCTCGTGGGAAGCTCCCCGGGGATGCAGCTGCCCAATCAGCAACAACGTGCCTAGGCTCAAATGGTTTCTCCTCGTGCCCAGCAAGCGTGCTCAAATTTATCAGAACGCATGGGGAGATGATCAGAATATCCATTTCCTCTCTTCTACGGCTCAAAGCAGATGGGCATACGCCTTTTCGAGCATGGGTATCAAATGGGACAAGTCATTGCGCTTTAGCATATTCTAATTGGTCGCAGGCGAACCCAGGTGGCTTGATTCTGAGAGATGCAGTGGCCACCTGGTTTGCTGAAAACTAGGTACTCCTTTCATATTTGTAAAGTAGTTGAAGTGAAGTTATGCTCTCATAGGTACCTTTTTATTTAATGAGTATGTGGTTATCCCAATATTTCGTTTTAGCGTGATCCCTGAACTGTACACCCTCTAGACCTTTTTTCTCAGCCGCTAGCCAACGAAGCCTGACTTCTGTAGGCCCTATTCTTGCCGTCGATTCCCTCGAGGCACTTCATCTAACGGTGAGCTGCGAGTCTTGGCACGGAAATCCGCTCGCCACGGCGGCGGCCCCGCCGAGGCTATTGGCGCTTCACCCGGCAAGCGTGCGTGAACCACCCTCCAGCAGCCCAAGCCACCACCAGCGTGTCGCGCAAGCACGACCTCGAGAATCCCCCCAGCAGCTGCGCATGATGCCCTGCTTGCTCATCCCAATTTCCGCACAGTTCTGTGCAACAAACCCCCAGTTCCCCTACTACTTCCGCCAGTCATTCTTCCCCACCTTGCTTCTTTCCCCTTCCAGCCAATCCAGCTGGTGGCTGGGTCAGAAACCTTGGAATTGCCCTCCGTCTCAGTTTCCTCCCCCGCCCGTCTCCCCCCACCTTCTCCGCTGCCCCGGTGCTACTCCTCATCCTCCGCCACGCCAACAGCGCCAAGCCCGCCGAAGGCTGCGGGCTTTGCGCATAGTGTAGTCAGGACCAAACCCGAGCTGCTGGCAGCCCTCTGGGTGCTTTCGAGAAGGCTGGGGTGTGTTGGAGGAACTATTGGGGGAGCTGGGCGAGGGTTGCGCTCACATTGTACAGTATCCGTTGTCAGGAAACTTCGGTCCTGGGGAAATTTAGTCTAGGCTGATACCCTGCCGTCCTGTTTGCTAGGGAGGTCGGCCTTCTTCAGCGATTCCATAAAGCTTCGCACGCTAAAGCCACATATCTTTTGCTTGACTCGCGCAAGGTGCGCAAGTTTAGTGCGTCAGGACATCCAGCGTTTTTATTGTCCGCAGTTCGTCAGTGATAATTCTGGGCAATACGGCGAGGTCAAGGAGCGAGCATTGCTTCGCGACCATCCGTTTTGAAGTGGCTCCTCGATCTTCCATAAGTCGATCTCTCAAGCGTTTTTTTTTTTCGTCGAGCTGTGTATATCGTCGTCGACGGAACGACAGTGCAGAATAATTCCATATAGCCGAGAGGTGACTTTTTGTCGATCAGAAAGAGCATTGTACGCCCTCGTTTCAGATTAACTCGTTACTGATGGAATCCGCGCGCGACGACGTGCAAACTCCCAGCAAGCGCCACAAAGGCTACAACGGATTTCCCACTCCCACAGACGGCCACGAGCAGCATCCGCAACCGTTGCCTTCTCAATCGCCCGTCCCCGCCTCCCAGCCTCAGTATTCCTCGCAGCTGCCGTACAGCTCCCCTCAGCAAGCATACGCCTCCCCCCAGCAATACGCCTCCCCTCAGCAGCCGTACACGTCGTCTCAGCAACCCTACGGCACACCAGTCACTCCTTCCCATGCCGTTACCCCGGCTGCCGGAAATAACGGGATCGGGAGTTCGCCTTTGACTACCGCCATGGCTCCCCCCGGCGCTCCGTCAGTCGCGCTCGAGCTAACGCACGGCGGCGCGCAGCCCGTCTCCGCCGCCTCTACCCCCGTTCGCGCACACTTCGTCGACACGTCGCAATCTACCCCTGCCCGCGCGCACCAGCCGCACTCCCCCTCCCCCGTCGCCGCTGTTGGTCAGGCATCCGCGGTCACCATTGTCCACGCTCCCTCCCCCTCAACCGCCATCGTGCAAGCATCTCCGCTCACTGTTGCGCCCACACCCTCCCCCTCTCCCGCTGCGAACACGCCCGGGGCCGTTGCAGCGTCGCCAGGTGTAGGTGCGTCGCCAGGAGGAGTGGCGGCGTCGCCAGGGGTCGGAGGGTCAATGCACGACCCGCCTTGCGCGGCGTGCAAGTCCCTGCGGCGGAAGTGCACGCGCGAGTGCATCTTCCTGCCGTACTTCCCCCGCGACGACCCTGAAAAGTTTGCTCGCGTGCACAAGGTGTTCGGCGCCAGCAACGTGTCAAAGATGCTGCAGGTGAGCCCAGCTGAATGCCTTCACCCTCTCCCATGATCCCATGCCGTGCTTCACTCCGTCGTTCCCCCCCCCCCCCCCCCCTCCCCCCTCTCCCCCCAACCCTTGCACTCCCTGAGCCCCCTGTTGGGTGCTGCTGTCCTCTCAATGCCCCTCATCCCATCTGCATGCCTGACTACCAGTTCCCACCCTTCCTTCTCACTTGTGTGTGTGTCTTGTGGCCCGTATTGCCATGCATCAGGAGCTGCCGCTGCACCAGAGGGAGGATGCAGTGGCGAGTCTGGAGTATGAGGCGCAGGCCCGGGTGCAGGATCCAGTCTACGGCTGCGTTGGCATCCTCTGCGTGCTCCAGGTGCAGTAATGATGGTGCTGGTTGCTGCTTCACAGTATGCCTGCTTTATCGGTTTGCATGTCTGACCATCTACCATATTGGCTCTCTTTTTATGATCTGTTTGTACCGTGCAGAGGCAAGTGGTTGCTTTGAGGGAGCAATTGGCAGCAGCCCAGTCACAGGCACAATTGCAATTAGGGAATGCCGGTGCTGATGGCCTAGTAGAGGGCCTGCAACCATCACCCGCAGCTAATTTGGGCACAGGAGGTGCATCTTGATCCATGATGGGCACCATGTTGAATAATTCCTGTAGTTGCATGGTTTGATAAATTACTGACAAAAGCTCTGGAAATTTAGTAGAGAGCCTCTCTTGGAATGATAATACTAGCAGAATTGCAGGAAAAGCATGTAGCACTACGAAGACACTGTAGCATCCTTGACGAATGAACCGTTAGGCATTTCCTTGATCCCCGCTCTGGTGGCGGTGGGAGTGCCTTGCGCTCCGCACGGGGGGCGAGCATCTGTGGGAAACGTGGCAGCGCTTCGTTGGCGGACCCTGAGGCCTGCGCCCTCCACCCCCTCTTGCGCCCACGTACCCCCGCGCGCACCCCGCACGGAAACATCCAGCTGTGGCTGGATGGAGCCCCCACCGCAACCCGAATGGGCATTCCCAAGGCGCCCCCTGCCAAGCAAGCAGGCAACGCAGAGCTCCCTGCAGAGGGATATTCCCAAGACTGGCATTTTCCTCATGGCATGATTGCGTCGTGCATGTGCATCCTTCAGAGCATTTGCATTTGTTCCGATTCTTTCATGCGTGCGTTGACCATAGCCTGAAGCATTTAGTCAATCATTCTACGCCCTGCTTCGCGCCGGTCACCGCGAGGAGCTGCTGAAGTGCTGGAACGTATTTACGCGCCGACTGACTTGCTCACGGCACACTGTATGCTCGTAGAGCATCCTGTCCGAAGCACCTCGGTGAAGGAGGCAAACGCTTAGCTCTAAGTAAAAGCTCAGGACTGATTGAAATCTTAGGAGCTGGTCAGAACTAAAGGCTCCGGACAAGATGGGGGTCTTATCGCGGCGGGTGGTGCCGCTGTGCGCGGACGTGTTCTGCTTCCCCTGTCCGCAGATGCGGTCGCGGTCCCGCAAGCCCATGAAGCGCTACAAGCAGTACCTCGCCGCCATTTTCTCAGCGTCAGATGTACGCCGTAGAATGCGCTGAACGCTGATTTAGTGATGGTCTTAATGTGCACGGTTGATGGTGTGTCGGCCATGGGAACAGTAGCCGTGTCGCTCAGTTCCTAGCCTCCTAGCTCCCGTCGTTTCGCACTTCCCCTGTTTGGCTCGCATCCTGCATTCTGCTTCTCATTCCACGCGTCCTCCGTCCGTTCTGCCTGACTCCGTGCCAGAAAGGAAACGTCGACGAGAAGCAGATAGGAAAGCTCGCGGATTACGCGGAGGGGAACCCGGACCGCATTCCGAAGATCGTGGCGAAGCTCGAGGAGCGCGCCATCCGCGAGCTGCGCGCCGAGCGGTTCGGTTCGCTGCCCGCCGTGGCTCGGTCGTACGCGAAGCTGCTCTCCGCGTGCCAGAGCTCTCTGTGAGTACATATCCAGTCACTAGCTCGTGACACAGTATAACCCTCGCCCACTGCCATCACTTTCACCGTTCCCAGTGCAACGCAATCCAGCGCAGCTCGCCGAGCTCCACAACAGTTGCTTTCCCCGTTCCTTCCTCCTCCCTGCTTTCAACTTCCCTTCTCTTCTCTTCGCCAGGCCGCTGCTGGCGTGGAGCGTGCTGAGCGCGGTGCAGAAGCTGCTGCAGAGCAAGCGCGTGGAAACCAGGCCTCGCACTTCCTCCATTGCCTCCCAACCATCTCCTCCTTCCCTGTCGTAAACCTGCTCCCCTCTTTGAACCTCGCCAGGCCGCTGCTGGCGTGGAGCGTGCTGAGCGTGGTGCAGAAGCTGCTGCAGAGCAAGCGCGTGGACGTGCGCGTGCTGGGCTGCGACCTGCTGGCGGACTTCGTGGACTGCCAGGCGGACGCCGCGTACGTCGCGCCCATCCAGAAGCTCTGCCCCACGCTCGTCGCCATGGCGCACGAGGCCGGCTCGCAGGCCGACTCCCGGGCCGCCAGATCGTCCGCGTTAAGAGCAATCGCCGCTGTGGTTAGTGCACTGTGGCCCAGTACACCCGAACTGCGTTGCGTTCCGCATGCGATTTTTTTCATGTCATGTTTTGCACGGAACGGGCCTTGCGCCATGCAGGTTTACCATTTACCTCATGCCGTGCTGCCTGTGCGCTTTCCTTCCCCCTCGTGTCTCCCCGCGCCTGTGCAGGTTCTCTTCCTCTCCTTCTTCTCCCAGCCCTGCGACTGCCTCGACCAGGTGAGACCCCACCGCCCTCCCTCGTGTCTCGCCCCCCTCTCTTCCGTCTCTACTGTGGTGAGTCTCTCTCTCCCTTCTCTCGTCACCTCCTTCTCTCAATCCTGCGACTGCCTCGACCAGCTCAGACCCCACCGCCCCCCATGCGCCCGTGTCCCTGCAGCTGGTGGCGGCCGTGCTTGACAACTACAAGCCGCACGCAGCAGCAGGTGCAGGGGAGGAGGGGGCAGCAGCAGCGGAGAAGGTGAGGGAGAGGACGCTGGAGGCGCTCAAGAAGCAGAGGCAGCAGCAGCAGCAGCAGCAGCAGGGGGGAGGCAAGGACAAAGAGACGCTGCATCAGGAGCGAAAGCTGGTCACTCCTCTGCCGTCCAAGTGAGTCTCTTGCGTCTAAAAGCATCCCGTTTCCGTCACTTTTGGCATCCAAGCGACCCGCCTTCTGCTCAGTGACATCCACCCCTTTCGCCTGAAACCGTCAATCCAACTGGGCGCCTGCCCACACGTTTGCGAAATCTCCCTGGCCCATACATGTACTCGTTCTCGTTGCCCCCTGTCGTAACCTCCAGGCAGGAGCTGCAGCACCCGGAGGTGGCAGCGCTGGTGGCGGTGTGGGCGCTGGCGCACATGTTTGCAGCCGCTGTCTCCCTCTTTGCGCAGCAGGTGCCTTTCGTGTCTTGCAGCAACCCACCTCTCGCAAATCCCTCTCACCCAATTGCAGGCAGGAGCTGCAGCACCCGGAGGTGGCGGCGCTGGTGGCGGTGTGGGCGCTGGCGCACATGTTTGCAGCCGCCGTGTCGCTGTCGTCGCAGCAGGTGCTGGCGCATTTGCTGCTCTACCTCTCCAACGGCTCGCACTGGGCCTCGCCGCTCGCCCCAGGAGGAGAGGAAGGGGCGGCAGCAGCAGGGGGGGCAGGGGCAGGGGCGGCAGGCAGGGGCGGGTTTGCGGGGCAGCTGCTGGAGGATATGTGCGTAGCGCTCAGGTTCCTGGGTGAGTGGTGGGGGAGGGGTGGAGGGTGGGGGACGGGTGGAGGCGGGGGAGGGGTGGGGGAGGGGGCGGGTGAGGGATGGGTGAGTGGGGGGTGAGTGGGGGGTGGGTGGGGGGTGGGTGGTCAGATTGCTGGGTGAATGGGCAGGAGGCAAGCAGGAGGGGAAATAGTGTGGGAGGGAGGTGGCTTGAATCCTCACCACTAGCAGCCATTGAAACATCTTTTGGGTTGAGAAGCAGGAACGGAGTTCCACTGCTCATTCGTTCCACATTCCCCACAATCCGCACGTATTACCACCCTCCATCCCCCCCTCCATCCCTCCCTCCCTCCCTCCCTCCCTCCATCCCTCCCTCCCTCCATCCCTCGCCATCCCCTCTCTCTCTTACCCCCCGACCCGTCCCCTTTTTCCCGTCCCCTCCCCTCCAGCCACCCGCGCCCCCTCGCCCACGAGGGAGGAGCGGCGCCTGCTGCTGGCGCTGGTGGCGGCAGTGATCCGCCACGCGGACGCCTCCCCCTCGCTGCGCTCCCCCCGCATGCGCCACGACGCCCTTGCAGTGGCAGGCGGGCTGCACCTTGCGCACCTGCTGCTCGCAGATGGGGGGAAGTGGGGGGACGGGGGGGGGAAGGAGGCAGGGGGAGAGGGCGCAGGGGGAGGGCCAGGGATTGGGGAGGAACGGGGGGAGATTAGCGCAGGGGGAGGGGAAGGGGAAAGGGGGAGGGCGGTGAGCATGAGAGGGGGGCCGGAGGCAGCGAGTGAGGTGCAGGCAGTGGGCGACTTATTGCGGATACTGAAGCGCAGTATAGTGGAGGAGAAGCAGGGGGGCGGCATGGACGACAACATCATAGGGGAGGGGCAGGTGGGCGGCGGGGTGTCGTTCAGAAGGAGGCAGGGGGAACAGCCAGCCCTGCAGGAACAGGCGCTGAAGCTGCTGGCGCTGGTTACATCGTTACACGTGAGTGGTGCCCATCAAGTCCACATGCATCTCCTTATCATTGCCATTCGAACTGGTTCCCCACCCCTCCTCCTATCTCAATAATCCTTGTGATCCCCCAATCCTAATGACTCCCCACCCAGCCCCCTGACCCAGCAGCTCCCACCCCTGTGCCCCTCTCCCCACATCAGCCCGGCAGCGCCAGGGGCCGCGCCTCTGTGCTGCTGGGCGACGCAGCAGTGTTCCTCGAGTCGCTCCCCTCGGACCCTTGGGGCTCGTGGGCCACCATCGTCGCTGCACAGGCTAACCTCCCTGCCCCTATTCCTTGCCCCTCGTCCGCCTCTATCCCGACCAGCCCGGCAGCGCCAGGGACCGCGCCTCTCTCCTGCTGGACGACGCAGCGGTGTTCCTCGAGTCGCTCCCCTCCGACCCCTGGGGCTCGTGGGCCACCGTGGTCGCTGCAGAGGCTGCTGTGGCCGTGGTCGTGCTGCCAGTGGCGCTTCTGGTGGAGCGAGACGAGGGGGAGGCGGAGGGGGGGGAGGGGGAGGAGGGGGAGGAGGCGAAGGGGGAGAGTAAAGAGGAGTTTGGGACCTTGGTGAGTGATTGCACCCTGTCGTGTGCTCGTAGTCTTTCCCTCCCTAGTTAACGCACACATATTCGTTTTACTCCTCAAGCTTTCATCCCTGATCCTCCTCTCGTTTTTCCCCAACCTCCCAACCCCCCCATCCACGAAACAGGGAAGCTTCCCAGATGCTGCACTTCTCAGCATCCTCCGTGCCTTCCTGCACCCGCACTCCGAGACGAGAGACACTGCCCACCACCTGCTGCAGGTGCTGCTGCGCGGCCCCTCAGCCTTCCCCCCCAACGACAGGGACTGCTACGGTCTTGCTATCGCCGCCAGCGCTGCTGCCACCACCACCAGCAGCAGCACAGCACCCGGCACTGCTGCACATTCACCTGCCCCGCTCATCGACGACATCCAGCGGGCGCCCCTGACCCCCTCACCCTCGCAGCTCCCGCTGCTGCTGTCGGCGCTCTGGCTGCAGGCCGCCATGCCGTCCACCGCGCCCAAGTCCCTCTGCGCGCTCTCCGCCACCTTCCAAGCGCTGCTGCCGTGCCTCTCTGCGTCCACCTGCTCCCCCTCCCTCCTCCAGTCCTTCCAGCTCGCCCTCTCCCTCCGCAGAAAGGCCTTGTCTCTGCCTGCCATTGCCACGCAGCTAGCAGCACGGGAAGGGGAAGGGGCAGGTAGGGAGGTGGAGGAGGAGGGGGGAGGGGGTGGGGAGGCTGAGTGGGCGATTGGCCCGGTGGACCGGCGGTCGGTGTTCACTGTAGCAACGGCCATGCTGGCAGGGCTGGCCGGCAGCCTGGGGATGGAAGAGGTGGCGTCGTTTGTCTTGTCTGAAGAGGCGTCGTCAGCTGCTCTGGTGGGTGGTGTGGTTGCTCCGGCACTTTGCTCTGTTCCTTGAGTGCCCTCCCTCCTGCTGCCTCTGATGCCTGCCCCTCTGCTCCCACAAACCAGGGTTCAACCACGGATGCACTGATGGGCTGAGCCAGGCTGCTACTGCCACTGCTCCCATGATTGCTCTCGCTAATGTTACGGCGTGTGTGCTGGCCTCACGTGAAGCACCTGATACACTCACCGCCGACTGCTGCGTCTGCTGCCATGCAAATCCTCATGCCCTCACCCATGCCATTTTCCTCCCATTCCTCCACCCTCTCCCCGCACACCCAACCTCCCCCTTCTCTCCTCCCCCCCCCCCCCCCCCCCTCCCTCCAGTGCAACCCCTTCCACCTCGTCAGTCCCGATGGATCTCTCTCCGAGCGCCGCCCGCCGACCTCTCAGACCGCGTTCGGCTCCCCTGCTGACTCAGAGCGGGCGGCTGCTGAGCTGGCAGGGGCCAGCAGCAGAGAGGAGGAGGTGCAGGTGCAGCTGGGGGAGCAAATAGCTGCGGGACTTGTGGCCGTGGTGAGTGCAGTGGCTGTGTGTGGCTGTGCTTGTAAGAGGTGAGAATGTAACATTAGGCTGTCGAGTCTTACGATGAGGTGCAATGGGGGACAGGGCCATGGGAAAGCACAGCAGGAGTGCGTGCCAATACCTCCAATAGCTCCAATAGCTCTCCGAAGGATCTCAAGCACCAATCATGACTTTCCATGCGCCTTCACACGCCTTCACACGCCTTCACACGCCTTCACACGCCTTCACGTATTCACGTGTTCACGCCTCATGTCTCATGCCTTCCTGCCTTCTCGCCTCCCTGCCTCCCCTCTCACCAGTTCACCGGGCAGCCAGTGCAGGCGGCATCACTGCTAGCAGCGTTCCACCTGTCGGACTCACTCGCCTTCAGGCCAGCCGCAGGCATGCTCGCTGCTATCGCTGCCACGATCCATGACTCAATCTCTCAAGCGCATTCCTGCCTCCCTCCCTCCCTCCCTTTCCTCTCTCCAGTTCCCCGGGCAGCAGGTGGAGCCGGCATCACTGCTGGCAGCATTCCACCCGTCGGACTCACTCGCCCTCAGGCCAGCCGCGGACATGCTCGCTGCTGTCGCTGCTGCCTCCGCTGCTCCCGCCCTGCCCTCCTTCGAGGTACCCTCTCCCCTGCCCACCCTCTCTCCTGCCATTGGTCATCGCCACAACTACTTTCTGTGCCCTACGACTCCCTTCCCAATCCTCTCATTGCTTCTAGAATCGTTTGTAGAATCACGTTCACACCTTCTCCCTTCCCCCCCCCCAACCCCCTTTCTCCCTCCCCAAACTCCACCCCCATGTGCATCCCTACCAGGACCTGCCTGCTGCCATCCCGGACGAGGAACTCTTCCGAGCCTCCTCCGTTCCGGATTTAGCCAGGCCTGGCCGAGGCAGCAACGATGGCAGCATCTCAGGCTCGGACGATGCCCGTGCTGCTCCACAAGCGGACGATAAAGCAGGGGCGGGTGTGCCGAGTGTGGAGCAGATATTGGAGTCGTTGCAAGAGGATCAAGAGGCTGTAGCGGATCCCACAGCTGTAACGCAGACAGGTGCAGCGGGTGGCGAATCGTCGAGTGTAGATGCAGCCTTAGCTATTCTGGATGATTGATTATTATTATGGAACACGGCTCATTGGCTTGCTAGCTTTGATTACGATGCCTTAGGATAGGTAGATAGGGTAGGAAATTTGCTGTCGCACGTCTCTATGTATTGATGTTATCAAGGTTCCATTTCTCAAGGTTAACCATGGCCATTATGTTCAAGATGGATATTTGGAGCCACATAGTAACCTAAATAGCCTTTGTTCATGTTGGTGGAAGGTTCTTTATTTGCAGGCAGCTAAATTCCCTATTCACAAGGTGCTTATCGAAGCACCCCATCCGCCATCCTCTAAACCCCGAACCTCCCACCCCTCAACCTCCACACACCCGCCCCTCCTGAGTTGAGCTCACTGTGCTCTTCCTGTTTTGAGCACATCGCCTCTGAATTGCTGCCCCTGCCACCTACGCCCGCACGAATCCTAGAACCGAGAGAGGTCTTTTTGCCGTTTGAGGATCCAACTTTTGTACTCGGAAGTCGACACGACACGAAGTGTCGAGAAATGGCCGTGGATAGTGGCAAGGGTGGGAAGAACGCGAAACGCAAGAAACGAAGAGCGGAGCTGGCCAATGCAGCCGCGCCACGTGTAGAGGCTGACGTCGGCGTAGGTGCGGAGCCTGCTGCCGGGGGAGCGGTAACCACGGCGGGAGACGCGGTGGCGGCAGGCGGGCGGAGGAAGAAGAGAGCGCGGAAAACGAGGGGCGAGGGGAGTGGGGCAGGAGCGCTTGAGGCGAAGGAAGTGGGAGAACGGGGGGAAGAGGAGCAGCAGGGGGAAGAGGAGCAGCAGGGGGAAGAGGAGCAACAGGGTGAAGCGGCGGGCGCATCAGCTGAGGACAGGCTGGTAGCAGGGGGGGAAGATGCGGAAGAGGGGGAAGCGGAAGAGGGTGAGGTTGCGCAGGAAGACTACGAGGCCCATAAGTTGGCAGAAGTGGACGCGGAGCTTTCCCCGCGCGAGCTGCTTCCGCAACTAGACGCGGAAGCCGCCAGTCAGAGGCGCCTCAAAGCTCGCAAGCTGAAGGCGGACGTTAAGGCGGAGGCAGCTGTTGCGCGGAGAGCGGCCGATGGGCAAGCAGGCGGAAGCGGTTCCGACAGGGGCGCGGGTGGGGGACTCCGCGCAGAGGGAAGAAGTGACGGCGCGGGGGAAGCGGCAGCAGCGGCGGCGGAGTGGTTTCAGGCGCAGTTTCTGGCCCACTGCGGCAAGAGTTTGTCGCCTGTGGAGCGAGAACGAGCCATCCCAGGTGGGCGAGAGGTGCCTGCTGCAGGGGTTCAGGGTTCAGGGCTCAGGGGTTGAGGCGAATTGCAGGGGTTGGAGAGCTGGTGGTGGTGGGGATGTTGGTGAGGGGTAGCGGTTCAGAAGAGAGGGTTCAGGGTTTAGGGTTTGAGGCGAATTGCAGGGGTGGGAGAGGTGGAAGGTACAGATTAGGGAAGAACGCGCGCAGGCAGTGAGGGATCGGGGATCTGAGCGGGCGGTGGCGCCCCTTGCCCCTGTTCCGCGTGCCTCCTTCCCTTTCCGCGTGTCCGCAGGGCTGCCCTCGCGCTCCCCACGCCTCACAGCGCCCCTCCCTAACCCCTTCACTCCCCACAACGTCCCCCTCTCTCCCCTTCACTCCCCACAACGTCCCCCTCTCTCCCCTTCACTCCCCACAACGTCCCCCTCTCGCCCCTTCACTCCTCCCCTCTCTGCCCCCCTGTGCTGCCACCCTCGCAGCCTCGTCGGTGGTGCTGTACAGCACGCTCTCCTCCCGCTCGTCTGCACAGCCGTCCTTCCGCTCCCCACCCCTAGCGCCGCTCTTATGCCCTCAACTCCCCCCTCTGTGCCCCCCTGTGTGCCACGCCTCGCAGCCTCGTCCGTGGTGCTGTACAGCACGCCCTCCCCCTCGTCTGCAGCGCAGCAGCCCGCCAGCACCAACGCCCAGCCAGGGGGTGCAGGACCGGGCGGCAGGGAAATGGGCGGCGGAAGAAGGGGCGGCAGAGGAGCGGGCGGCAGGGGGGGCGGGAGGGGAGCCAAGGGCGGCATCCCGTCCAGCAGCAGCGAGTCTGCCGCCCACCAGGGGCCCAGTCTTGCCGACCACATCAAGACCACTCTAGGTGCCACGTGGCGCTCCCTGCTGCTGCCACCAGGCGAGGGAACGGAAACAGGCAATAATCAACCACAGCAGCAGCAGGAGGGGCAGCAGTGGGAGGCGGGCAGTCCAGTGGTGCTGATAGTGTCGGCGTCGGCCATCAGATGCGTGGATCTGCTAAGGGACTGCAAGGGCATCGGGCGTGGGTGCCGCGTGGCGAAGCTGTTTGCGAAGCACCTCAAGGTGGAGGAGCAGGTGGAGACGCTCCAGGGACCCGTGCACGTGGCGGCCGGGACCCCCAACAGGTGAGTGAGAGGTATCAGGGCATGCCAAGGTCGTGCATGGCCGTGTGCGCTACGACGCACCTCAAGGTGGACGAGCAGGTGGCGAAGCTGAAAGGACCACCTGCACGTGGCGGCTGGGACCCCCAACAGGTGAGTGGTAGCTGTTGCAGGTGCATGCAGACCTAACCAGAGGCATGGCAAGGTGGAGGAGCAGGGGGAGATGCTTCAGGGACCCGTACACGTGGCGACTGGCACAGACAACAGGGGAGGGATTGACATGCAACGGTAAAGGCAGATCTGAGGGAGCATTGCAAGGTGGAGGCGCAGGGGGGGGCGCTGACAGGACTCGTGCATGTTGCTGCTGGCACGCCCAGCTGGGTCGGTCAGTGTCTGCCTTTTCCTTGGCGATGCATTTTCCTTCACTTTGCCATGCAGAGCACGGTGGGGAAATTTGCAAGCTCGTATCATCAGGTGCCAGCCCTGCACTGCACATGGGCCCTGCACATGAGCCCTGCACATGAGCCCTGCACATGGGGCCCGCACCCGAGCCCTCCACTGTGTCCCCCCATGCGCCTCACACTCCCACAATCCTACGCCCACTCGTCTTTCCTCCCACCAGGCTGCTGAAGCTGCTCTCATCGGGCGCCCTGCGCCTCGCGTGTCTGCGAGTGGTGGTGCTGGACTTGCTGCCCTCCCCCAAGGCCTTTACCCTGCTCTCCATGCCGGATGTCAAGTGAGTGCCACTCTTATGCCATTCCAAGCCCTTTTTGGTACATCTCTCACCCCACCCTCTCTTTAAACCCCTCGCCATCCCCTTACGATCACACACCAACCACCCTACTAAGCCATGTTGCCTCACCCCCTTGGTACCCTATCCACCCGAAACCCATCCCCCTTCCCTTCCCTCGTTCCCCTGCAGAGCCGAGTTCTGGGAGCTCTACCTGAGGCATCTGCACGACGCGGCGCTCTCCAGCGCTGCTGTGCTGGCGCTGCATGATTGGACGGGCGACACCTCTCCGCCCAAAGACGGTGTGGGGAAGAAGGGCCCAGGGAAAGAGCTGGCCGGGAAGCAGAAGGCAGGGAAGAAACGGGCGGCAGCAGGTGCTGGGGAGGGGGAATCAGGAGGAGACGGGGCAGCAGAGGAAGCAGGGGATGCAGGAGGAGGGGAAGAGGGCATGCAGAAGAAACGGAAGGCTTCAAAGGCAACAGGTGGGGCTACGCTGAGCAGAGATGGGGTGGAGGAGCGGGCAGAGGTGGAGGGGGAGGGGGCAGGGAGGCTGGCAGGGGATGGGTCCAAGGGGAAAGGGGGCCGTGGAGGGGGGAGGGGTGGGGGGAGAAGGGGTAGCGGTAGGGGGAGGGGTGGCGGTAGGGGGAGGGGTGGCAGCAGGGGTGGCGGTGGGGGAAGGGGTGGCAGCAGGGGTGGGGGGAGGGGATGGAGCAGGGGGAGGGGAAGAGGTGGTGGTGGTGGAGATGGTTGAAAGGGGGCGCAAGGCAGGGAGGGAGGGAGTGGGAGCGGGGGAGGAGGGGGGCGGCCTCCTCGCGTTGCTCATGTGGGTATGCTTTGGTTGGGAAGAGAGGGTGGTGATTGAGGGAATCGTCGATGGAAGGCAGGTGAGGAGAGAAGTGGAGGCGCGGTGAGGGGACGGAGTCACGGAGCAGTACAGCTTGGCACAGCAAGCCACGCAAGGCAGGCATAAGGGCGGGCGGCCTATTTCATCTCTGCACGTATGGAGGTTGCAAAGTTTTTCCCTAGTAAATGTAATTGTTGAAGCACAGCTAATGGTGGCCTCCTGGGCGCTCAATGCTATGAAAGCCAGGGAGGTGGCAGAGTGGTTTGGAGTGGTGGATAATGAAATGTGCAGCACCTAGCTGGGTGGCAGGGCTGAGGTCTCCATAGTAGCGGTAGTGAGCTCAGCTGTGGCTGATAGAGATACAGTATTTTCTACCTATCACCAGTACATTATCTAAAAGATGCAAACATGTGTCTACAGTAGACACCATGTCCCTGGATTGCCCACCACTAACTGGCTAATCTACTCTCCGGATATAGCGTGGCTCTTGCTGTCCTGCTGGCATAAAGTTCACACGCCCATGCATGCTTCCTTGCAGTTTGCACATGGCTCGGACTCACGAGGGCCATTGCACATCCATGCTAATTGTTCAGTGTTCACCCCAAGTGGCTCAACCCGAGGCATCAGGCCAGGCATGTGCTGTGCACCCACATGGGAAGGATGCACAAAAGCATGGCACGGGGACCATGCCACATGACATGGTCACCACACCATCATGGGCAACCTCCCGACAGGGCTCCAGGTATAGCCGCCCCTCGCATGGCCCGTGCTTGAATGAATGGATGATGCATGTGCGGGTGAGTTCGAATGTGTGCACGCGTGCAATATGCCGCATGGGCCGAGTGTTTCGCTGCGCAAGACTGAGACTGAAAAGTGTAAAAGAATGGCTCTCGAGCTGACTTTTGAGTCGACTCATAAGTCACCAACGAGCTTGGGCATTCTTGGGAATGGCTCTTGAAGAGTCACCTACGAGCTTGTGAGCTTGGGCATCAGAGCAATGTGGAGTCGGGCACAAGGTCGTCTGCGGCACACACGCGCACGCGAGACAGAGCAGCAAGAAGCCACAGCCAGTCAGTGACAATCCGGACAAAAGACGAGCGCTGGATGGGGAGCATTTGAACACGAGGGGCAGAGGAAAGAACGTCATGCCCCTTGCAGTGAGACGTACCATCAGGCAGCAGAGAAACGGGGTCAGAGACCAGGGCAATGTCGCCCCTGCTGACAAGCACGGCGAGGCACACACAGAGGGAGAGGGGGGGGGGGGGGGGGGGGGTGGGGGGGTGGGGGGGTTGCAACAGAAGAAGCGGGGAGAAAGATATGGTAAAACGCAAACAGCCACAAACCAAGTGGACAGTTAACGTGCCTCACTTGGAAAGCAGAGATGAATAGCAGCTAGGTAGAAAAGGGGAAGCAGCGAAAAGCCTAGCTGCTGGCGCTCACCCCTGCACGGTGTAGCTGCTGCCCTCGTGGAGCGGCTGCAGCGTGATGCTGATGTTGCTGGTGGTCATGTCAAAAGGCCAAGAGAAGTACCAGCTAGCTGAGAAGGGAAGGACGACAAAGCATAACCGGTGCGCTCACCCCTGCACGGTGTAGCTGCTGCCCTCGTGCAGCGGCTGCAGCGTGATGCCCAGGTCGCTGGTGGGCACGGCGCAGCCCTGCGCGTCGAAGATCACCGCGCCCTCTCCAAAGCTGTTGCGCACATCCAGCAGCCCAATGGGCACGTCCCATGGCTTGCCGTTGATCATCACCTGCATGGCGCTCGTCGCCTCCGGGGGGGCTGGGGGAGAAGCGGGGGAGGAAGGGGAAGAGCACAGGCGGTGGAGGAAGAGGCATGCGATGGTGATGGCATGTGTGCGGTGTTGAGCAGCCCCACGGCCACGCCCCATGGCCACGCCCCACGGCTTGCCGTGTTTCATCACCTGCATGGCGCTCGTCACCTCGGGGAGGGGGGGGGGGGGTGTGGGGCGGAATGGGGAGCAGCACAGACAGGGCGGGATGATGTACAAATGAGGCTACGGTGCGCAATGGCAAGCAAGGAAAGGGACGGGACGGCACGCGGGCGGGGAGGGCGTGCACTCACGGGCTGGCGCGTGGAAGATGGGTTGGTCCATCATCATGTGCTGCTGCGCTTGCGCCTCGCCCCCCACCTCACTGCCCATGCCCACTGCGCCCACTCCACTGAAGCCCATCGCAGCACTAGCACTCGCACCACCATCCAGCACCACCCCACCACCACCACCACCACCACCACCACCACCACCACCACCACCACCAGCAGCAGCAGCAGCAACAGTGACGCCAGCACTATCAGTTGCGCCCCCAGCAGCAGCAGCATCCAGTGCGCCACCACCAGCACTGCCACTACCCGCACTGCCCGCACTACCAGCACCTGCAGAAACAGCACCTGGACTGAGCCCTTGCTGCCCTTCGTGCCTGGCCTGGCCGGCCTGGCCGGCCTGCCCCGCCTGCCCCGCCTGCCCCGCCTGCCCTGATACCACAGTGACCTCCACAGGAGGCGAGGCCACCAGCTGCTGCTGCTGCTGTTGCAGGTCGGCTAGTGTGTGCTCGCTGCTCTCTGCTACGCCCACCTCAGCATGCAGGCAAGCTTGCAGAGGAGCCAAGCCACTGTCCTGCTCCCCGCCCTGCTGCTGCTGCTGCTGCTGTGCCACCAGCGCTGCCTGCTCCTCCTGCTGCTGCCCCTGCATACCCTCCTCTTGCCCGGCCTCTTGCATGGCCACCTGCGTCTGCGAGCACTGCACTGCCCCACCTGTTTCCCTCTGCTCCCCGTGCCCCGCATCACTCTCGCGTTGCAGGCTGCCGCTCTCCGCGCGCTCTGGTCTCAGCGTCTCCTGCCCCATCTTGCCACTCCCCCCTGCCGCATCACCACGCCCAGGTGCTTCTCCAGGTGCTTCTTCAGGTGCGTTCTCAGGTGCTGGCATGCTTCCCAGGCTGCCGCGCTGGTTGTGATCGCTCTCTAATCTCAAAACATCCTCCTGCTCACCACTCTGCCTGTCTGCGCAAGGCTCCGCCATGCCCCCCTGAGCTTCCGCCATTCTATGCCCTGCCATGCCATGCCCTTCCACCCCAAGCCCTTGCATCGCACCCCCCTCCGCTGCGACATGCGCGCCCCATGCCTGCACGTGCTCGCTGCTGTGCGTTCGCATGTGACTCTGCGCCTCGCCCTCCATGTGCGCGTGCCCGCCATGAACTCCCACGTGCCCACCATGCAACCCCACATGGCCGTCCACATGCGCGCCATCACTGGCGCGTGCGTGCTGCATGTCCATCTCCCCACACCCGTCCATGTGCACATGTGCGTGTGCATCCACATGCGCTGCCGACGCTGCCGCACCGGCCGCGTCATGGCGCTGCTGCTGCCTCGACGCATGCTGCCCCACCTGCTGCTGCGCGCCCTCTGCTCCCTGCCAGGATTGTTGCTTTGCACTATCCCCCACGTCCATGTACCCACCATCACCACCATCAACCGAGCCTAAACCACCCCCACCGCCACCATCAGCAGCAGTAGCAGCAGCAGCAGTGCTGATCCTTCTAAGCCCCACCGCATCCCCCATCAAACCAGTCTCCATGTGGCCCCCCTCGTACCCTGCCACCCCTCCCCCTTCCCCAACATACTGTGGCAGGCTTCCTCCTACTACAGGCGCTGCATCCGCCGCACCTCCGTCGACCGCCATGGCGCCACTGCCCACAGTGACCAACACCGGCTCACCGTGCATCACGGACCCTCCCACTGCTCCGCCCGCTCCCGCTGCTGCTTCCCCCATGCTCACCGCGCCCTCCCCGCCGGACCCTGCGCCCACCTCCTGCCCCTCCGCAGCGTAATTCTCACCCCCTTCCCCGCTGGCAATCATCCCTATCACCCCGCCAGCACTCCCCCCGGCGGCGCTACCCCCACAGGGGCTCCCTTCCCCCCCATCCTGCCCTCCCTTCCCGTCCGCCTCCCTGCTGACGTCACCTCCGCCAGAACTCGCCACACTGCCACTGCGCACCAGGCCCAGTTCCCCCTCTACAATCACATCCTTTACTCGCTCCGACGAGTCCCCCTTGTGCCGCTTCTCCCCCTGGCTCCCCCACCCCGTCCCCGCGCTCCCCTTCCCCCCGACCCCATGCGCCGCAGCAGTCCCCGCGCCTTCCCCCGCGCCGGCCTCCTTCTCCCCTCCGCCGCTCCCCCCATTCGCCAGATTCGAGTTCTTCCGCTTCGCCCGGGCCTTGCGGTTCTGGAACCAGTTATAGACGTTTGTCTCCGATATAGGCCCGTGCTGCTGCAGCTCCGCCGTGATCTCCCGAATGCGCGCCTTATTCGGCGTGCCGGTGGAAAGCGAGAAGTACTTTTCGAGAATCTGCAGCTGCGCCGGTTGCGGCGTCCAGCGCTGCCGTGTCTTGGGGTGAGCGGCGATTGCGGCGGAGTTGACGCCGTAGTGATCGTAGGGGAATGGCAGGTGACCCAAGACCCCCGCCGCCGCCGCTGCTGCTACACGCAGACGGACGAGGAAGCACACGAAAGGGTTGTGGGAGATAAGGGATGAGCAGTTTAAAACGTAATTACGGTTCAGAAGTGGAAGGGAATGAAACGGCATGCGCGGGACTCAAGGAATCGCACATTAACCTAACGGAGGACTAGAACTACCTACAGAATAGAGACGCGTGCGAATTGCCTATACTGACTAGCAGGCGGGGAAAGCCGACACGCGCACAAGGAAACTGCTGTAAGGATTGAAGCTAGCATAACGTCAGCGTTCACAAGGGACTGGTGTAACACTTATAACCGTTATCTAGAATAGGGAGAGTGAAGTGTCCACACGCGGGCAGGTAGACGACTGAGGGATATGTTAACCGTCTAAACACCGCGTGCTCGTTACAACGTTACTCACAGGACCACAGCCTCCTACACGAGCGTCCACCTTAACTCCTTAAGGTCACTGTGACAACGTTAACGCACGAGCGAAAACTTGTTGCACGCTCTAGCTAACTGAAATTCAACGTCACAGTGTAGCCTACGATCGGTAATTGCAGAACGATGCTACGAGCGAAGGGGAAAACGCGAAACGGGAGAGGCTAGAAGGGCGCGACGAGCACACAACACGATATACAGAACGGTGCGAGACGGTGCGGCGAAACGGGAAAGCGCGCGGTGAGCGGTGCGGCGCGCGCACTGACCGGTGAAGTGCGCGTGCTGCGCGGTGAGCGCCTGGTGCATGGCGACGAGCTGCTGGCAGATGGTGCCGTACACCGCGATCTGCCGCCGCAGCGACTCCACCTGCTCCGGCGTCATCACCGCGCCGTGTGTCGCATACTCGTACGCCGGTGCCGGCAGCCGCGTTTCCGAGACCGCAGGGGGGACAGCGGCGACGGCGGAACTGGCGGAGACGGCGGAGACGGCGGACTGGTGGAGGAGCGGTTGCGGGATGGGCAGAGATTGCACGAGCTGCAGGCGGCGCTGCTGCTGCTGGAGGTAGAGGAAGTGCTGCGGGGAGATGTGCGGCGGCGCGATGAGCGGCGGCTGCGGGAGGTGGAAGGGGCGCGGGAATAAGGAGGTATGAGACGTGTGCGAGGCGACGGTGGAGTTGGCTCTAGCTGCCGCGCTCATGGCCGCACAAGGCACGGACTGGTGGTCTGGAGACTGCGAGACCCACAGCCTGGCGCGTTGCTTCTCCCCAGCCTCTGCTCCTACGAGATCTCCTAAAAGCTCCGGACACATGCGAGACTAGCTTACTGGAGGGAATCTTAGCGGGAACTAGGGATTGACTAGAAAATAAGCTCGAACAGCTAGTCTCCCGTTGATAACTCATGTGCTGTAGTTTGGATGCTGACGAAAGTGGGGTGACTAGGTAGGCAAATTTAGAAGCTCAAAAACATGCACGGAAAAGCGAAAAGGGCGCAAGTGATAATCTTGGTTGGAAGGCCAGTGTGCGGAAGAGGCGTGTGATTGGGCAGAGATCGCTGAGGGAGGCGAGTGCGAGCGGGGGAGGGGGGGGGAGGACCGAAGGGGAGGACCGAAGGGGACGAGCGACAGTGTCACACACGGTGCGGAGGATGGAGACAGCAAGCAGAGAGAGCTCCGCCCGCCGGGGGAGCCAATGGTCGGTTGGTTGGTTTGTGCTGGTTAGGGAGGGCGGGGAAGAGATGGCGCAGACACTCCGCCATGTTGGCGGAAGTAAAGCGTGAAGTGATCTTGGGATTGGTGGACGAACTCCAACAGCGAGTGTGACTGGCGAATTGCGCGACAGGTGCGGTGCGCTGACGGGCAAGGCGGGCATTCAGGTTGGGCAGCAGCACCATCAGCACCTCGGGCAGCTTGGCTAGTTTCCCACAGGGGGCAATTTCTTGTCCTGGTGGGCTTGGCTAGCTTTTGCTGGACCAAGCTCAGGTTTGGCACGGCGGCGACAAAGTCGATGGGGGCTCTGGTGACCAATCTCGAGCTTGCAGTCACTATCCGCACCAAACCCTTCGATTCAAGCCCCTGGGCAAGAGTGCCGCTGAGCTGGGCCAGCTCCCGAAGGCGCTTTTTCATGGCCTCTTGCCCAAGAGGAAGATGGGCTTGGCCAGCCAAGGAAGTTGGCTTGTCACCACAACGCCACACCTGATGAGCACCAGATGCCACTTGCTGGCTGAGAGAGTATCCCGCACCTGGGGTCAGACCCGAATCTGACCTGCGGTCGAAGGAGCCGCGGGTCTCCTAGATCCAGCTGCGAGTTTTGCGTTTCTGACGGTCGTGCAAAAGCGAATACTGAGGCGAGAGCGAGGCATGACTGTATGGCAATGGGAGCTGTACATTGGCGGACGAATTTCTGGATTCAGTCGCGTCACCTGTGCGCCGCTAAAGTCTGCCAGCCGTCAAGCTCGAGAAGAGCCGAGGCAAGTCTTTTCCAGCTTGGGTCTTCCCGTATGACACGAGTGTCAGAGACGAGCCCCAGAAGACTCTTTTTCAGGCTCGGACTCTGTTTCCGCACACCAAGGTTTTGCACAACAGCAGAGGGGAGGTTAGCTCGAGGGGAGTCACCCTTGTTGCCAAGGCTTCGTTGCCACAAGTGTATCACATCTTGCCCCAAATGAAACAAACCACCGCCACAGAACCTTCCACCCCCAAAAGCTTGTGGTTTGGCACGGCGCCCCCGATAGAAGAGCGGGAAAGGCACACATGCGACAGTTCTCAGTGTAATGACAACATGAGACGTGGTCACCTACATTGTCATGTAAATTTCGTTGAAACAAACCAAATGTTCATTTCAAATATTACATGTGATGTGATTGGTCAATGTGCCTAGGTTGGGGTTGTGGGGTTGCCATGACGCCCGGCTGCCCAGGGTGTCCCCCCCTCCCTCCTCCCCTTCCTTTGCGTCGTCTCCACTTCACACCATTCTGGCTGCATTCATGGATGACCTAATTTTGTTTCATGGCTTCATTGTATTAATGTGAAAAAATTCGGTGTAAAAATGTCATTGGGAAATCACAATGCCTTACAACCTGCCTTCAAATGAACTCATTTGTTAGGACCAACCAAAATGGCTGTGAATTGTAGTTTCTGTTATATCTGGTAGTGGAATCGAGTACTACACGGTGCTCGGCGTCAGACACAGACTTTGCTGCGTTGTCCACACGCGAACCGATGGGAGGCCAGCAGAGCCCTCGGTCTCAACACCACGATGATTACATTGCGTGACCTCGACTGATGATCGTGCTGTGATTGGCTGTTGGAAATCGAGCTGGAAAGTGTGCTGGCTGTGAGTATTTTCGCACTTGCTTCTAGCGGGTTCCATCGTGAAGAGTATCTGTTGCGCGTCAGCATCGTCCTGCGTGGACCGTGTCGGAAAGCTCAAGGGAACGCGGACCGATCATACGGTTGCTTTGCGCTGTCGCACGGGAATCCCCGCTCCGACGTGGGAAACCGCGGTTGGACGGGACAGAGATCGATTGCCAGCACAGAGCGCGCAGGGCCTTGAGCGCCCCACAGGATTTCCGCCTGGCGAAATGGAACCTGGGAGACAGGAAGGCTGGCAGGCTGGAGCTAGTAGCAAAAGTCGTTGACCAGTTTCAACCGAACCAGACCGATTGGAACCTTGACGTCAGGAACAGAAAACCTAGAAAGACGAGAGATACATATTCACTTGACGCGTTTCTTGAACAATTACTTTACTCCATTGTCCCTTCGATCTCTCGTGGTCCCCTCGAGCGTTAGCAGCTAGTGACCTTTCCCACGCACTTAGCCGTGACTTGTTGGTGTCAATCTAACTCGTTGATCCAATCGCATGGCTGGCTCGCTAGCTGCAGAGATGGCGTCGCTCAACGTCGCCAGCGCAAATGCCGCGGTTCGTTTGGGGTCGCGTCAGTCGATCCGCGGAGCGAGAGTGCAGGGGGTGCAGAACGGGTGCAAGGTGGCCATGACGGCCACTGCTGCTCGGTAAGTGGCAATTGAAACACGCGAAGTGAGTACGTTGTAGGAATCTCGGAGGTTGCAGGAGTTCAATTGGGAAAGACGGAAAATTGTGCACCAATTCAACATGAACTCGTCCGTTCTCCGTACTAGCAGATCCGGGTCCCTGTTTCCCTCCCCCAATCTTCCCCTCCCTCCGCCAGCCCGTCCGCGTCGGCCGACGTGAAGAAGCACAAGGCGGTGTCGGGGCAGCGCGCGCACACCATCAGCCCGGAGGCCCTGGAGCTCGTGCAGTCGCTCGAGGGGTGGGCGGAGGAGACGCTGCTGCCGCTGCTCAAGCCCGTCGAGTCCGCGTGGCAGCCGTCCGACTTCCTCCCGTCGCCCGAGAAGGACAGCTTCCTCGACGAGGTTAGAGAGCTGCGCGAGCGGGCGAAGGAGTTACCCGACGAGTACTTCGTGTCGCTGGTGGGCGATATGATCACGGAGGAGGCGCTGCCAACGTACCAGACGATGCTCAACACGCTGGACGGCACACGCGACGAGACGGGCGCGAGTCCCACGCCGTGGGGCGTGTGGACGCGGCAGTGGACGGCGGAGGAGAACCGCCACGGCGACCTGCTCAACCGCTACCTCTACCTCACGGGCCGCGTCAACATGCGCGCTGTCGAGAAGACCATCCAATATTTGATTGGATCCGGCATGGTACGTTCCAGTCGCAAGTCGGGACAGCTCCTAGGTCACAGCACGCGTTGCACCGAAGGATTGGCGCAGATCTTGACGTATGCGCGCCAAGTGCTTCGTGATTCGCGGTAATGACTTGCCCTTCGCCCTGTCAGTCCTCTCCATGATCAGCATCTAACCATCCGCCGTATGCGTGTTTCATCTCCCATCACCCGCCCCCCCCTGCTCGCAGGACCCCAAGACGGAGAACAACCCTTACCTGGGCTTCCTGTACACGTCGTTCCAGGAGCGCGCGACGGCCATCTCGCACGGCAACACGGCGCGGCACGCCGTGTTCAAGGGCGAGAAGAACCTGGGGCGCATCTGCGGGCTCATCGCGGCGGACGAGAAGCGCCACGAGCGCGCGTACCAGGCCATCGTGGGCAAGCTGTACGAGCTGGACCCCAACGGCGCCATGCTCGCCTTCGAAGACATGATGAAGAAGCAGGTGGGCCGCCGGGTCTTTCTCTGTCCAAATGGGGAATTGGTCGGTTGGGTAGGGTTTGGATCTAGAAGGGTCAGGGGGTAGGGTCTGGGTCTTAAGGTTCCAGAGGCCACGACGCTGGGGTAAGTGGTGAGGCGTTGAGTCAACTGATACGTCGCTGGATGAGATCTGGGTGTAGTAGATAGGATCTGGATCTGGTTTATAAATTCTGGTGAAGGGTACAGTGGGTAGGGTACAGGTCCAGTTGGGTAGAATCTGGAGAAGATTTGCTCACGGATGAACTGAACGCATGTGAGGGAGCACAGTGTGGGGGCACGGATTGTGTTCCGCTGGTTTGGTGCGTGTCGCTTAGGGCGGGAGCGAAATGTTGATGGTGGGGGGGAGTCGATGATGGTGGGAGGAAGAGGCCTGAGGCTTTGGGAAGGGATCAAGCAGGGAAGGGGTGCTCTGGGAGGTCTAGCAGCCTAAACTGCTTTCTGGATGCATGTGTTTGTACATGCCCACCAACCTACACAGGCGGTAATCTCATACATCAACCACCCAATGCCTTCCATCCCCATACACCCCCCCTCCTCCAGATCGTGATGCCGGCTCACCTGATGTACGATGGCGAGAACGACCACCTGTTTGACGCGTTCACCATGGTGGCGCAGCGCACAGGCGTGTACACGGCCAGTGACTACGCCAGCATCATCGAGCACCTCATCGCCAGATGGGACGTCGAGAAGGTCGAGGGGCTCAACGCCGACGGGCGCAGGGCGCAGGAGTATGTGTGCAAGTTGCCGCCGCGCATCCGCAAGCTGGCGGAACGGGCAGCGGACAAGCTGAAGAAGGGGGGGCCGCGGTCAGGCAAGATTAGCTGGGTGTTCAACCGGGAGGTGGTGCTGGTGTAAGCACCCTCCCTACCATTCGCATCTTCAAGGGCTTAGAGGCTTTTCTGTGCAGGAAAGACATTTAGGCCCTTCTGCCTAGCTACTTATGGCTTTGCTTTGGGTTAGTCCAGGGCTGTAGGAGGTGGGTCCTTAGCAGCCCTCCTGGATTTAGGCTTGTCTTCTGAACTTGTAAACATCTGTGATTATTTCAAACCCCAGTGAGCACTTGGTCTAAACCATTTTGTGTGTGGTGATCCTTGATCCTCGACCTTTTGATAGCTTGTTCCGTAGAGCTTCTGAAGCTGCAATTGTGATAGATAACGTTTTTGTATGCTCTAAATGATCAACCAGTCTGCACATGGTGGATGGGTACCGTTTAGGAATCAAACAGAGGGATCTTAGCTTACAACACGCTTGTATTGAATCGTGCTGTTCAACTGTACACCCTATTTCTTTACAGCTTGGTGTTTCCCCTACCTAAAATCTAGAACTAGTTTAATTATTCAAAGAACATAGCTCGCGCGGAAAGTTGCAATGAGCTTTCTTCGCCCTTAACGAAGCTTCCAGTAACGCGGTTTTAGGTCTGTAAGCACCTCGCGAGCACCTCAAGCCCAACCCTAGTTCCCTCGACTCGAGCCCATACTTGCGTCTTGCACTCTCTTACGCGGCTCCACCCGTCCGAGGCTAGAACAACGTATCTGTCACGATCAGGCATTAACATCTGGCACGCGCAGATCCGACGTTGGATTAGTCATCATGGCGCATGCTGACGTGGACCAGGTAGACTACGGCGCGGACGACGATGACCTCGATCTCGCCATGGAGGAGGACGACGCGGGGGCCGCTCCGGTCGCCGCTGCGCCGCCTGCTCCTAAACTAAGGTGCCTTCTTAGGCGTGAATCAATCTTCTCTTTCCCCTCGCAGTGACCGTGACATGGATGGACCGCGTAGTTGATACCCCGGCCATACGACAGTCTTGATGACTGACATCGGTTCGAAAGCATCGCGCAACTGTTCCGACTGTCGGCTACCCGCTGATAGCCTGTCAGCGTGCTTCCCACCCCGCGTCCTGCCTTTCAATTCCAGACGCATTCAGGTTTGCCGCAAGCATCATGCGCTCTCCATGCCTGCTGCCCCAGTGCTTCCCATCCCCCCCTCACGCCCTTTCCCCGCACAACCGCAGATCTACGATTGCGGGCGGAACAGCGGCCGCGGCAGCGGCGGCATCAGCGGCGGCGGCGGAGGCGCGGCGGACGAAGGGGCGCGGGTTCCGCGAGGCCATGGACGTGAAGCAGGAGGGCGGCGACCGCGTGGGGGGGCGCGGGTTCGAGTCGCTCGACGCCTCTGGCGGACCGGGCCCCCAGAGATGTGCGCCTTTTGGGGGGGGAGGGGGGCGGAAGGAGAGGGGTGATGTGCGGTTTGCGGAGGTAGCGAGAAGATGGTTGGGGGACGGGCAGAGGGGAACGGGAGGGATGGGTTAGGGGATAGGCGTATGATGGATGAAGGGCCCAAGTGCAGCGCAAGCAGTGATGCATGATTGAGGTGGGAGGGAGAATGCAACGCAGTGCATAGCTGTGCATGGGTTGCTCAAGAAACGCATCGTCCTCTGTCTTCCCCTTGGGTGCCTTGCATGCAGCTGTGGAGGGGTGGATTGTGCTTGTAACGGGGGTGCACGAGGAGGCGCAGGAGGACGACGTGCATGAGATGTTTGCGGAGTTCGGGGAGATCAAGAACCTCCATCTCAACCTAGATCGCCGCACAGGCTTCGTCAAGGTAATCTTAACCTCCATTTTGCTTCCGCTCGTCGTCCATCCCCCCCCATCTACTCGTCTATTGTGAAACCATTTCGACAATTGTTTGACCGTTGAGTCTCCCCCACCACCACCCACCTTTTCCCCACCCCCATTCCGCCTTCTCTCTGTGCCTCTCAGCCTCCTTCCTCCTCTTTAACTCCGCTGATATTTCCCTCTTCTTCTCCTACCCTCCTTCCCTCCTTCATGGGATGCTTTCATTCATCCCACTCTCCCCCTCCCCGCCCTCCCACACTGCCACCTTTCCGCTTCCCTCCTCTCTGTCGCCTTCTCCTCCTCTCCCCACCCCTCGCCCCCACCAGGGATATGCGCTGGTGGAGTACGAGAGCAGGCAGGAGGCAGCAGCAGCCATTGAGAACCTCAACGGAGCGGAGCTGCTCACTCAACCGGTTGCTGTGAACTGGGCCTTCACCACAGGGCCACGGGGGAAACAGGGGGGAAGAAGGTCAGTGCTGTGGGAAGGGAATGAATCGCTTCAGGGGGCTTGGAAGTTTGTGAGGCGAATGTGGATGATAGGTCGAGGGTACATCACCATTGGATGTCTTCGTTTACCTGGACAACTTGTGTCTGCTCTGTTTTACGAATTTGTTTTGTGTTCTTTCATTGATGCGCAGGGATAGGAGAAGCAAGCCACGATATTGACGACTACAAATACTGATAATTTTGGATTGTTAGCTACATAGTTCTGCCTGCAATTTCCTTGATCCTGCTTGTGTACTAGGAGGATTGTGCTTGTTTTGGATGAGTGGGATTATAGATTGTCTTTCTTGTCAAGGTATAAGAGTTGGTGAATTTCATGTACATCTGTGCAATTTCAGAGGGGGCCGAGCAATGTTCATGTTCTCTGTGCATCTCTCTGTTCGAGCAAGCTGTTCCTCCGCTGCCTCGTCCCAACCAGTCACGTCCCCCCCAGCTTGTCCTCTCCACAGTCCATAGTTCTCATTTTCATTATGGCTGCGGAAGTCCACTGGAATCGTTCCGTCCATGGCAGCCATTGTGGTGTCAATCGCTTAGCCAACGATCCGACCATTGCGTCACAACACGATCCAACTTTTCCTGAACAGTGTGATCACGTTCTCGAGAGGTGTTTCCCCGGTTCTGGTTCCTCGCGATTCCACGGGCTTCCGGCCGAGAGTGTTCAGTTTTGGGATTCAAGCACCGTCTCGCCTTCGCTGAATCCGTCCCGCCTGAACGACTCTAATGACGGCTCGCCGCTGCCTCATCCGTCTGTTGGAGCCTCGCCAGCCTCTGCGGTGGCGACAGGTGCTGCAGCGGCCGCGACGGTGGTGCGATGGCGCGTGCTGTGCCGAGCATGGCCCGCACACTGGCAACACCTGCGAAGGTGAGCGCCTCGTCCGGCGCCGACTCCCTGTTAGATGGCTCCACCTGATGTCACTCTTGCTTTATAAAGCTGCATGAACCTGCTTGAATCGGTGTGAATATATTAGAGGTGATATCTACACCATGAGTCCACGTGGAGTTATTCGAAGATATCTGTAGGTGAAGGTGCGTGGTTTGAAGCGACCTCATATCAACCGCGCTACCCCATCCCAGTCCAAATCCACTCTGCTCTCTCGCACTCAGCATCCCCTCCGTCATCCTCTCCTCCCTCCACTCCTGCGACTTTGATCTCCCTGCCTACCCCTGCAGCATATGGCTGTCCTGCGCTTGGGGAGACATGTTTCCCCACATGCGCGCCCATGGGAGAACCGCAGGGGGCAGCGGCGCATTCAGACACGTCTCCGCCTCCGCAATGCCCGGCCCCGGCGCTTCTTCTCGCGCCTCAGGCGCAGCGGAGGAAGAAGATGCGCCTGATGGCCTTGCCGCCGTTGACGGCAGATATTCGTTGCCGCTCTCCTGCCCTCCTTCACTCCCCAGCCCCCTCGCTCACCCCTTGCTCCTCCTCGCCTCATACCCTCTCCCTGCCGCTCCCAGCACGCCACCAGTCCGCCACTTCCCCGCCTCGCTCCCTCAATCCCTCCTGAATCACTCGCTCTTCCCCCCCCACACTTCCTTGTGCTCAGCTTACTCACCCCCAGCAAGCCAGTCGCCCTCGTGTCTTTCTCCCAGCCTCCATGCGCGCCTTCACTCACACCACCCTCGTCACAAGCACACAGAGGCGGCACAGCCACGGCAAGCTTCAGGAGAGGGGCGTGAGAGAGAGTGTGGCGGAAGAGGTGGAGTGGAGGACGCGAGGGTTGGAGGGGATGGACTCACGGCGGAAGCTATCACTCATGCAGCCATGGCTCCGAGGCAGACGGCTGGGCGATGGCAGCCACGGCTTGGTCCGGAGCTGGCTCTTACTCCTTCGATGAAGTGGACGGGCGAAAGAGATGGCCGCGGAACGTTGAGTGGAAGGGATTGTGATAATGCCAGTGACAGTGATTGTAGCGAAGGTGACTGGGAGCAGGATGAGGAGAGAGGGGAGGAAAGCTACAGCGGCGCCAGAGGGGGTGCGAATGGAAATGAAGCAGAGCGGTTGGAGTGTGTGTGGTCATTCATCCGCCACCATCCCCCCTCTCGCCCTCTCATGCCTCGCCTCCTCTCCTGGCGCCCTCCGCTGCACCTTTCTCCTCCCACGCCTCCCTCCTCGGCTGCCCAATCCACCCATGGGTATGTGGGCCCCAGCAGCTGCAGCAGCAGGCACAGCACAGGGGGTGCTATGTTGGATCAGCGGCTTGTGATGCTGCTGGCGAGGCGACTCAAGGAGAGGCATCGGCACCACCATGCTCTTGAGGTGATGCCTGCATGCATGCACCCATGCACCCATGCACCCATGCACCATACACCATGCACCATGCACCATGCACCATGCACCATGCACCATACACCATGCACCATGCACCATGCACCATGCACCATGCACCATGCACCATACACCATGCACCATGCACCATACACCATGCACCATGCACCATACACCATGCACCATGCACCATGCACCATGCACCATGCACCATGCACCATGCACCATGCACCATGCACCATACACCATGCACCATGCACCATGCACCATGCACCATGCACCATGCACCATGCACCATCCACCATGCACCATGCACCATGCACCATACACCATGCACCATGCACCATGCACCATGCACCATGCACCATGCACCATGCACCATGCACCATCCACCATGCACCATGCACCATGCACCATACACCATGCACCATGCACCATGCACCATGCACCATGCACCATGCACCATGCAACCGCGCACACGCTGCTGCGTGCACCCATGCGTTCATGCTGGCACCAAGCCTGTGCATGGTTGATTTATGTGCCAGCACCACACAAACCCGCACCTCCCTGTCGTCTCTCCCCTGACCCCCCTTCTCCCTCCATTCCTCCTCCCACCTCAGCTGCTCCAGTGGAACATGGCTCGTCGCTCCTCGCCCGCCTCACCACACAGCCCATGTCAGCAGGAGCAGGAGAGCCAATCAGGAAGCGGGGACATGGAGAGGGAGGAGAGGGAGAGGGAGGAATGTGAGCTGATGGACGGCTTGGCTCGTTGCGGGCGATGGGGAGATGCCAGAGATGCCTTTCTTGCCCTGCCGAGCCACGCTCGCACTGACAAGGTGCCGCTGATGCTCGCACTGTGCTGCACTGCTGTTGGTCCATGCTTCTTCTCCGTGCTCCCACCGCGGTCCATGTTTGTGGGAAAATTCATCCCATCACATACTCCTTCAAATCCTCTTACTTCATACTCCCTGCTCTGTCACGCTCCTTGAATATCTCCGTTCTTCCTTGCTTATGCTTTTCCTCCCCCGTCTACCCTCTCCAGGTTTATAGTGGAGTGCTCTACCACCTGGCGCGCACGGGCCAGCACAGCGGGCTGCAGCAGGAGCTGCAGTGGGTGCAGGAGACGGCAGGGGCGGCGCTGGGGGTGTGCTCCTTCAACGCGCGCCTGCTCGCTCTCTCGTGCCTGCCAGCGCGGTCACCCCATGCCTCTTCAGTTTTGCAGAGGATGGACGCCACCGTGCAGGAGATGCGAGAGAAGGTGAGGCGAGGGGCTTGAGCAGGTTCTTGAGAATTCGAAAGAACCAACTCATGGGATGCGGAGGATGGACGCCACGATGCACGAGACGAGAGGGAAGGTGAGAGCAAGAGGAGGGGGTGGGAGAGGGGGGAAAGGGATGGGGGGGGTAAGAGGGAAGGAGGGCCAGGGAGAGGGAAGAAGGGAAGGGGGAGAATGGGAATGAGTTGTGAAATGTCGGTGAACATGGGTCAATGCATGGCTTTTGTGGCTCCTTTCTAGCCTTTCTCATGTGCTGCATTCGTATGTGCTGCATTCGTATGTGCCCTCCATTTTCAGCTCCTCTTGCGCCCATGGTTGGAACTTGGAACCGTAAGAGCTCTTGAGCCCTGGGTGCTCTTGAGCCCTGGGTGCTCTTGAGCGTTGGGTGCTCTTGAGTGTTGGGTGCGCTTGAGCGTTGGGTGCTCTTGAGCATTGGGTGCTCTTGAGCGTTGGGTGCTCTTGAGCGGCCAATGCTCTTGAGCGGTGGGTGCTCTTGAGCGTTGGGTGCTCTTGAGCATTGGGTGCTCTTGAGCGTTGGGTGCTCTTGAGCGTTGGGTGCTCTTGAGCGGTGGATGCTCTTGAGCGGTGGGTGCTCTTGAGCGTTGGGTGCTCTTGAGCGGTGGGTGCTCTTGAGCGTTGGATGCTCTTGAGCGTCGGGTGCTCTTGAGCGTTGGGTGCTCTTGAGCGTCGGGTGCTCTTGAGCGTCGGGGGCTCTTGAGCGTTGGGTACTCTTGAGCGTTGGGTGCTCTTGAGCGTTGGGTGCTCTTGAGCGCTGGGTGCTCTTGAGCGGTGGGTGCTCTTGAGCGTTGGGTGCTCTTGAGCGGTGGGTGCTCTTGAGCGTTGGGTGCTCTTGAGCGTTGGGTGCTCTTGAGCGTCGGGTGCTCTTGAGCGTCGGGGGCTCTTGAGCGTTGGGTACTCTTGAGCGTTGGGTGCTCTTGAGCGTTGGGTGCTCTTGAGCGTTGGGTGCTCTTGAGCGGTGGATGCTCTTGAGCGGTGGGTGCTCTTGAGCGTTGGGTGCTCTTGAGCGTTGGGTGCTCTTGAGCGTTGGGTGCTCTTGAGCGTTGGGTGCTCTTGAGCGTTGGGTGCTCTTGAGCGGTGGGTGCTCTTGAGCGTTGGGTGCTCTTGAGCGGTGGGTGCTCTTGAGCGTTGGGTGCTCTTGAGCGTTGGGTGCTCTTGAGCGTCGGGTGCTCTTGAGCGTCGGGGGCTCTTGAGCGTTGGGTGCTCTTGAGCGTTGGGTGCTCTTGAGCGTTGGGTGCTCTTGAGCGTTGGGTGCTCTTGAGCGTCGGGTGCTCTTGAGCGTCGGGGGCTCTTGAGCGTTGGGTACTCTTGAGCGTTGGGTGCTCTTGAGCGTTGGGTGCTCTTGAGCGTTGGGTGCTCTTGAGCGTTGGGTGCTCTTGAGCGTTGGGTGCTCTTGAGCGGTGGGTGCTCTTGAGCGTTGGGTGCTCTTGAGCGGTGGGTGCTCTTGAGCGTTGGGTGCTCTTGAGCGTTGGGTGCTCTTGAGCGTCGGGTGCTCTTGAGCGTCGGGGGCTCTTGAGCGTTGGGTACTCTTGAGCGTTGGGTGCTCTTGAGCGTTGGGTGCTCTTGAGCGTTGGGTGCTCTTGAGCGTTGGGTGCTCTTGAGCGTTGGGTGCTCTTGAGCGTTGGGTGCTCTTGAGCGGTGGGTGCTCTTGAGCGTTGGGTGCTCTTGAGCGTTGGGTGCTCTTGAGCGTTGGGTGCTCTTGAGCGTCGGGTGCTCTTGAGCGTCGAGGGCTCTTGAGCGTTGGGTACTCTTGAGCGTTGGGTGCTCTTGAGCGTTGGGTGCTCTTGAGCGTTGGGTGCTCTTGAGCGGTGGATGCTCTTGAGCGGTGGGTGCTCTTGAGCGTTGGGTGCTCTTGAGCGTTGGGTGCTCTTGAGCGTTGGGTGCTCTTGAGCGTTGGGTGCTCTTGAGCGTTGGGTGCTCTTGAGCGGTGGGTGCTCTTGAGCGTTGGGTGCTCTTGAGCGGTGGGTGCTCTTGAGCGTTGGGTGCTCTTGAGCGTTGGGTGCTCTTGAGCGTCGGGTGCTCTTGAGCGTCGGGGGCTCTTGAGCGTTGGGTGCTCTTGAGCGTTGGGTGCTCTTGAGCGTTGGGTGCTCTTGAGCGTTGGGTGCTCTTGAGCGTCGGGTGCTCTTGAGCGTCGGGGGCTCTTGAGCGTTGGGTACTCTTGAGCGTTGGGTGCTCTTGAGCGTTGGGTGCTCTTGAGCGTCGGGGGCTCTTGAGCGTTGGGTACTCTTGAGCGTTGGGTGCTCTTGAGCGTTGGGTGCTCTTGAGCGTTGGGTGCTCTTGAGCGTTGGGTGCTCTTGAGCGTCGGGGGCTCTTGAGCGTTGGGTACTCTTGAGCGTTGGGTGCTCTTGAGCGTTGGGTGCTCTTGAGCGTTGGGTGCTCTTGAGCGTTGGGTGCTCTTGAGCGTTGGGTGCTCTTGAGCGTTGGGTGCTCTTGAGCGGTGGGTGCTCTTGAGCGTTGGGTGCTCTTGAGCGTTGGGTGCTCTTGAGCGTTGGGTGCTCTTGAGCGTTGGGTGCTCTTGAGCGTTGGGTGCTCTTGAGCGGTGGGTGCTCTTGAGCGTTGGGTGCTCTTGAGCGGTGGGTGCTCTTGAGCGTTGGGTGCTCTTGAGCGTTGGGTGCTCTTGAGCGTCGGGTGCTCTTGAGCGTCGGGGGCTCTTGAGCGGTGGGTGCTCTTGAGCGTTGGGTGCTCTTGAGCGTTGGGTGCTCTTGAGCGTTGGGTGCTCTTGAGCGTTGGGTGCTCTTGAGCGTTGGGTGCTCTTGAGCGGTGGGTGCTCTTGAGCGTTGGGTGCTCTTGAGCGGTGGGTGCTCTTGAGCGTTGGGTGCTCTTGAGCGTTGGGTGCTCTTGAGCGTCGGGTGCTCTTGAGCGTCGGGGGCTCTTGAGCGTTGGGTGCTCTTGAGCGTTGGGTGCTCTTGAGCGTTGGGTGCTCTTGAGCGTTGGGTGCTCTTGAGCGTCGGGTGCTCTTGAGCGTCGGGGGCTCTTGAGCGTTGGGTGCTCTTGAGCGTTGGGTGCTCTTGAGCGGTGGGTGCTCTTGAGCGTTGGGTGCTCTTGAGCGTTGGGTGCTCTTGAGCGTTGGGTGCTCTTGAGCGTTGGGTGCTCTTGAGCGTTGGGTGCTCTTGAGCGGTGGGTGCTCTTGAGCGTTGGGTGCTCTTGAGCGGTGGGTGCTCTTGAGCGTTGGGTGCTCTTGAGCGTTGGGTGCTCTTGAGCGTCGGGTGCTCTTGAGCGTCGGGGGCTCTTGAGCGTTGGGTGCTCTTGAGCGTTGGGTGCTCTTGAGCGTTGGGTGCTCTTGAGCGTTGGGTGCTCTTGAGCGTCGGGTGCTCTTGAGCGTCGGGGGCTCTTGAGCGTTGGGTACTCTTGAGCGTTGGGTGCTCTTGAGCGTTGGGTGCTCTTGAGCGTTGGGTGCTCTTGAGCGTTGGGTGCTCTTGAGCGTTGGGTGCTCTTGAGCGTTGGGTGCTCTTGAGCGTCGGGTGCTCTTGAGCGTCGGGGGCTCTTGAGCGTTGGGTGCTCTTGAGCGTTGGGTGCTCTTGAGCGGTGGGTGCTCTTGAGCGTTGGGTGCTCTTGAGCGTTGGGTGCTCTTGAGCGTTGGGTGCTCTTGAGCGTTGGGTGCTCTTGAGCGTTGGGTGCTCTTGAGCGTTGGGTGCTCTTGAGCGGTGGGTGCTCTTGAGCGTTGGGTGCTCTTGAGCGGTGGGTGCTCTTGAGCGTTGGGTGCTCTTGAGCGTTGGGTGCTCTTGAGCGTCGGGTGCTCTTGAGCGTCGGGGGCTCTTGAGCGTCGGGTACTCTTGAGCGTTGGGTGCTCTTGAGCGTGGGGTGCCCTTCAGCGGTGCTCTTTGGCGTTGGTTGCATCCTTAGGGGGATGGGTCACATGCACGGGAAGCTGTTATCATCGCTATGTGGGTTTGAGTCTTCATGCCATGTGGCCCTTTCTTCATGCCATGTGTCCCTTTCTTCATGCCATGTGGCCCTTTCTTCATGCCATGTGTCCCTTTCTTCATCCAATGCTCCCCTCTCCCCGCCCTTGCTCCCCCCCACCCTTGCTCCCCTCTCCCTTTCGTGCACGTGCATGTGTTTGCAGGGCATCTCTCCCTCTCTCTTCACCTACCATATTCTGCTTCGCCAGTGCATGGAGCAACCCACCCATACACTGGCGTCCATGCTCCCCCGCCTCAACGCCCTCCTGCACGCCATGCGCCACTGCGACCACCTCCTCCCCTCCGCCCAAACCCACTCCATCCTCCTCCGCGCCCTCATTCACGCCGGGCAGCTGTCTCGGGCAGAAAACACTTTCAATGCCATGATGGAGGATGGCCTTGTGCCCGCACCTGCTGCTTGTGCTGCGCTGTGGATGGCCATGGGGCGGGCGGGGAAGGGGGGCCGAGGGGGGGAGGTGGAGGGGATGTGGAGGAGGGTGCAAGGGATGGGGGTGAGGGTGACTCGGCCCATGCATGTGGCACGGATAGCGGCTCATGCAACGGCCGGCGACATTCCCATGGCTGAAGAGGCGTTTGGGGTCCTGCATGTCCGCAGTGCTCGCCTAGACCGCGACGCCTGTACGGCTCTTCTCAAGGGGTACACTCGAGCCAGCATGTCAGATGCCGCGCTGCGATTGGTTGACGCCATGCACGCAGCGTGCATTCCTAGCAGCACTGCCACGCTCTCCCTGCTGCTCTCGTGTCTCACTCGCTCCCACCGCCTCGCCCATGCCACCGCTCTCGTCACTCAACTCACCTCCCCTGCTGCCTCGCCTCCTGCCTCTCCTTCTGCTGCTCCTCCTCCTGCCACCACTACCAGCCCGGCCTACGAGCCTCATCCCAATTCCCTACCTGGCTTTATGCCTCCGCACACATCTCCCTCCCCCACTCCGCAACCCCCCTCCCAGTCCCACCACCGTGCCCAGCCCCCCAGGGGCCATGCCCCTGCTATCAAGCGGCGGGTGCTGAGGGGGCTGATGGTGGCGCTGCAGGCAGAGGGGCACGTGGAGGGCGTGCGGCACGTGATGCACGCGGGGGAGGCCATGTGGGGCCGGGCGGAGCTGGCCTGGTACAAGACGCTGCTGGGGGCCATGGTGCGCCGCGCGGAGGGGGAGAGGGAGAGGGGGGAGGGAGGGGAGGGGGGGAGTGGTGGGAGAGAGAGGTGGGAGGAGGCAAGGTGGGAGGAGGAGGCGAGGGGGGTGGAGGAGGAGATGAGAGAGAAGGGAGTGAAGGGGGACCATGAGGTGAGAGGGCTGCTGAGGAGGCTGAGAGGCGTGGCTGGGGCGCACCAGGAGTGCACGGCTCAGTAGCTGGGAAAACCAGCCTTGCTGTTGCTGCAGTATTGAATCGAGATGTGGGAGAGGGTTGACAAACTTGCTGTTTTGGGGTCAAGTGAATGTGTGTCACGAGGTCAGTGCAATGAGAGTGATGAGTAACGAGCCTGGGCTGGTTGCTTCCATCCAGTGCCAGCCCAATCTGGTCACGAGCACCTGGTAAGTGCTGGCTGCTCTTTCTGGAGTTTAGCTATCAATATGGCGTTCAGCTATCAACATGGCATTCAGCTATCAACATGGCATTCAGCTATCAACATGGCATTCAGCTATCAACATGGCATTCAGCTATCAACATGGCGTTCAGCTATCAACACCTTCCCCAGGGAAAGCCTCCCCAGTACCCTTCCTAGAGAGAGAGAGAATCGACAGGGATATCCCAGTGCCACGACACAACCCCCCGCTGGGATCGCGTGTACACCAGGAACCCCGGATGGATCTGATACCAAATAATAAGATCACCAGTCCTAACCACTGGGACAAGAAGGGATATTATCAGGAGGATTAGGCTCCATATATCCACATTACCCGGGGAAAGCCTCCCGAGTACCCTCCCAAGAGAGAGAGAATCGACAGGGTTGTCCCAGTGCCACGACACTATCGACATGGCGTTCAGCTATCAACATGGTTTTCAGCTACAAACATGGCAACATAAGTTCATCGCAGTCAGGGCAGGGGAAGCCTCAAGTCAAGCATGCTACAGCCACTCACAGCAGACAGCATTCTACAATCTACAGATCAGTGTCCAAGCAGCATCAGCCACTCACTATCCTGGCCTGTGCACTCTACACTCCCCTTTCTCGCTCCCACAGCTCTGGGTCGCCCGGTGTGTGCCAGTCCAGAGACCCCATGCAGCGCAGCGCCAGCAGGCATGCAGCAGTCGGTGGCACAGACAAGGCTCCCAGTGGCCACCCTGCTGCACCCGCCTCAGCACTGCCACTGCCGCCCACTCCCCCTGCTCCTCCCCCCCCTGCTCCTGCCACTGCTGCTCTGCTGAGGGCCCGTCTGGGTCTCTCCATGCTTATTTGGGAGCGGGCAGGGAGTGGTACGATGTGGATGGCGTCGATTGTCTTCTTCTGGAACTCCATCTGCGCGCACAGCTGCTCCACGCCTGTGGGGATGCAGGGGAGGTGGGCGGGGCAAGGCGGACAGGGGTGAGTGGAGGGACGAAGGGCTTCGCGAACTGCAGAGAGGAATGGTGGATGGGAGAGGGGAGCGAGAGACTATACATGCATAAGCATGCTGGCAGCTACCTGATTGATGGGTTGCCTACAGCAGGAAGACGAGGTGGCACTCACTTTCAAGGTTGAGACAAGTGGTTGACTCGCCGAACCAATCCGATTCTGATCCGCCCTCCTCCGCCTCTGCGCCCTCCCCACCCCACTCCCCTTGCTCCGCCTCTCCCCCATGGCTGCCGCACCGGCCGTCGCTCACACTGCTGCCTCCGCAGCTGATAGCGTCGCTCACGTCGTCCACGCTGCGCCTTCGTCTGTGTCCTGCAGACGCCCCTTCCCATTCCCTGCCCCCCTCTTTCCCACACTCGCTCCCCCCGTCCCTCTCCGCCCTCTCCGCCGTCTCCTCCGGTGCCTCCTGACCTGGCGCCGAAAGCGGAGATGCGCGACCGGCATGACCGCCCCAAGCAGCCACTAAGCCAGCGCCACGTGGCATGCTGAGCCACTGGTTCCGGGACAGCTCTCTTTCCGCCTGCGCTCCCACCTCCACGGCGGCGCGCCCCTCGACCCGTCCGCACAAGCTCGCTCTGCGGATCCCCATCGAAGCTTTGCGCGCGGCGTCCGCCGCTGCGCGCTTTGCTACGCTATCGGCGGACTCGAAGCTTCTTCGGAAGGCATCCGTCGGGCGTTCCTTGAGGATCGCGGCGGCATTCCCGCGGTCGAACGCGCCGCACGACTCGCCGCACTCCGCGCTTCCCGCACTCGACACGCTGCGGCTGCTGCCGCCGACCACCAGCACGTTCGATTCCGCGTAGTCCCCCCCGAAAGCGCACTCTCCCGCGTTCGATCCCCCCGCAGCGACATCGTCGGCGCAAGTAAACGCGAACGCAACCGCCTGGGCGGCATCCGCTGTGGTCTGCGCGCGGGCGGCGGAAGAAGGGCGCGGGGAGGAGGGGGGGAGCGAGGAGGACAGGGAGGAGCGCGGCTTGGGGGCGCCGGGGGAATGGCAGGAGGGCGACGAGGCGCTGGGGGAGGTGACGAAGCCCAAGGGCGTGTCGGGAGATGCGCATCTGGAGGTTTGTGCAGCGGCGGCTCGCAGCACTTCTGGTCGCTGAATGGGGAGGGCAAACCACTGCGCTTGCTGCGGTGCTATTTGTGGCGGTGGGGCCGCCGCACCGCCTGGTAAAGACGGGCTGGCCGCATCGGGCGGCGTCCCATCAGCTCCAGGCGCTGGTCGCGCGACCCTGCCGAAGTTGGTCCCCGGCGAGCAGCGCGGGCTGTTGGAAAGCGCGGAGAAATCGAGGCAGGGGGAGCGCGGGCGGGGCAACGATGGGCGTGGGGATCTCGCGGGGGGGCGGGAGGAGGGCGGAGGGGGCTTGAGGGCGGAGTGATGGGCGAAGAGCGAGAGGACGGGGAACGAAGCAGGCGAGGAGGACGAGGACGCGTCGTCGCCTGGATTGCTGGACGCGTCGCATGGGATTCTCAGCGGTGCTGCGATGAACGGCTTCCGCGCGTCCAGCGCCCGGATGGCGCACTGCGGCGGCTGCGGCGGCTCGTCCAGCAGATCGTGCTGCGCCGTGTCGAAGCGGATCGAGGGGTGGTGAGGTCGCGGCTTGGCTGCGATGTCCGCGGGGGCGAGCTTTGCGCCGAAAGCCATGGGGAACGACGGCCGATCTCGTGATGCGGGGTGCGGGGAAACCATAGGCACCATTGCTGCTCACAATGCCAGCGAATGACGATCAGCGATGACTGGAGAATACTGGGTGCCTCGGAATCGACAACGTGTGAGACGACTACGCTGACAGTTGCCCGTCTGACAGGTATGCTTCTGGCTACAAGATCTTGACGACTAAATCGTGCATCAATATGGTGCAAGACGGAGGTAGCGCGACGGCTGAGACGCGCTGATCTGTGAAGGTGACTCACAACCTGCCGTTGAACGCAGGTGGCGATCGAGCTCAGTTCGCTCGTCTCGCAACTGATCGTGCAGCTGTACAATATCGGGCCAACCGCATTCCGCTGCAAGCCTTTTAGGATGAGCCTGGAAACGAGTTAATCTGGAAACAAGAACCGTCTAGCTCAAGGCCTTGAGTGATGGAAGTTGAATGGAGGTTCTAACAACAAGTGGTTAGAATGCAGCAGGCAGCAGCAGCAGGCACGCGAAATGCTGCTATGTTGTCGCACGCACCGAGCACACGGGGTGGACTGCGAAATGAACTGGGCTGGGATTGAAGCTGCGAGGGGGGATGGGGAGGGAAGGGGCTGGTTGGGGGGAAGAGAGAGAGAGAGAGACGGGCAACTCGCCAGTGAGGAGAGAGAGAATGTGGGTTGGCGCCATCATTGTCGGATAGGATGAGGTGAACTGGTGGTGCTGCTGATGTAGGCTGTGCTGTGCTGCTGCTGCTGGATTGCTGGATAGGAACTCGGAGAGGTTCAGTTCAGGCATTTGTGGTGGAGTTGAGTGAGCTGGGTGACCCCCCCCAATTTCCTCCATTTCTTTTTTAAGCATGTGAGAAATCGTACACGGAACATACACACCACAAATGGAACCTCATCCAACTCCAAAATTGGCGTTGAAAACCGTAAATGCATGGGGGAACTGGAGGACAGAAATCCAGTACAAACATTTTGCTTCGACAAAACACAAACAATGGGTGCTGCTGTCTCAACGAAACTCTCTCCCACAAGCATAGATAGACCCATTCGACCATGTGATAAAGCCAGCTGTGTGTCTTTTTTTTGGCAGCTCGTTTGTCGCGAACCGGCAACTGGCACTCCACGCACCCACGTCGCAAGTGTGTTTTCTGTGGTTGAGCTCCCTCGGGTTCCTTCGCGATTTTCACCAATGATGATGATGTGCGTCATCGAGGAACGACGGAAGCCACATATCCCAGCAAGCTGTGTGGAGAAAGATATATAGGTCCGTGTTCTGTACCAGGCCTCTCACCAACAGGGAAATTACTCTTAATATCAAGAATTTAATAGTAACCTTTCCAGGATTCCTTTTTTTACGGTGCAACTTTTTCCCGAATCCTTCCTACTTAGGGGAACAATTTCACGTGATTCCTTAGCCTAACGATTTTTATTTATTTTTTAATCCGTACAGGCGATACTTGTAGTATGGCAATCTGCAAGGGGTAGCGATCCCCCATTCCCCTCTACCCCCCCCCCCTGCCCCCCCCCCCCCCCACCCCGCCTCCATACCTTGCTAGCCGAATTTGTAGCGGCCGATTTCTTTCGGCAACGGGTTTTTTTAAGGAGGATTCCGTCTGTTAACGGGTAATTCAGAGGCGATTCTGTCACCTTCCAGAATACCCTGGGGCTCAGCGAGAGGCCTGTTCTGTACTGTCCTGCCACGGGCCTGTATGGCTGGCAAGCCCTGTCTGTTGCGCGATGGAGGCGACATTTCGACGATTCACGGTTCCCATCCCCTTGGAGGCGAAACTGATGCAAGAATGATCACATTTCAGCAACTCACCTCTTGTATTACCAATGGAACATATGAAAATAGTGACAATTTACAACCGCTAGTTAAATACCTATAAAATCTCACAAATAATGTACTAGCATACCGGTAGGAGCTTCGCAATTTTCACCTCAGTGAGAGGTTTCAAGCATCTCTCTCTTGTATAGCTCAAAGAATAGGGTGGCGAAGCGAACCACAACCTTGGTATAAGATGTGGTACGTTGTTGGTTATGCAGTTAGCTCTCTCTTTCACATCAGCTTCTACCTCGCCAGCTGGCGATACATTGGTTCTTCACTTGAAAAGTTGGAACGTAAGGGTTCGGTCCACCCATTGGAACGCCCTGCTGCTCCAACAATTGCAACGCCGAGTCAACGTCCGCTTGAGAAACAGACGGCGTGCGGGATAGAATGCGAAAAGATATCTGTTGGGTGCCATGGGCCGACAAAGGTTAGGGGGGATAGAGGGGGGGCGGGAGGTGTGGGAGGGGGGGGTGAGGTTGAGGGAGAAAGATGCCTGGCGAGAAATGTTGACAAGGAGAGATGTTGAGAAATTAGAGACACAAAACTGTAGTCCATGTCTGGTCAACCTGAGGCAAGGGCCACCCATGGTGCAAATGGTACCTAGCATGAAGCTTACCTGGCTTGTTCTCCCCGAGCCCACGTTAGCCGGCGGCACGAAGCACGAGTAGATGAGCGCCATGCTGTATGCGTTGGACATGGCCTGGTTGCCCCACAGCCCCGCCACCCACATGTTCTCCACCACGCCCTGCCCGTTGCCGTACGTCACCTGCATCTTGCCCACCTGCCGCGTGGGTGAGCGGGTCGAGGGAATGGGGGGGTGAGAGCGGAGCAGTGGATCCTCAAGGCATACATGGTGCGACTTCTACAGCGTTAGTTGCTGCAGGGTGCAGCCCGACAGCATTCGAGGACACACATTGCAGTTACAGCAGCATGCTTGAGCTGTAAAGCGTGGGGCACAAGCCATGCAGGAACAAGGGGTACTAGAGGGCCCAGAGCGGCGCACCTGCGAGGCTTCGACTTGTGTGACGGCGCCGATGGCGGAGTAGGAGAAGCGCATGGCGAGCGGGTTGGCGAACATGAGCCCCGCCATCGGCCGCATCGACGCCGTCGCCGCGCCCATGCGGCCCGTTGCGCGCCCGAACCCGCTCACGTTGCGCGTCAGTCCGATGATGTCGTTCAGATTGAGCAGCAGCTGAGGGGGGCGGATGGGGAGAGGGGAAGAGGAGGGGGTGGAGAGAAAGCGGAAGATTGATGAGAGTGGATTGAGTGGAACGGGGATGATGTGCGGGGACGTTATAGCGCATGAGTGCCACGTGTCAAGCCAAACGCCGCCCTGCTTTTTCCCCAGGCAAGCTCACCGTCTGCTTGCCGCGCAGGTTGCCGAGCTTGTTCTCGACCTTGTTGACGCGCTTGGTGGCGATCTGCGCCGACTTCATGATGCTCACGCGCGCCTTGTTGATGGCCGTGGCTTCGCGCTGCAGCTGCTGCACGGCGCGCACCAGCTTCTGCTTCGTCTGCCACAGGAAGAACGCGCGGTCCATCTGGCTCAGCTGCGCGTTCACCTGCTGGATCCGGGCTAACAGATTATACGCGCGCTCCGCGCGCGCGGAGACCTGCGCCATGGAGTCGGTGATGTCTTGCAGCGCCACCGTCACGTCCGACTCCACGTCGTTCGGGAGCTCCGCCCACGATAGCGTCTGCTGCGCGTTGCTCACTTGCAGCGTGGCGGAACTGCCCTGCGCGGGGGGGCGCGCGATGGCGGCGCAGGCTGAGCGCAGGTGGTCGCGCACGGCGAGTGCGGACTTGGATATGCCCTGGATTTGCGTCTGGCGCGCGGGGGTGGTCAGGCGGATACCGCGCTTCACCACGCTGGGGGAGAAGAGGCGCGGGAGGGGGGTGGTAGGGAGTCGGAAGGAGTATTAGTGCGCGAGGTGGAATAGAGAGTGAGGAGAGGGAGGCGAGAGAAGAGAGGAGGAGGGGGCAAATGGCTGTGACGGACGAGAGACGGCGGCTTGTGAGAATGGACGCAGCACGAGGAAAGGCAGGAGAAGTACGATAAGTAGGAGCGATTGAGTGCAGTGAGGGTGGTACCTGAACCTGTTGAGGTTGCGGTTGATGCCCTTGAAGACGAAGTTGTAGGTGACGCACGACATGCCCAGCTCGCCGCTCACCTCCAGCTTCGACTCCGCCGTCGACCCGATCTCGTACCACGTGCCCTGCCACGGCAACCACACGCACGGGGGACTATTATGGGGACGAAAACTGCACCACTAGTAAGGGTTACGTTGCTCCGTGGTTCTTCCGTCCTTCGTAATTAAAAAGGAGTGTCAAGGAAGGCTACGAGAAGAACAAGCATAATGGCAGTGATGACTTCACTGATGGATGTGAAAATCCCGATGGCGATAGAGTATGAACTTTCATGGTGCCGATTCGATTGGCAGCAATTGGGACTGCAATTCCAAAAAAAATAGTGTGATGGCGATGGCGAGACTGGAATGTAGCGCGAGTAGGTGCTGGATGGGCACTAGTAAAGGAGCTACGGGTCCGTGGTCACACGGCTTCGGGAACGCTGAATCGATGAGTGCAGTGCACTACTGATCGGACATTTCATCTCCCGTCGCGCCAACACGCCTCGACGCCATGGCAGCGTGTTTCAGCCATTGTTGGGGCGTGTGTCGGCCGTGCGAGGGCGCGCACCTGGAAGAACTCGGCCATGAAGGTGTTGCTCGTCTGCACGTCGGGGCACGCGCCCACCGTCTCCTTCACCAGCTCCTGGCAGAAAAACGTGTCCGCCGCGCGCACGCGCGACAGCGCTGACAGCCACACCGCCACGCACGCCAGGAGAACGGCCAGCCGCCCGCCACGGCCGAGGCGGAAAGGCGAGAGCATGGTGGACGCGCGTGTTAAGGAAAATGAAGGGTGGCGGCACGATTCGCGGTTCTGATGCTGACAAGTTCTAATGCGAGCTAACGTAAAAATATCGAATACTTGAAGTTCTAATTTAGCTCTTTCGACGCCGCGGCCTAGAAACTTACTGAGAGGTGGAACTAACACGCTACGATGCACTGACTGAAGCACTGCGAATGGGCGTTACCCTATCGTTATGATCAATCTCGGCAAGTTATCCCCGTGAAGCTGCAGAAATGCTTTCACTCAGTGAGCTACAGATCAGTGACCTGATCGAAGAATTCGGATTTCTGAATCCGACTGATTTGTCGGTGAAGGACAGTGAGGGTGATGGGACAAGGATCAGCGGAGGGAGTGGATGGAGGGGTCATTCCCAGAACAGCTGGGGGGAGAAGGACATTGGCGGAGCAGCAGAATGCGAGGGTGCGAGTTGAGGGGAACACAACATTGGCCTTCCGAAATTGTGATGAGCGCGACGCGGTAATTCGACATGCGCGCCTTGAAGGCGACACGCATTTCCACGCATCGCTCAAACGGAACGGAACATTTGGAGGTACCCCAACGAAACAGAACCTTGCAGACGACGCTGGCGAAATTCAGTAACTATTCAACGAAGATCCAAACGGGCAGTTCTCCGCAATCGCCTGCAGAAGTCGCACTCGAAGTTATATTTCCAGGGTACATGAACAAGCATGAACGGATTATTTCACATTGAACAGTTGATACATTGAACCTAACCACAAGAAGTGGATACATTAGGAAAACATAAGGCTCAAACATAAATGGTGTTATGGAGGAAATCATAAGAACATGATCACTCCCCACCCTATTGCTACCCTCAATATTAGCTAGTGTCGGTTACTTCTACAGCTAGCATGTCAGTTTCCCCACATGTTTGTGCATGCAAGCTCCTCTTGATTAGTCTTGATGAAGATGTTTGCACCCCCTAACACAATGCCTTGTGTCTGTAGCTCTGAAAGCTGGCTGTCAATGTCAGATTGACTGACAGTAGGTGTGCGTGACAGTAGTGTCACCGAGAACTGAGAAGGCATGGACATGAGGGAGGACAACACAGAAGCAAAAACACGTGTAACGAAGGCACGGCTGGGAGTCTTGAGCCCTATACTTCAAGAAACAGCTGGCACGTAATCTGCATTGATTTGCTCATGTACCGGTATGCTCACCTGTCCGCTATCACATGACACAATGGTGGTCATGTTGTAGTCGGTGAAAGGATCCCCTTCTAGCTTGTTGATCAGGTAGTTGTTACTCCGAGCGAACCCAAACAGGCTCACTGCAAACTTCCCTGGCTGCTTGGGGGCAGGAAGTTAGGAAGGGGGTGAATTGGAAAGGAGCAGCATTAGAAAATGCATGTCTTCAAAGGACCCCGGCAGCAAGCAGTTGACACTTGTTCTGGTCAGCTCACCTGCTTCCTGTCTTGCACGGCTCGCATGCGCAGCTGGGTCTGCGAATTCCAGGGGATGGGCGATGGGAACATGGTGAGGGACGGAACCAGCACGGACGCCGCCAGCACGCGGATCATAGTCGTCGCCAGGCCCGCTTTACCCCTCAGCCCCAACTCCATGGATGCACGCGTGAGGGAACCGGAGAGCCGGGATGTGAATCTGGTGGCGGCGCTGCTGTTGTCGGCGGGCAGCATGAGCTGCATCCGCATCACCGCCAGGCTCCCCGCCATCCCTGCGCGCCTGGCCCTCCCAGCGGCGCCAATGATGCGGTTAGCGGCGTCTCTGAGGCCCTGCTTGATGGCGTCTATGCCGGGCTCCTGGGGGTTGTTGAACGTGCTCGCGAGGTCGTTGTGCTGCTGCAGCGCGCCGAGCTGCCAGTAGATCGCCTCAGCCTGCCGTGAGAGGGTGCCTCCAGACGCTGCTAGCACTCCTGCCGCCTCAGTGGCAATGGCAGTTCCGTTGGGGTGCTGGGAGAACGGGCTGCTGCTGCCCGTGCTGCTATTACTAGACATATCCTCGTTGCTGTCTACCCCACTACCATTTCCGTCGTTTCCACCCGCCCCCTGCACCTCGGGCACGAGCATTGTCTGAATGGCGGCGTGCGCTCTGGCGCTGTAAACGGCCGCCTCGCACACTCGCCGCAGGTTGCGCGAGATGCGCCCTGTTGCCGCGGAAATGCGCCACACCTGAGCGGGGAAGCGGAGAAAGGGGATGGTGTGAGGGGGGCATTGGCGGAGGGCATAGTTGCGGGATCTGAGGGGTGCTGAGGGCTATCGTTTCAATCGAGAGGCAGGCAACGCATGAGCGCATGAGCGCATGAGCGCATGGCGCGGGTGATAGAGCGCATAGCGGCGCACCTGATCCGCTCGGAAGGGGCTGACGGTGCGAAGGCCGCGATTGATAAACCTGGCGTGCCGCGAAGGAGGGTGCAAGGGACGAGGGCGAGTGGCATTAGCGGGGATGGCGTGTGGGGGGGAACGATCGGGGAAGGGCACCAAGATGTGATCGGGAGACGACTCAAGCGAGGCTTCCTACGAAATGGAGCATACCCACCCATGTCCCTCCTCTCCAACCACGGCCCGTGGTGTCTCTTCGCTCAGATTTCCACGCTTACCCAGCGACGTTGTTGCCGTCGGTAGCGGCGCCGAGCGTGGAGAAGTGGGCGGAGTTGCACGACAGCCCGCTACCCACACTGAACTTGCGCAGCGCGCTGCTTCCCACCTCGAACCACGCGCCCTGCACCCACGGAGTACACCAAACGCACGCTTTGGTCGGGGAACGACAGACTGACGACATCATGTGTGCCCACTACTTTTAGTGGTTCGCTGTTATCGTTCAACTCGCACACTCCCAGTAACCTACCATCATCGCCCTTTCCCGCACCCCTACCGTGAATTTGTTCAGGTCAAGTGACTCGACTGTTGATACTTTCGGACATCGGCTCGGAAACTGAGCAAGGAAGGTGTCGCAGAAAGAAGCGTGCGCTGCATCGAAGAAAACGATGAGGATGACTGATGTCAGGATGTCGACAAAACGATTTCGATTTAGAGGAGCCATAAGGATCAGTCCAAGTAATCAGCCTGAAGTGTAAACAAGCCTATTCGTTTGTTTAGGAGAAGCAGGAAAGTAGATCTTGGGCGCGATAATTCTTTGCGCACTGGAGCCTATGGAGCTCCAATTGACGAGCGGAAGCGAACACGTGCCTTGACCAGACGCTGGGGGGGATTGAAAGAACGATTCAAGTGGCGAGCCGAGGCGTATGATGAAAATGGAGCGGGAAATGTCTTCCGTTCCACTCAATATGAATGAACGAAGCGGCACGGGATGATCTTGCGACACGGGAAAAATGACGCGCATACTCGACTTAGGGCGAGACTGGAACAACTGAATACGGGGAGCTAATGCTTGATGGAAAAAACAAAACTGGTGCACTTATAAATGTCTGCCTGCACCAATACCACACAACAGATCACAATCCTTTCACATTGATTTTTTTAATATTATAATGTTATTCATAATAATTTGTTTTATCAGAAAATATTAGTGAGGCCCGAAGCCTATGTTGGTGTCAGTAATTGAGGATGCGTTTCATCATTGATTGAGCTTAAAATGTGCCACTGTACTCTTTCCATACTGACAGTCTTGTTTCTTTGTCGCGTATTTAACTGAAGTGTGCCCAATCCGCATTCCTCGGTGCTATGGGTGGAGTGACTCGTCGCGCAGGGTGGCGCTCATGTTGCCCCAGGTGTCATCCACACGGCACGCGATTGGCGGATCACCGTCCGTCTACGAGTCGCAGCTTCCTTTCCACATTGCGCCGCACCTTGCGCCAAATTGAATCGAGCCAGAAATGCCTACTTGCTGCTTGACCCTCTCTGCTGTGCGTGTGCTACGGGCCGGGCACAGCTGTAGTGTAAATGGGACGGAAACCCTATCTGCTCGTGATGCCTACTGTAATCTCGTGCCATGCCAACCCTAACTGCGCTGACAACAACTTCATACAGTAAGCACTTGGACTGGGAGCCGCGGCTGTCAGGTTACACAGAGCACATTGGGAAGCGAAGTCTGTCAGTGCTTGTGTTCCCTCGCTGTTGACCTTGCATTGCCATCATTCGCGCCGAAGCTCGCTCCAAGTCGAGGTGGAGCGGAATCGGAGTCGAGCTGCTGGCAGCATGGGCGCGGAGCCGGACTTGCAGCGGGAGTCGTCGCTGGATGAATCAGTGCGAATAGACGATGCGTACGACGACGACGTGGAGTCGCAATACGCGTCGGTCAGCAAGGTAGGTCATCCCACGGCGTCGCACGTCGCACGCCGTACTGCGCTGATTGTGCACCCCTTAAAGGAATCCTCATTCGCGCTGCGTTCTCCTCTCTTTCCTTCTGCTTACTCGCTCCCATCGCCCTCCCTTCGCGGCAGACGATAGCAGCGAGCGCGCACTACACGTCCGTGCGGCAGCTCTTCACGTCGCCCGCCGACTACGGTCAGCCACGCGCCTCCCCACCCTCTCATCCCCTTGTCTAAAATCTCGTCCCTCTCCCCGCCCTCTCGTCCCTCTCCCCGCCCTCTCGTCCCCGTCTCCGCCCTCTCGTCCCCGTTTCCGCCCTCTCGCTCGCGTTCGCCAGTCCCTCGCCCGCACTTTCTGCCTTGCCTCCGCACCTTCCGTTTTCCCCTCCGTCACCACGTATCCTCCCCTCGCCATAACCATTCGCTCTCCGCCCCTTCAGTCCCCCCCTTTCCCCCCGCCACTTCTCTCCCCCGCGCCGCAGACCCGTCCCAGGAGACACACTACGTGCTCGTGGTGCACGGCACGTTCGACGCGCCGCCCGCCAAGGGCGCCCCGCCGCCATGGTATTTCCTAGACACTGAGAGCGCGGGCAACTTCTGCCACGTCATCGCCAAAGACCTCCAGCCCACGCCGCTCGGCTTCGACGCCGTCTGGCGCACGCTGCCGGGTGAGGGGAGCGTGGGGGGAGGGGGGGGGGTTATGGGGTTGGGGGAGGATGGCGGGTGGTGGGGGGAAGGGGGCGGGGTTCAAGGGATCAGGGCGAGGGGCGGTGGTGGGGTGGGCGTACCTCCGATCCTCGCCTTCACCATGCACAACCCGCATTCCCCACCCCCCCACCCTCTCCCCTTCCACTCACCCCGCTTCTCACTCCCGCTCCCCTCTTCGCCCCTCCCCTCCCTCCTGCCCCCCTTTTCGCCCCTCTCCTCACTCCCGCTCCCCTCTTCGATCCTCCTCCTCACTCCCCCCTTTCTCCGCCCCTCCCCCTCGCCGCGCAGACTCGCGCGAGGCGATGCGGCTGCGGGAGAACGTGCCGTACCCGTTCCACTGGTCGGGGCAGAACACGCACGACTCCAGGGTGGCAGGTGAGCATGCGAGCCGGGGGAGGGAAAGGCTGGGAGATAGCGTTGGGACAGGCTGGCACGGCCATGGTTGTGCTCCTCCCACTCGCCTCTCCCCCCCTCCAAGCCATCTCTCTGTTCCGCCGGTGTCGCCTCCCCTCAGCACCGCCCTGCATCCGTCTCTCAAACACCCCCCACTCCCCCTCCTCCCATCCTCCCCTCCTCCCCTGCTCCCCGCCTCCCCCCCCCAGCGGGCAAGGCCCTGGCGCAGCTGATCAACGCCATTGGCAAGGCGGACCCGTCGGCGCGCGTGCACATAGTGGCGCACAGCCACGGCGGTAACGTGGCGCTCAAGGCCGTGTCCAAGTACCTCTCCATGCTCCGACGCGAGAGCGGGCGCTCCTACAACGACCAGATCACAGCCGCCTTCTGGGAGGCGCACGCCGAGGGGTACCGGTGAGAAGACGGGTAGTGGGGAGGCGGAAGAAGGGTTCTGGGGCGCAGGGGGAGAGGGGGGTGGGGGGCAATTGGGGCAGGTTCTGTGGACGAAACTGGCGCTCTCCCCTGCCCCGCTATATGGCTGCTCAGCCCATCCCATCACACCCACCATGCCTCTCCACCACCACCCCTGCCCCTCCCCCCTCTCCTCCCCCTCCAGGGCCATCCGCGAGCACCAGGAGGTGCAGCTGCCCGCGGTGTGGATGCTCTTATTTGCGCCCTTCCTCGTTGTCAAGCGGCCGTGGCGGGGCGAGGAGGCGCTGGGGGCCTTCCCCTACGCCTACTTCAAATCGCTTGACTCGCTGCTCCGCCTCCCCAAGTACGTGCTTCCCTGCTCACCGCACTGCGCCAAGCTGCACCGCACCCGCTGCCTCACTGCACTGTAAAGGGGTGTTTGCCTCCCAGAAACCACTCCCCCACTTCTCTCTCACCCACTTGGCCTCCCGCTTCCCACTCCACCCCTCCAACTGCCCCCTCTGCCCCCCGCGCTTTCACTTCCCCCCCCACCTGCCGTGGCAGGGCACGGCAAGCCAAGTATCTGCGCAAGAAGTGGGCGGGCGGCGCGAGCACCAACTGCGTGGGGCGCATGGTGTTCCTGGGGACGCCCTTCTACACCAAGCACTGGGACAAGCAGGCCGCGCTCACCATGGCCGGCAGCATCGTCGGCCTCTCCGTGCTCGTCTTCGTCGTCATCGTGGGCGCCGTGGTCACGGTCAAGTACGCCATCTTCAGAGAGATCAACACCGCCGATCTCACGGGGAGAGAGGTGCGCTCGGGGATACAGTCTTCGGCTTTCCCTCCCGCTTTCCCAACCTGCCGCCCTGCCTGCCAGCCCACCTGGTTCTCATGTGCCTCGCTGAGATTTGTCCCACACACTGCCAATCGCATGTGACCGTGCCTCCCTTGCCTCAGCCCGCTTCATCTTGCCAGCTCTCCTCTCACTTTCCTCCGTGCGTGCGTGGGCAGCTGACGTTCTGGGTGACGGTGGCGGTGGTGTCGGTGGCCATGGTGGTGTACAACACGCTCAGCAGCAAGCGCTACAGCGACGGCAACGTCTACTTCACCGAGAAGAAGGCGTGGAGCCCCGCCATGCGCGCCCTCGTGCTCAACGCAGGGAAGCTCGACGAGGCCGCACTCGCTCTTTCTACTGAGCCCCTCGTGCGCGCGTACATGATGCCGCAGGTCAAGGTGCGCGCACCCCTGCTGGCACCTCCTTCTCCCATGCTCGTTGCCCTCATCACCCATCCCTCCCTCACTATGCGCTGCTCTCTTCTCTCGTCTCCCCTCCTGCACGCCATGTTCTTCTCCTGCCCATCCGTCTGCCTCTCTCTGCCCCCCCATCCCCCATCCCCCATCCCCCACCCCCCAGGCCATGCTGACCCCTGACCCCTGGCGCATGCTGCGGCCCTTCCCCGCCAAGACGTGGCCAGTGACGCTGGCCAACCTGTACAACAACTGCTGGGTGGTGCTGTGGGCGGTGGTGCTGGCGGTGCCGTACGCGCTGCTGTGGCTGCTCAACTTCCTGCTCGTGCCATACTTCTCCAACCAGCTGCTACGCCTCTTCATCACGCTCGGCTTCGGCCTGCAGAAGGTGCGGCAGCGCCAAGGGAGAGCACAGTGAGGGTGAGGCTTAATGCAGGCAGTGGGTGCACAGTGAGGGTGAGGCTTAATGCAGGCAGTGGGTGCACAGCGAGGGTGAGGCTTAATGCAGGCAGTGGGTGCACAGTGAGAGTGCATGAGGCCTGGCAGCGTCCGAGAGGCTTATGCAGCGATGGACGTGCTGCTGTGTGCGAGTCAGACTGCTCCGCTGTGCCGAGGTCGCAACATGGTCCTCTCCTTTGGCGCGAATCACACCCACGTCACATGCTGTCTCTCCTCGTGCTCCCATGGCCTGCGCTGTTGTGCCTCGCATGCAGAACGAGCTGGACTGCGCGCAGGTGTACGTGGAGGAGTGGCTGCGCCTGCCGCCCGCCACACACAGCATCACGCATTGGAACGTGCAGAAGATCCTCACCGCCGCCACACTCGACCAGCTCAAGGACCTTCGAAAACGATGTCAGTGGTGCCACACCCCCTCCCACCCCTGCCACGTTTGCCGCCCTTGCCCTCCCTAGACACGCTCCACGCACTGCCCATTCAGCCCCCCATCCGTCTCCTTCTCTGCTCATCTGCTCCTCTTCCTCCTCCTACCCCTGTACGCGCCCTGTCCCACCCCTCCCCCAGCTGCCCCTAACCCCGAACCCCATCGTTCCCCCCTCCCCCCCCCCAGCCATCATCCCCGGCGAGGCGGCGGCGACGGAGGAGGCGCTGATGGAGGCGCAGTCGCAGGTGGTGGACCCCCACGCCATCGCCATGCGCTGGCGCTTCCTCTGGGTCAGTGCGCCTCCCGTGCTACAGACATGCAAAGCAGCTGTCTTTGTTCTCATGCTCACTGCACCCCTTGTCTCTATCCTCACCTCTGTTGCTACCTGGACTCATTCTCCTCTCTCCTCCCTCCACATTCCCATGCCCCCACACATCCATCACCCCCCCCCCCCACACACGCCCCCTGCACGCCCCCTGGTGGCGCGCAGGATGACGAGGAGTTGGAGAAGAAGGCGGCGGAGTCGACGACGCTGGCGCTGCTCAAGAGCGAGGTGGCCAAGATGGCGCACAACCCGCGCATCTCGAGAGTGGCGTTTGAGCGCGAGCTGGCGCTGGTGTGCGTGACGCTGGAGGAGCGGTACAAGGACATGACGGGCAACGTGGAGCTCTCGCACGGCAGCTACTTCCGCAACCACGTGGTGATCGCCGTGATCGCGCACTTCCTGGCGCACGGGGACGTGCCCAGCTGGGCGCCCTCGCTGGGCGAGATGACCCCGCCCGACCTCGACAAGCCCAAGGACGCGTGGAAGGGCCCGCTCTCACGGCTGTTTAGTAGACGAATCACGCCCACCACATCCGAGATGAACGAGCAATGACGCACGGAGAGGCGCACAGACGCCATGTGTATACGGCAGCAATGCAAGTGCTGTGCTGTCAGTGTTTTTGGGCTCCCTGCTCTCATGTGGTCAGGTCAGCTGGCGCGGAGCAGACGAGGGCTTCCAGCCCACTGAGAGCAGGTGGCTATACGTGTTGCAGGGGTCATAAGGCCGTAGTATGGCCAGTGGGTGGAATGTGCATGACGCACTTCACTGTATTAATGTTAAGCGGCCACATTGTTTAACTGTCCCTACGAAGGAATAAGGAGAAGGGTGAAGGAGGACAATGCCTGGAATTCCGTTGGTGGGTACCTGCATAAACCACTAGGATTGATAAGAAATGGGAGTACAGCAAGTCTTGCTATTGGAATGGTGGACACCACCTCACACCCGCCATATCCCAGCCTGAGCCTGAGCGTGAGCCCCAGGAATCACGCCTTCCGACACAGCAATAGGCGCCACATTTGTGTATGTCAGCATCACCTGCCCCGTCTGTCCCCATGCCATCGCCTAGCGCCGCTCACACTATCAGCTGCCGGCGTTGCTGGCGCTGGTGCCCCCGTTGACGCCGAACTGGGAGTGGAAGTCGGCGTCGGTGAGCCCCACGATGTGCTGGATGCACACGGAGTGCGCGCCGAATGTCTGCAGGATCTCGTGGTGCGACCGCCCGAACTTGCGCAGGCGGCGCTCGTTGTCCGTTGTGATCACCTCGTCGTGTGCGCGGATCTGGTACCCCGCCGCCAGCAGCACCGCGCACCGCGGCCGGATGCGCGAGTCCAGCGAGTACCCCAGGTACGCGGGGAAGTTGAGGACCTCGAACCGGTCTAGACCGAGCTCCTCGAGGAACTGGAACTTGGGCAGCAGCACCTTCTCCCAGCTCAGCGTCAGCGCCTGCGGAAACGCGTTCACTAGCTTCTCCGTCGCGGCGGGGTCCAGGTACGCCTCGAGGCGCGCGTACTGGCGCTTGAGGCGCGCCGTGTCGATGGTGAGCAGCCCGGGCGCGACCTTGAAGACGTTGGAGAGGCGGTGCTTGTGGAAGATGCTGGCGAGGTAGCGGATGCGCTGCACGATGGCGTCGCGCGACATGAGCAGCACCAGCGGCTTCTTCAGCAGCACGTCCGCCACCTGCTCCGGCGCAATGTGCGCCTTGAGCACGTCCACCGTCTCCGCGATCTGCGCCTGCGACAGCCCTAGAACGCGCGGCTGCCGCTCGATCATGCGGTAGATGTCGCGGCCCGCGCCCACGATGTACTGCAGGCGCGCGAGGGAGGGCGTGATGTCGGCCTCGCTGAGCTCCATGATGCGCGGGAAGCGCAGCAGCACGCGGTGCACCTTGTCGCGCGCGACGCCCAGCGACTCGAGGTACTCCACCATGTCGTACATGCGCTGCACCGGCGCGTGCAGCCACCGCGGCTCGCGCACCAGCGACGACGCCACCTCGCCGAGCGAGCTGCCCAGGTCGAGCAGCACGCGCAGGCGCGCGAGAATGTCCACCACGCTCAGCTGCAGCAGGTCGGGGTAGCTCGACACCGCCTGCGCCACCTGCTGCTTGCCCAGTCCCAGCGCCAGCAGCAGGCGCACCACCTTAGTCTCGCCGGAGTCGCATTTGGTGTCGAGCATGGCGACGGTGTCCTGCACGAGCCCCACGCTGATGGCGCGCAACTGCGGCCATTCCTCGTCCAACGCCTCCCCGCTTTCCGCCGATTCTTGACTCTCCGCCGATGCCTCTAGCGACACGCCGGCGTCCGACGCGCGGGGAATAAATGGTCGCGACGTCGACGAGTGAAGGCTAAGCCTTTGCAGGCCGCGCTCTAGCAGCGAAACCCCGGACACTCGCACGCCTTGTGGCTGGCCGAACAACGCAGTTACCGAAGCTATTTCTCGCGATAATGAGGGGCCGACCGTCGCTATGGAATGAGCCAATTGCGCTTCCGCAGCCATGGCTCCTCCTAGCAGGCAGACCACAAGACTAGTTCAACTTACCCTATGGACCAGAACGAGTGAGGAGCGGCGGTCTAGGTTTTGGCTGGCACTGTGCTGCTGAGTGGGGGAGATCGACGGGGAGGGGATGGGGCGGAAGGGATGACGGAGGAGGAAGAGGGGAGGGGAGGGAAGCGAGCAACTCCCAAGGGAGGCTCACCCCACCCCTGGATCTGTCTTCAAACGAGGGGTTTCGAATTGAACATTCAAATCCAGGAATTTTACACGATAACGCTAACGATAACAGTGTAATGCCAACAAACAGCTTCTGTTTTATTTCACACATTTCTGCTGATGTGGCTGAAGGTTCTGACGGGCCTCCACGTGGAGCCCGAGCGGATTCGGTAATCTGCAAAAATATTGTGCTGAGCGCGCCAGCCCCGCCAGACCAGCCCGAGCGCAGCAAGGAACGCATCCGCTGGTCCCCTGCGATTCTAGAATCTAGACCACCCTGTGAAGTCCCAAGGCCGTGAGAAGCGAGTAGTCGCCCAGAAACTGTACCAAGCGAGACACCAGCATAGCTCCCAACTTAGCCATCGCGTCGCTCACGAGCAGCTCGTAAGTAGTGCATAATTTCACTGATCGCTGATCCCTGCGCTATATCTCAGTTACAATGCAGAGTGTTTTGGCCCTCGATGCGACGCATCAAATTCCACACCTGAGCTTGAGATCGCCGCTATCCAGACAACCATGTCGAGCGGATCGCGTGAGATCTCTCTTCAGCAAGTTGCCGGCGGGGCTCACGGCGGCGGCATCCAGCCAGCATCGAGTCGCGATGGCCGTGCCGGCCGTCCATGCCTCCGCTGCCCTCGCTCTCATCCAGCCAGGTGCGCGCCGTCGTTCATCGTTCATCGTTCATCGTTCCGCGCCGATCCGAGTTGCTGCAGCCGTGCAGCCGTGCTGCCGTGCTGCCGTGCTGCCGTGCTGCCGGTTCACCGCACCATCATCGTCTCGTCCCACCGCTCTCTTCCCTTCTCGCACTCCCTCTCTCGACCCTTTTACCTCTCAGCCTCACGTGCCCTCCACGCGTCCTCCTCGTGCCCTGCCCCGCGTGCCCCGCAGACATCGCTCGAGCCACGGAGGACTTGTTGTTGCCACTAGCAGCACTCAACCCGGCGTATGACATGGTGCGTGTGGGGGGGCGTTGGTGCGTGGTGTATCTCCAGCTCAGTCGCTCGCTCTGGTTCTAAATCGTGTTGCGTCGCGACGCTTGCTTCTTGTGGGGCGGGAAGATCACTGGGTGCGCATGCCATGCGCGCCACCCCTCCCCCTCCCGTGTGTCTCCCCTCGTGGCATGGCGCCATGCGGTACATCAGGTGGCGGAGGCGGCCCCCTTGGAGTTCAGCGTGCTGTTTCTGTATCTGGGCGGACTGCTGGCGCTGCTGGGCTTCGGCACGTTCCTCGTGGTGCGCCAGGTGCTGGTGAAGCGCGAGCTCGAGAACGCCGCCAAGGAGCTGCAGGTGAGAAGCGGGAGGCTGAGATGCGGGTGAGGCGAGCAAGGCGGTGCGGGTCAGGCGAACAGGGGGGTAAGGGTGGGGCGGGGAAGAGAGGCAGGCGAGGCGAAAACGGGGATTGCTAAGCGAGGGGAATGACGTGAGCGACGATGGCGCGGAAATACAAACAAGATGCGCGAAGCAAACATGGCAGCAGGGCAAGATTCTCGACAGAAGCAAGGTGCATCGCACAGCACACACCTCTGCGCCAGAGCCAGGCATTGTGCTCCAAACATGAAACCCCCGCATTTACGGGGGTCAAGAGGCATGCAAAAAGTCGGAATTCGTGCGCTGCACTTGCAAGCCTCCCCACTTCACTCCCATCCCGCGCTCCCCCCCCCCCCCCCCCCCCCCCCCCCTCATCTTCCCGTGCTCCAGGAGCGCGTGCGGTCGGGGGAGGCGTCGAGCGAGGAGTACTTCGAGCTGGGCGCCATCATGGTGCGCAAGAAGTTCTTCTCGCTCGCCAACAAGTACCTCGAGCTCGCCATCGCCAAGTGGGAGGGCGACGAGCAGGAGCTCGCACAGGTAAAGTGGGGGGGAGGGAGTGGGGGGGAGTGGGGTGGGGACGGGGGGATGGGCAGGTGGGGGCATCTGTGACAAGCTCAATAGAGTATGCGATGTGAATGTATTGTGGCAGGACCTCAAGCATGGACGTGCATGCAGATGCAAGCGCATGCATGCACACAAGACACACGGACACACAGACACCCCCCAATAACACACACACACACACACACACACACACACACACACACACACACGCACGCACGCATGCACGCACGCATGCACACATGTACACACAAGTCACAGAAGCACGTACACAAAGACTCAGCACACGTGGCCATGCACACAGCACCACCCACCTTTCAACCCACCTCCCCACCCGCGCGAACCCAACCCACCTGATTGGCCACCTCTGTTCGTCCGCATCCTGTCTGCTTGCCTGCTCTGCTCGTGTCACATTCCATGCATGCCCCCTGCGCTCCATGCCCCCTCCACTCCATGCCCCCTGCACTCCATGCCCCCTGCACTCCATGCCCCCTGCACTCCATGCCCCCTGCACTCCATGCCCCCTGCACTCCATGCCCCCTGCACTCCATGCCCCCTCCACTCCATGCCCCCTCACTGCCCTGTGCGTCGCTCCTGCGCGCCCCGCTCGACCCCCGCCCACCAGGTGTACAACGCGCTGGGGTTCAGCTACTTCAGCGAGGACAAGTTCAAGGAGGCGGTGAAGGCGTACGAGAAGGCGGTGAGCCTGCAGCCCGCGTATGTGACGGGGTGGAACAACCTGGGCGACGCGCTGGAGAGGCAGAAGGAGTGGGCGCGCGCACTCAAGGCGTACGACACGGCGCTGGTCTACGATCCCTCCAACCGCATCGCTGCTGGCCGTGCCAAGGACCTCAAGCAGCGAGTCGAGCGACTACGCTATTAACCACTCTGCCCCTCTTCTGCACATTGCTTGACCTACCTCCATCCACACTGCTTCGAGAACCAAGAAAGAAGCACTAGATTAGATGTTTAGCCGTGGAAATAGAGGCGTTGAAATCAATTTAAAGGCACATTTGATGTGTTTTGCATAGAAGTTTCAGTTTGTGTCGGCTTTTTTGTGTCTGTTGTGCACTTGTGTAACATTCGTCACTGTAAGAAGATAGCATGGCTTTGTTATCCGACTATGCCACACCCGTCGTTCAGTTGACAGTCAAGTACTACCTGCACACGTGTTGCAATGTTGAAAATATGTGTGAGAAATTGTAATATACTTGTGTAACAAGATACAGATTATCATGGAAGGCGCCAAACTTGTAATTTATACAGATTATCACCGAACCGCCATTCCCGCAGCGACGGCGTCGCCAAAGCGTTCCAAAACCAGGCCTACAGGGGCCAAATCGCCGAGGCTGTAGCGCTCAACCAATGACTGCCATTTGAGTGTGGTTCGAGGGGGCCAGGCCGACACCGTCTGCAAACCCAAGGCGGAAATGAGCCATTGGCGTGTCGTCCCACCACACCAACCAACCATGGTCACACACATGCCGCCTCCCCCCTCCCCCCAGCCAACACAGCCGCCAAATTCCTATCACCCCGACCTACCTCGCAGTCTTTGCTTTGCTCCGGTGACCCGTGACTCGCCTGTCTGCCCCTCGTTTGACTCCCGCCTCACCGCCACTGTTGCATCTCACACAACTCGCGTGCATCCACTCGAATTTGCCCCTTCCCTCCTCACGGGCAAGCAACTCACCTCACCTCGGCCCCCACCACCCATCCTTCAACACGTCTTCTTTCCTCATCACCTCGAGTCCTCCATCACGCCTGCCCTTGCTCTAGGTATTGCACCCGCACAGTCATTTACTCCTCCCTCCTAGTCCGCGCTAGTGAATATCCCGCCTCGAAGGTGTTTCGAGAAGTAGCGCGGGAAATCATGGCTGACCCGCCCGGTAGTCTCGAAGACGATACAGTAGTCGACGTAGCCGATTCCCTCCCCACCGATTCCCTTCCTACCGATTCCCTCCCCGCCGATGGCACAGCCGCTTCCGCCGACGCAGCGGCTGCTCCGGACGAGGAGTTCCCCGCAATGGCGGAGTCGCGGCAAGCCGCGCACAATGAGTCCCCCGCGAGGTGCAGGTGCACGCCGCGCTGCACGTCCGCGGACTGCGACCGCCTGCTGTGCCTGCCGGTGGACCCGAAACAGCAGCACCGGTGGCGGTGGGCGCTGGCCGCCATTCTGCTGCTGTTCGTGGCGGGCGTCACGACGCTCGTCGTGCTCCTCTTCACGCTCAAACCCGCCCACTCCTCCTCCTCGCCCTCCCTTTCCGCCGCCGAGCCTGCGCCTGTCCTCGCCCCCCCCGCCCCCCTTCAGCCCAAGGACCCGATCATCTCCGCCAATCACTCGTCCGCCAATGACTCCTCCGCCCAGTCCCCTCCCCCGCAGAATTCCTCCCTTCCGCCTGTGCTCAATGCCCCCGCCCCCGCCCCCGCCCCCGCCTCGTCGTCCCCGCCGGAGGCGCAGGACGACCCGATTCCCCCGCCCGAGGTGTGGGCGCTGACGCGCGCGTCGCAGGCGCGGTACGAGGGGCGCGAGTGGGAGTGGTGGCAGTTCAACTGGACGGCGCTGCAGGAGCAGAAGCAGAGCGAGCGATACCACACGTGCGACACACAAGGTGAGACCCTGCGGCGTGCGACGCATAGAGTGAGGGCGTGCGACGTGCGACACACAAGGTGAAGGCGAGCGACGCGCGACGCACAAGGTGAGGGCGAGCGATGTGCGACACGCAAGGTGAAGTCGTGCGACGTGCGACGTCCGACACACAAGGTGAGGGGGTGCGACGTCCGACACACAGAGTGAGCGCGAGCGACGTGCTACACAAGGGATCAAGGGGTGCAATGTGCGACACACAATATGAGGGCGAGCGACGTGCGACACAAAAGTGAAGAGAGAGGAACTTGAGAAATGTGTGAATGTAACGGGTGAGGGCGAGATGTGCGAGATGTGCTACCAGCAAGGCGACGAAAAGACCAGATCGCACCGTCCATCCGTCGCTCCTTTAGAAAATAACTTTCTTGCAGCACCGATCGCATATCACCTCCAAACTTCCGCAATTGGTGCTGAATTGAATGCGCCTGTGCTTTGCGCTCGTGCGTGCGTTGCGTGCATGCAGAGTACGACTATCTGTACATCCGACCCAACTTCACCATGGTCACGTGGAAGGGATGGGGCACCTCGCTCGCATGGTGAGTCGCGGTGATGCGTGGTGCGATGCGGCAATGCGTGGTGCGATGTGGCAATGCGTGGTGCGATGTGGCAATGCGTGGTGCGATGTGGCAATGCGTGGTGCGATGTGGCAATGCGTGGTGCGATGTGGCAATGCGTGGTGCGATGTGGCAGTGCGTGGTGCGATGTGGCAATGCGTGGTGCGATGTGGCAATGCGTGGTGCGATGTGGCAATGCGTGGTGCGATGTGGCAATGTGTGGTGCGATGTGGCAATGCGTGGTGCGATGTGGCAATGCATGGTGCGATGCGACACAACACCTCCCCTCCCTCACAAACCCCCCTATGCCCCACCCCCCCATCTCCTTCCCCTTCCTCCCTTCCCCCTCGCCCACCCCTCCCCCCACCTCCCCACCCCCCCTCCCCCCCTCCAGGTGGGCCGCGCGGGCGGGCGCGTTGCCATCGAGCTGCATGGAGGCGCTGGTGGAGCTGGTGTTCGACGGGGACCGCGGGCTGGGGCTGTCCATGGCGCGCTACGCCATCCCCGGGGGCTTCAACGCGTCGCTGTCGCCCGCCATCGCGCGCAGCCAGCGCCCGCTGCAGGCGTTCAAGGAGGGCCCCCTGGCGCCCTACAACTGGTCTGCGGACGCGGGGCAGCGCCGCGTGATGCTGGCGGCCAAGCAGCTGGGCGTGCGGCACTTCGAGGCCATCTCGTACAGCCCGCCCTGGTGGATGACCGTCAGCGGGGACACGGCCGGCAACACCAACGGCGAGCCGAACCTGCTGGCGGAGCAGCGGGGGGCGTTCGTGCAGTACCTGGTGGACGTGGTGCGGCAGTACGCCACCGACCCCGCGTGGAACGTCACCTTCGCGCACATCAACCCCTTCAACGAGGCGCTCGAGGGCTGGTGGCGCTCGGGCCGCGACAGGGAGGGGTGCTCCGTGAGCGTGAGCGACGTGGACGTGGTGGTGGCGCTGCTGGACGAGGCGCTGCAGGCCAGCGGCGTGGCGACGCGCATCGCAGTGGCGGACTCGTGGGTGGCGTACACGCAGCGCAGCATGCTGTCGGAGTACGAGGCGTTCCGACCCGAGACGTGGGCCAAGGTGGACCACATCTGCGTGCACGGGTACCAGTCGAAGCACTTCCCCGAGTCGTGGCAGATCGGGCTGCAGTACAGTGGCATGCGCGAGGCGGCGGCCGCCTTGGGAAAGGAGGTGTGGCAGTCGGAGTGGGGGCCCATCGACGTGTTTGGCACAGACATGCAGCTGGCCATGTACATGGCGCGCACCGTGACCGAGCACATCAACATCCTGGGCGTCGCCGCCTGGTACTACTGGATGGCCGTCGAGGGGCCCAACCGCGTGTGGGGACTCATCCGGTGGAAGGGCGAGTGCAAGGACGGCGAGGGCGCGGACGGCATGGACCTGATGATCAGCAAGCAGTACCACGTGATGAAGCACTTCACGCGCGCTGTGCCGCCGGGGGCGCGCATCGTGAAGATGAGCCAGAAGTGCGAGCACGGGGTGGTGGCGGCGTACAGCCCCGAGCACCGGCGCGTGGCCATGGTGGTGACGAACCAGTCGTTCAAGGACTTCCTCCTCACGCTCAGACTGCTCGACTTCATCCCCGTGGACCCCGCCGTGCCAGTGCTGGTGCACGTGCACCGCACGTCTGTGAAGGAGGACTACGAGCTGATCGACCAGATGAACATAGCCGTGCCGGGCAATGGCACCACCAACGCCACTGACATCACCATCAATTCCGTCCCAATCTCCCTCACCACCGTCACGCTCTACGGTGTGGTCCTCTCAAATGTCACCTACTACTAGACATTTTTTATGGTGCTGCTGGACAGGAGGCGGCATATGTCAATACATATTGAATAATGAAACATGTAGAAGCTGGCTCATGCCTTGTGAGCTGGATGATGGGTTGTGTAGGGTTTTCTTCTCTAGGGGTGCCTTGACGGTTGTAACTAGCGTCCACGTAGGATTCGAGTTTGCAATAATAAGCATATAATTAGCCAAACAAATCGTACCATCTGTTTTCTTCTTACAAGTTGGGTTCCTATGGACGAAGCCCTGTGAAACCACACGGAGTTTAATGTGGAGTTCACGACTTCAGGTGAGGTTGCATAGCTTGTAATGTCCATTGAGGATGAGGCAAGCTTGTTTATTGCGTAGCAACTGGACTAGATTAGAGACATCTTATCAGTGTGTTTGAAAAAATGTCCCAGAATAACTTTGAAGGGACTTATGCCTTGCAGTGCACACGACGCCAGAAACGAATCGTGACCAGGAAGCGGTCATTCACGCGCGCGACAACTGGTGGGTGGAGCACGAATCCGCCAACGGGAATCGCAAATGGCTGGGGCGGGAATTTGGACCAATAGCAGCGCGGTGCTGTGAGGCGCAAGCACTGTCAGCTGTCGTGCTGACGAGGCAAGGGAGCGGACCACCTTGTGCGTGCGCCCGTCCAAGGCTTGCGCGTGTGCGAAAGAATGCGCTGTCGCGAAAGCGGGGCTCGCACGAGTGATAATGGCGGGGAAACAAGCGGCTGGCGGGAAAGCTAACAGTTGGGGGGAAGAGAAGAGAACGGCTTGATGGATGCTGGCCCCGGAGCAGCTGGCTGGGAGACAACCGGCGACGAAAACAAACCGGCTGGGCTGCGACCAATCAGCCTGGTAGCAGCGAGCCCCAAGCAGCTGGACTGGGACGATAAAATGCGAACCCGCACGCTTGATAGCAGGTGAAAGCAAGCAGCAGCGGTGTGGCAGACAGAAAACGACCGACAACACCATTATCCACCCAGCTGCCATTACGAATCCAGCACTCCAAGTGAAGAGCGCGAGACGCTCACCAGCCCAGGATCTAACGGTCTTCTCACCATCCACCACTAACTCAGTCCTCCTGTATCGCTACCGGAGGATTGCCCCCGTGCTGTCGTCGCGATACCTCGAACGTTTTGCCGATCGCCGTCGCGTATTACTGTGGACTGCTGTAATTAACCTTTAATTATTGGATCCGCGGACGAATGGCGGAGTCGGCGTTGGGCGCGCAGGTAACAGCAGCAGGCACGATTTGCGCCGTGCGGCCGCCATGCCACGCGGGATCTCCTCTCCGCCCCGCAACACACGGCGCACCACACGGAGCACCACACGGCGCACCACACGGCGCGCTCCCTCGTCCATCTCTCCCCCCCTCTCTTCTCCTCCGCCCCCGACTCCCCACGCCTCGCCACTCCGGCCTCCGCCCATCCAGCCCCATCCGCGCACCTCCTCCCGCCGCCGCTTTGGGCGGGCTGGACGCGGCGTACGGGCAGCTGGCGGGCGCGCTGCAGCACGGGTGAGTGCCGCCCGCCCTCCGCGCGTGCGCGCACAGCCCTCGTCTGATTAAGGCTTTATGCGGTTGACGGAATTGAGGAGATAAGAGAAGCTTTTTTGGTGTTCAGCGGCTAACACGTCGCATCGCATGCAGCGCATTGCGTTCGTAGGTTAACCCGCCTTGCGCTCGCCACTCAGCGCACCCCCCTCCCCTCCCCTTCCCTTCCCCCTCGCCTCCCCCTGGTCCACCCTTGGCCCGTGCGTCGCAGGGTGCCGCCCGGCGGGGGCATGGGCGCCACCATAGCGGCCATGGGCGTGGGCGCGACGATAGCGGGCGTGCACCGCGAGGTGGCGCAGCTCGCGGCGGCCGCCGGCATTCCGCTCGACGACCCGGTGAGTGCGCGCGCTCTCGTGCGCGTATCCGTGTTCCGCACCCTTCCCGTCGGTCATCCGCGCGTCGCCGTTCCGCCTGCTCGCGCGCTCACTCGTGCTGCGTGCGTGTGTGCTGTGGCCGTGGCTGTGCCGGCAGGTGGCGCTGCGCGAGTGGATCGCGTCCGCCGCGCTGCTGCTGCTGTACGCCTCCGCGCCGCCCTCCGGCCCCATGGGCCTCCTCGACTTCCTCGTCGCGCCGCTCCACACCGTCACCTTCCGGTACAGTCACATACGCCACCTTCCGGTACAGTCACACCCGCCACCTTCCGGTACAGTCACAGTAACCAAACCAGCAAATTGCATGAGGTCGCTTGGTGCCTGCACGCATCAGCATGCATGCCGCGCAGGGGCGAGTGCACGCGCAGATGCGCACATATGCGCGCGGAAGCCTGCACTCATCCTTGCTGCGCCCATCTTCCCGTTGCTCCCGCGCCCCACTCCTCCATCCCCCCATCTCACCCGTCTTGCACTCTCCCGCTCCCCCCGGGCGGTGGCAGGCGGTTCTCGGCGGAGGACGTGCGGGTGGGGCGGCAGCTGGGGCACGGCAACTTCGGCGTGGTGTACGAGGCCACGGTGGCGGGGCCCAAGGGCGAGCGGCAGCGCGTGGTGGTGAAGCGCAAGGCGGGGGGGGCGGGGGCGGACGAGATGCAAGACGTGGAGCTGTTCATGAACCACCGCCTGCAGGTGAGCTGTTCATGAACCACCGGCTGCAGGTGTGGAGGGCGCTGCTCAGTGCTCACACACTGCGGGAACTGTTCATGCTGAAGTGCCACGTTGCACGGTGCCTCAACCGACTGTGTTCTTCGTGCCTATGTGTGTGTGTGTGTGCGTGCTTGCATATGTGTGCGTGTGCATGGCAGCGCACGGTGCCAGGAGTGGCGGCTAAGTTTCTTGGAACGATGGACGTGCAGCCAGGCGGCAAGCTGCAGGAGGTGAGTGCTCGCGCGCCTCTCATGGCTTGTTTACACACCTGCCTCTCAGGCACGCACCTGCCTCTCAGGCACGCACCTGCCTCTCAGGCACGCACCTGCCTCTCAGGCACGCACCTGCCTCTCAGGCACGCACCTGCCTCTCAGGCACGCACCTGCCTCTCAGGCACGCACCTGCCTCTCAGGCACGCACCTGCCTCTCAGGCACGCACCTGCCTCTCAGGCACGCACCTGCCTCTCAGGCACGCACCTGCCTCTCAGGCACGCACCTGCCTCTCAGGCACGCACCTGCCTCTCAGGCACGCACCTGCCTCTCAGGCACGCACCTGCCTCTCAGGCACGCACCTGCCTCTCAGGCACGCACCTGCCTCTCAGGCACGCACCTGCCTCTCAGGCACGCACCTGCCTCTCAGGCACGCACCTGCCTCTCAGGCACGCACCTGCCTCTCAGGCACGCACCTGCCTCTCAGGCACGCACCTGCCTCTCAGGCACGCACCTGCCTCTCAGGCACGCACCTGCCTCTCAGGCACGCACCTGCCTCTCAGGCACGCACCTGCCTCTCAGGCACGCACCTGCCTCTCAGGCACGCACCTGCCTCTCAGGCACGCACCTGCCTCTCAGGCACGCACCTGCCTCTCAGGCACGCACCTGCCTCTCAGGCACGCACCTGCCTCTTGCTCTCCGTAGTCTGGCTTCTTCTCGCGCATGACTGCATGTGACTACCTTGCACCCGCTGTCTCATCTCCCATTCCCCACTCTTCATGCCCCACTGCGCCTGCCCACTGCGCCTGCCCACTGCGCCTGCCCCACCCTTCATGCCCCAGTCTTCATGCCCCACTGCGCATGCCCCAGTACTCTTACCACCCCTCTGCCCGCCGCCCCCCTGTCTGCTGGCAGGGCGTGTGGCTGGTGTGGCAGCACCAGGGCGACAGCACGCTGGACCGCCACCTCAAGGACCGCGCGTACCCGGCGCCGCTCGCCGCCATGCTGCTGGGCGTGCACCCGCCCGCCCAGAGCAGCGCGGGCAGCGGGGGGTGGTCGGAGGAGCAGCAGGCGTGGGTGGAGTGGGAGGTGGCTCAGGCTGTCATGCGCCAGATCCTCTCCAACCTGCACGCGCTGCACCGCGCAGGTCCCGCTCCCTCTCGCTTGCCCTTCCCTCATGCTCTCTCTGCCGTCTTGCCCCACCAGCTTCCCTATCATCTTGCCCCACCAGCTTCCCTATCATCTTGCCCCACCAGCTTCCCTATCATCTTGCCCCACCAGCTTCCCTATCATCTTGCCCCATCGCCGCCCTCCTTGCTCTGCCATCCGCCTCTTTCCGTCTCCCCATGCGCCATGGCCCCATGCAGGCGTGGTGCACCGCGACGTGAAGCCCGCCAACCTGGTGGTGGACGAGGCGGAGCGCCACCTCTGCCTCATTGACCTCGGCGCATGCGTCGACCTGCGCTCCGGCCGTAACTACGTACGCCACCCACGCCCCACTCACCCGCTCACACCTGCTGCTGCCACCAACTCATGCTCGCAATCAACTCATGCTGGCAATCAACTCATGCTGGCAATCAACTCATGCTGGCAATCAACTCATGCTGGCAATCAACTCATGCTGGCAATCAACTCATGCTGGCAATCAACTCATGCTGGCAATCAACTCATGCTGGCAATCAACTCATGCTGGCAATCAACTCATGCTGGCAATCAACTCATGCTGGCAATCAACTCATGCTGGCAATCAACTCATGCTGGCAATCAACTCATGCTGGCAATCAACTCATGCTGGCAATCAACTCATGCTGGCAATCAACTCATGCTGGCAATCAACTCATGCTGGCAATCAACTCATGCTGGCAATCAACTCATGCTGGCAATCAACTCATGCTGGCAATCAACTCATGCTGGCAATCAACTCATGCTGGCAATCAACTCATGCTGGCAATCAACTCATGCTGGCAATCAACTCATGCTGGCAATCAACTCATGCTGGCAATCAACTCATGCCACGCCCCCCTTCCCACCCCAGGTGCCCAGCGAGACGGTGATGGACCCCAAGTATGCGGCCCCCGAGCGCTTTGTCATGCCGCCCGCCACCACGCCGCACCTGCCGCCCGACCCCCTGGCCAGCCTGCTCTCGCCGTTCCTCTGGGTGGCCAACACCCCCGACCGCTTTGACGTGTTCTCCGCTGTAAGCCCGGCCGCTTTGACGTGTTCTCCGCTGTAAGCCCGGCTCGCCTCTGCCATCCCACGTTCTCCATCCCCACGTGCTGTTGCTCCCCACGTGCTGTTGCTCCCCACGTGCTGTTGCTCCCCACGTGCTGTTGCTCCCCACCTGCTGTTGCTCCCCACCTGCTGTTGCTCCCCAGCACTCTTGTTCTTCCCCTCTTCAATCCCTCTCCCATCCTTCACGGCCTCACTTGCTCGTTCCTGTGTTGCCTGCCTCCCCGTCCCCACACCTCTCCTCCCCCCCCCCCCCCTATGGTGCGTGCTCCCCTTTTTGGCGGGCGGCAGGGCATCATTCTGATGCAGCTGGCGCTCAAGTCGCTGCGCCATGAAGCCAACCTGGTCCGTGCCGCCACGCCATGCCATGCAATACCGTGCCACGCCATGCCATACCATGCCACGCCATGCCATACCATGCCACGCCATGCCATACCATGCCACGCCATGCCATACCATGCCATACCATGCCACGCCATGCCATACCATGCCACGCCATGCCATACCATGCCACGCCATGCCATACCATGCCACGCCATGCCATACCATGCCACGCCATGCCCTGCCCTGCCCTCAAGGAGTTTGCTGTGCCGGTGTGCCTTGTGTCCAAAGCTTTGCTGTGCGTGTGGTTCCGTGCGTGCGGTGGGGTGTGGCAGGAGGGGTTCAACAACGAGCTGAAGCGGTGCGACTACGACCTCAGCAGGTGGAGGAAGAAGTTCCGACCCGCCAATGCTGACATGGCGCTGCTGGACGCACATGGTATGCTGACATGGCGCTGTTTGATGCACACGGTATGCTGACATGGCGTTGTTTGATGCACACGGTATGCTGACATGGCGTTGATTGATGCACACGGTATGCTGACATGGCGTTGTTTGATGCACACGGTATGCTGACATGGCGTTGTTTGATGCACACGGTATGCTGACATGGCGTTGTTTGATGCACACGGTATGCTGACATGGCGTTGTTTGATGCACACGGTATGCTGACAAGTCAGCATGATGTGTGCGCAGCACGGCAGAGTGCTGAGGGGAGTATGGGTGTTCGGTGTGCATCTGCTTCGCTCTCCACCCCTGGCTCCCGCCCTCACCTGCGTTATCCCCCTCGCCCTCGTGCCCCCCGTGCTCTCCCATGTGCCCTGCGCCAGGCGGGGCGGCGTTTGACTTGGCGCAGCAGCTGCTGAGGAAGCGACCCAACCACGACCATGCCGTGTGGCCCAGCGGTGAGTGCAGCATGCCGTGTGGCCCAGCGGTGAGTGCAGCATGCCGTGTGGCCCAGCGGTGAGTGCAGCATGCCGTGTGGCCCAGCGGTGAGTGCACACTCGCTGTGCCTCTGCCAAGGATAGCATCGATGGGAGTTGCTTGTTGAGGCATCGTAAACCACCCCTGCCCTGCCAATCACACATCCAGTCGCACAGCATATGCCCTTTCCTTCTTTGTCCTCACCCCTCTTCCCTTTCCTTCTTTGCCCTCAACCCTTTTCCCTTTCCTTCTTTGCCCTCACCCCTCTTCCCTTTCCTTCTTTGTCCTCATCCCTCTTCCCTTTCCTTCTTTGCCCTCACCCCTCGTCCCTTTCCTTCTTTGCCCTTACCCCTCTTCCCTTTCCTTCTTTGTCCTCACCCCTCTTCCCTTTCCTTCTTTGCCCTCACCCCTCTTCCCTTTCCTTCTTTGCCCTCACCCCTCTTCCCTTTCCTTCTTTGCCCTCACCCCTCTTCCCTTTCCTTCTTTGCCCTCACCCCTCTTCCCTTTCCTTCTTTGCCCCCACCCCTCTTCCCTTTCCTTCTTTGCCCTCACCCCTCTTCCCTTTCCTTCTTTGCCCTCACCCCTCTTCCCTTTCCTTCTTTGCCCTCACCCCTCTTCCCTTTCCTTCTTTGCCCTCACCCCTCTTCCCTTTCCTTCTTTGCCCTCACCCCTCTTCCCTTTCCTTCTTTGCCCTCACCCCTCTTCCCTTTCCTTCTTTGCCCTCACCCCTCTTCCCTTCCTTCTTTGCCCTCACCCCTCTTCCCTTCTTTGCCCTCACCCCTCTTCCCTTTCCTTCTTTGTCCTCACCCCTCTTCCCTTTCCTTCTTTGCCCTCACCCCTCTTCCCTTTCCTTCTTTGCCCTCACCCCTCTTCCCTTTCCTTCTTTGCCCTCACCCCTCTTCCCTTTCCTTCTTTGCCCTCACCCCTCTTCCCTTTCCTTCTTTGCCCTCACCCCTCTTCCCTTTCCTTCTTTGCCCTCACCCCTCTTCCCTTTCCTTCTTTGTCCTCACCCCTCGTCCCTTTCCTTCTTTGTCCTCACCCCTCGTCCCTTTCCTTCTTTGTCCTCACCCCTCGTCCCTTTCCTTCTTTGTCCTCACCCCTCGTCCCTTTCCTTCTTTGTCCTCACCCCTCTTCCCTTTCCTTCTTTGTCCTCACCCCTCTTCCCTTTCCTTCTTTGTCCTCACCCCTCTTCCCTTTCCTTCTTTGACCTCACCCCTCTTCACTTTCCTTCTTTGTCCTCACCCCTCTTCCCTTTCCTTCTTTGTCCTCACCCCTCTTCCCTTTCCTTCTTTGCCCTCACCCCTCTTCCCTTTCCTTCTTTGCCCTCACCCCTCTTCCCTTTCCTTCTTTGCCCTCACCCCTCTTCCCTTTCCTTCTTTGCCCTCACCCCTCTTCCCTTCCTTCTTTGCCCTCACCCCTCTTCCCTTTCCTTCTTTGCCCTCACCCCTCTTCCCTTTCCTTCTTTGCCCCCACCCCTCTTCCCTTTCCTTCTTTGCCCCCACCCCTCTTCCCTTTCCTTCTTTGCCCCCACCCCTCTTCCCTTTCCTTCTTTGCCCTCACCCCTCTTCCCTTTCCTTCTTTGCCCTCACCCCTCTTCCCTTCCTTCTTTGCCCTCACCCCTCTTCCCTTTCCTTCTTTGCCCTCACCCCTCTTCCCTTTCCTTCTTTGCCCTCACCCCTCGTCCCTTTCCTTCTTTGTCCTCACCCCTCGTCCCTTTCCTTCTTTGTCCTCACCCCTCGTCCCTTTCCTTCTTTGTCCTCACCCCTCGTCCCTTTCCTTCTTTGCCCTCACCCCTCGTCCCTTTCCTTCTTTGCCCTCACCCCTCTTCCCTTTCCTTCTTTACCCTCACCCCTCTTCCCCTCCTCTCCCTCCCCTTCCCCTTCCCCCCCAGCATTTGGCATGGGGCGCCCATCAGCGCGGCGCGCCCTGCACCACCGCTTCTTCTCCCTCCACCCCCCCCGCGCCTTCCGCCTCCCCCGCTCCCCACCCTCCGCCATGCCCGCATCCGCCACTGCCGCTGCTGCCCCTGCTCCTGCCGCCACCGCACCCTCTGCTGCTGCCAGGCGCAGCAAGGCGCCCCACGCTGCTGCCCCCGCTGCTGCCCATGCTGGTGCCCTTGCTGGCGCTGGGCGGGCGGGGAGGGGGGAGAGAGGGGAGAAGGGCGAGAAGGGGGAGAGGTGGCAGCATGGGGAGGAAGTGCGGGGGAGGCACAAGGAAGTGGGTAGGAAGCAAGGGGTGGGTGGGGGGAGGTGGTGGCGGGAGGTGCTAAGGCAGAGGAGAGGAGTGACGGCGTGAGAGGGAGAGGGGAGGCAGCAAGGGCAAGAGGGGAAGTGAGAGGGGGAAAGGAGGCAGGAGCGGGGGCAGGAGCAGTGAAGGAGGGGAGTGAGGGTCGGGGGGGGATCGTTGCGCACGCTCTGAAGGCCGTGGTGCCGCCGCGCCACGACCAGCACTCGCAGCAACCGCTGCACGCGCCGCTAGGCGGAGGGGAAAAGGCCAGGGCGGCGTCAGGGGGCGACAAGGCAGGGCAGGTGGCGGCAAAGGGGGATTCGGAAGGCAGAGAGGGGGAGAGAAGCAGCAGGGGAGCGGGCGTGGGGGGGAGGGCGGGTCGCGGCAAGACGGGGGGCGGGGCAGTGGACGTGGTGGGCGCGGTGAAACGTGGGCACGTGGCCACGGCGTACGTGCTGGGCTCGCTGGTGGCGGGGCTGGCAAGGTCGCTGGACGAGGACAAGGGCGACCAGGGCGACAAGGGAGACCAGGGCGACAAGAGGGAGAAGGGGGGGAAAGTGGTGAGTGCGGCTGGCGAAAGGCAGGAAGTGGCGGGCAGCAAGGGCGAGGCGAGTGGCGGCAAGGAGAGCAAGGGCGCGGAAGGCGAGGGAGGCAAGGACAAGGGAGTGGGAGGCAAGGGCGGGAAGGGCAAGGGCAGCAGGGATGGGAATGCGGCACACGGTGCTGAGAGGGCTGTGGTGATGGCAGGGGGTGATGGGGCGAGAAAGGCAGGCGAGAGGAGGGAAGAGCGAGGGGAGGGTGAAGGGGCAGCAGGCACAGGTGCCGTGCCCGCGAGTGCGGCGGCGGGCATGGCGGAGGTGGGCGTGGCAGCAGCTGGCGCCACGGCCACGGCGGTGATGGCAATCGCCTCGTCCATGTGGCGGCGAGGCATGGCCGCTGCCAACCCTCCCTCGCCCTCCACCACTGCCGCTGCCACTGGCAGTGGCATCAGCAGCATCAGTGCGGCGAGCAGCAAGGTGGAGGCAGCAGCGCTGCGGCCAGCCCCTCAAGCGAGCACATTGATGGTGGCGGGTGGGGGGGAGAGAAGGGACGGGGCATTTCAGCAGGGGCGTGGGAGGGGGAGTGAGAGGAAGGAGGAGGAGAGGGGGTTGCAAGAGGCAGTTGAGGCAGCAGCGGAGGAGCGCGTGCGCATTCTGAGGGGGGCTGTGGGAGGTGCGGGAGGGGAGGGTGTGGGCAGCAGGCAGCATGAGGCGCCTGTGAGCTTGGCTGCAGTGGCAGGGGGGGGCGAGGGGGGCAAGCACATGGAAGGGGTGGGGGGGGTGGCGGAGAGGCAAGGGCGTGTGAGGGTGCGTGACGGGCGGCAGGCGGTGGGGGAGGGGCTGCTGACGGCGGTGGGCGAGCTGGGCGTGCAGCTGGGGTCGCTGGAGGCGTCCCTGCAGGCGGGCAGGCATGTGGCCGTGGAGCAGCAGCACCTGCTCACCCGGGTCAGTGCGGTGAGGGGGTGAGATGATGGGCGAGGGGAGTGGGGAAGTATAATGAAGGGCGAGGGGGAGTGATAGTGATGAAGGGCGAGGGGGAGTGATAGTGATGAAGGGCGAGGGGGAGTGATAGTGATGAAGGGCGAGGGGGAGTGATAGTGATGAAGGGCGAGGGGGAGTGATAGTGATGAAGGGCGAGGGGGAGTGATAGTGATGAAGGGCGAGGGGGAGTGATAGTGATGAAGGGCGAGGGGGAGTGATAGTGATGAAGGGCGAGGGGGAGTGATGGAAGAGGAATGGTCTGTTGTTGGCAATGGCTTAGGTGATTCTGGCTCATGAAGAGGCACCACCTTACGCTCGTTTTGTTGATTGATTTTCCCATCAGGCTCCCCTGTTCCCATTGGGCTCCCCTGTTCCCATTGGGCTCCCCTGTTCCCATTGGGCTCCCCCTCCATTGAAGTGCAGATTGAGAAGCTCCTCGTGACTCCATCCCACATGCATGGCGCTGCTCCCACTGCCACCACCACTGCCGGGCCTTCCAAGCCGTAGTGGGCTGTCTTGTGCCAGCAGCACCCAGGGCAGGACTGGTACATAAGGCACTGACCTCTGTGTGCACGTGCATGCAATGCAAGTGCATGTACTGATGCGTATATACCCCAGGAAATGTACTAGTAATAGCTGTGAAGCTGATGATGGTACGACGGGATCAGGGCATCAGATAGGATTTTAGGCACCTTGAGTCATGGAGTCACGAGTCCTAACCACTGGGACAAGAAGGGATGTCATCAGGAGGGTTAGGCTCCATATATCCACCTTCCTCGAGGAAAGCTTCCCTAGTACCCTCCCTAGAGATAGAGAGAAGATCGATAGGGAGTGCCACGACACACCCCCCCGCTAGGATAGCGTACACCAGGAATTGAACCCTGGATGGCTCTGATACCAAGTCATAAAGTCATCAGTCCTAACCATTGGGACAAGAAGGGAGGGGATGTCAGCAGGAGGGTTAGACTCTATATATCAGTCAAATTATATCTATGTTGTATAATTGTAGGCTTGGTACGTGCTATTGAAACATATTGTAGAGGGTACAACACCCCTCCTTGTATCCCTCTCTCTTCATTCTCATCCTCTTTTTCCTTGTCAACTTTCCTAGCCTAAAACCTCACGCCATTCCATGGCCGCCTACCCTTCCTAGCTACCTAGCCTATCGTGACATGGTAACAGAGCAGGTCACCCTTCCTGGGCCTGCTCCCTACGCTTCCGCCGCGCACTCCTCTTCCCGTGCTGCCATGCTGCTGTGGCGTCGTCGTGCTGCTGTGGCGGCGTCGACGTGCCGCTGGCCGCGTCGTGCCGCGGCCGTCTCGACGCGCTGTCGTGGCGTCGACATCCAGCCGTGGCGGCGTGACGGCGCCGTCGTGCTGCCGTCGCAGCATCGACGTCCCGCCGTGGCATCGACGGCGCACTGCGGCGGCGTAGTAATGCTGCGGTGGCGGCGCCGTTGGGCGGCAGCTGGCCGTGCAACGCCTGTGGCGCCGCTAGACCTGCCGCCCACTCGCCTGCCACGAGCGTGATTCAAGAACACGCCCCCCCCCCAACCCCCTCGCCGCCGCACACCGCCGCCGTTGCTCTCGTCACTGCTGTGCTTGCCGCCATTGCCCTCTCCCGGGCCGTGGGTGTTGACCGATTCCAGAGTCATCGCGGCTGCTGCTGGAAATGGGGGTGCTCGGTTAAGGGGTGTGGGTGTGTGTGGGTTCTTCAACTACCAAGCCTAGGGGGTGTGTTAAATTATATATATGTTATATAATTGTAGGCTTGGTAGGTGCTACTGAAACTTACTGTAGAGGGTACAACACCCCTCCTTGTATCCCTCACTTTTTCTATTCTCATCCTGTTTTCTCTCGTCAACTTTCCTAGCCTAAAACCTCACGCCATTCCATGGCCGCCTACCCTTCCTAGCTACCTAACCTATCGTGACAATATCCACCTTCCTCGAGGAAAGCCTCCCCAGTACCCTCCCTAGAGATAGAGAGAGGATCGACAGGGTTATCCAAGTGCCACGACATCCTGACCACTCAGGGTTGGTGCCCCCAAAAACGTGTAGCAGTCAGGGTTGGTCGCTTATGCTCAAACTGATTCCTCATGGTAGTTTTCCACTTTTATACCGTGGCCTCAGGGTAAATTCTGAAGCGCCATAAATGTTGCGAAGTCGATTTATAGCGCGTTGGTGCCTCCGTTGCTGCGTTGGGTTGAGGACTTAGCCACAATTGCTCGAGTTTTCGTCAACTGCATCGGACGCGGGAAATGAGACCCGGAAAAAAAATACTCGTCTGACTGTCAGATCGAATTTTGGAGTTGCGAAGGAGATCCTTAGGAAGCTTGGACTTTAGCCGAGAATTTAGAGTAGCGGGTGGGGGATTTTTAGAGGGTTGTCTTCTTTAGCCTTCAGGACTCGGCCAAATATTTAAAGTAACGGGGGAAGTTTAAGAGGATTGTCTCTACCAATCAGAAATCAGGGCGTGTATTTGTACAAACCGGGATCAGGATCAGACTCCCGCTGTACTGTGTCGTGCAAGTGTTGAAATTGCATTTCAGTGCGGTTCAAATTGGTTCTCCACACCACGAGTCTGATCCTGATCTTGATGTGTAGGATTACGCCCTTAGCCGAAATTTCAGTGTAGTGGGGGGGTTCCGGAGGATTGCCTCTGACATTCAGGACTTGCCGAAAAAATCAGCGAGAGGCTAGAGGATTGTCTCTAGCGTTCAGGACTTAGTCGAAAAAACATTTGGGCGGAAAAACAAGGGGTACTGTCGTGGCGCACGTGCATTAGCAGGATTCGGCGAATCAGGGCTATCCCCGGTTTCATAGTGACAGCTCAGGGCTGGTACTCAAACACTTTACTGAATCTTCAGGGTTACACTATGATTCAAAGCTGAATTTACAGGGTGAAAATTTACACTAAGCGGATCTTTTCAGGTTTGGCACCTAACAGGCATCCTGAAAATCATGAATTCAGGAAAAAAATCATGAAATCTGAGGCCCTGGACGGGGTAATGAATTACCACGACAATTATAGACATTGAACTAGTGGACCATGAAAGCGTGCACATAAGAACCTAGAAAAAAATTGATGCCAAGGGGTCTTGCAATATGAAGCAGTGATCCCATGGCGCAGGGAGGGAGGAGAATAAAGGGGTTGGGGATGGGGGACAGAGGGGATAATAATAGAAGGATCAGGGATAGAGGGGATATGAAATTATGGGAAAGAAGGGACAGGGATAGAGAGGATAAACTGTAATGGGATAGCGAGAGGGCGCATGTTTTGGGTTTAGTGTCAAGAGACACGCTGGGGTTGCCCTTGATCCTCGGGGAAGGGCTATGCCATCTCTCTGCTTGGGGGGTTATGGGCACACATACCCGCTACTTAACAAGCCCTTTTGCACTCCGTGGTTAGTGACCGAGTTTTGACATGGTATCAGAGCCGGGTGACTCGGCTTTTATTCCCAGTGCCAGCATTCTAGAGGCGCTAGTGTCTTCCCCATTCCCCAGTCTTCCCCATTCCCCATTCCCCAGTCTTTCCCATTCCCTAGCCTTCCCCATTTCCCAGTCTTCCCAATTCCCCATTCCCCAGTCTTCCCCATTCCCAAATCTTCCCCATTCCCCAGTCTTCCCCATTCCTTAGTCTTCTCCATTCCCCGTTCCCCAGTCTTCCCCTTTCCCCAGTCCTTCCCATTCCCCATTCCCCAATCTTCTCCATTCCCCTTTCCCCAGTCTTCCCCAATCCCCATTCCCCAGTCTTCCCCATTCCCCATTCCCCACTCTTCCCTATTCCCTATTCCCCAATCTTCCCCATTCCCTATTCCCCAGTCTTCCCCATTCCCAAGCCTTCCCCATTTCCCAATCTTCCCCATTCCCCATTCCCCAGTCTTCCCCATTCCCAAATCCTTCCCATTCCCCATTCCCCAGTCTTCCCCATTCCCCATTCTCCTCCATTCCCCATTCCCCAGTCTTCCCCTTTCCCCAGTCTTCCCCATTCCCCATTCCCCATTCCCCAACCTTCCCCATTCCCCAGTCTTCCCCATTCCCCATTCCCCAGTCTTCCCCGTTCCCCAGTCTTCCCCATTCCCCAGTCTTCCCCATTCCCTAGTCTTCCCCATTCCCCTGTGGTCCCCATTCCCCAGTCTTACACATTCCTGATACTTCCCCATTCCCCAATCTCTTGAGAATAGCCCTGCTCCTACGAAGGTTGCAAAAGTCTGCTGAAGCGGCATATCAACGAAGTCTGCGGACACGAGCCCTGCAGAAAGGCCCGTCGATGAAGAGCAGATTTGTCGACAAGGCGAGGCTCTGCGGGAAGTGGCAGAGGAGCAGTTTTCGTTGGTGGCAGAAAAGAGGTTCTGTCGGAGTGGCAGAACAGGAGCGCTTTTTCTGCATATGGCTTCTACATCGACATGTGCTTTTGTAGAAGCGGTCTCGGTAGAATCGAGAGTGTACAAGACCCTCTGCCGAATTGGCACCAGAGGCCATTCGCAGAAGGATTGTCCTCTGCCGAAGTATCGCGCAGAAGATATTTCTGCAGGCGATCCATTCGGCAGAATCGACTCTCGGAAATGCATTCCAACAGGACCTCGGGCAGGGTGGCGCAAGGACCTGTTCGCGCAGAATTGCGTTCTGCCGAAGTTCGGCAGAAAGGCAATTCGGCTATCTCTTCTATTGTCGACCCCCTCGGCAGAGACGAAATTCGGCAGAAGCGCGGCACAGAGTCATCTCGGACTTCGCTTCTGCGAGCGACCCCTTCGACAGAAAATCGGGGACTTAGTTTTTATGCGGAAGGTACGTTCCAAAATCACAAGAAATTTGCGATTTCGTAAGTTAACCACTGAACCGATCTGGACCGAAAACGGCAAAATATACCCGCGACATTGAGAAACTGAACACGTGACGCACATTTCGTAACTGCGGAAATATGCGTAACATCTGACAGTTTCATATCTGAAACTGTTAACAACTACTTCTGAGTGGGTAAAATTACAAACTAAGCATGTGCTGTAATTTTCACCTGCCCTTGCTGACTTGGCTAAGCGCAGCTTAAGAGTAGTTATGTAAACGTTCTCGTGCGAACGTTCTCTCCATGTTCAATGCGGTTCAATGAGGCAGTACTAGTGCTTGCCTTGTGTACCATACTTTGTAATCTTGATTCTGGTGAATTTTTGTGCCCAAACTTTCTCAAGCTACCCATGTGAAACACACAATTTTGAAGGCAACTCTCTCCTTAGAGAACCACAGAGCTAGAGAGCTCTATATGCGTCAGGCACTTCCGCAGAAGCTCCCGTTATAGCAGAAAACTCTGCACAATCTTCCCCTTTCTGCAGTCTTCCCCATTCCCCAGTCTTCATCATTCCCAAGTCTTCCCCATTCCCCAATCTTCCATATTCCTCAGTCTTCCATATTCCCCATTCTTCTCCATTCCACATTCCCCATTCCCCAACCTTCCCCATTTCCCAGTCTTCCCCATTCCCCAGTCCCAAGTCTTCCGCATTCCCCATTCCCCAGTCTTCTCCATTCCCCGTTCCCCAGTCTTCCCATTCCCCATTCCCCAGTCTTCCCCATTAACTAGTCTTCCCCATTCCCCACTCTTCCCCATTCCCCATTCCCCATTCCCCACTCTTCCCTATTCCCCATTCCCTAGACTTCCCCATTCCCCAGTCTTTCTCATTCCCAAGGCTTCCCCCTTCCCCAATCTTCCACATTCCTCAGTCTTCCACATTCCCCAGTCTTGCCCATTCCCCAGTCTTCTCCATTCCCCATTCCCCAATCTTCCCCTTTCCCAAGTCTTCCCCATTCCCCATTCCCCAGTCTTCCGCATTCCCCATTCCCCAGTCTTCTCCATTCCCCGTTCCCCAGTCTTCCCCATTCCCCATTCCCCAATCTTCCCCATTCCCCAATCTTCCCCATCCCCTGTCTTCCCCATTCCCCAGCCTTCCCCATTCCCCAGTATTCCCCATTCCCCAGTCTTCCACATTCGCAAGCCTTCCTCATTCCCCAGTCTTCCCCATTCCCCAATTTTCCCCATTCCCCAGTCTTC